CTACAAGTGGTTTAATACTCAGTGAAAATTTATCTAATGAAAATAGTTACAGGAGATGAAGTAGAAGATAATAAGTAGTAACTTTTTAAAATTAAGACTAGTAAAACAAGAAAATAAAAGAAAGTAAACTGTGCAAAGTATTTGATATAAGGTTTGAATGAAAGACCACAATATGAACCTTGGCTCTAGATTTTCATAGAGAAAGGTGAGCACCCAGTAATCCTGGATATCTGGAAGATCTCTAGGAAATAGTGAAGATAAAATACATAATTATAATGTAAACTTTTTTATTGTAAGCAATAAAAATAGGTTCTGGCCATCTTCAAGGTGGCAGGGGATAATTTATTCAAAGGATTAGATTAGTTCAACAGTCTTCAAGATATCATCTACAAAGATACACCAACAAGATAAAAGTACAGGCTTTTAAAAAAAATCAATTTTATAATCCTCAACTTCCACATGGACTGTTTCTAAAACTCAGAATGAGTCTTTGTTTCTCATCGTCCTTCTCCAAATAAAATAGAAAGTATATCCGACACTATCCCAAAAGACTTATTGATTTGTAAAAAAAAAAAAATGGGGGGAAGGATTCTAACTACAGTTCAACTTCCAGAGAGTTTCCTTTGGAGACATGCTATTAATATTTCCACTGAATAAAGTTGCAGGTCCAAGGAATGTGGCTTAAAGGTAGAGCATGAAACTTGTAGGCATGAGGCCACAAATTCAATCCCTATCTCCACTCTACATGCTGTTGGTATCAAGACCACCACAACAAAGTTCTTTGTACAAAAACTCCAGCACACTGCAAACCAGCAATTTGGCTCCTACCCCAATTGCAGTTTTCAGACCACAAAAGTAAAGAAACAGGAACATGGGGCGGGGCGGGGGGGGGGGGGGACGGAATTTTTAAATCAAGTTGAGCCCGTGTTGGTTTGCTTTGAATTTAAACAATGTAGATTGATGATTGTTTATTCTTTCATGTGTACATGGCAACAGGCTATGAATTTTTTATTAAAGATTTTATTTAGAGAAATTTTAGTGTAAAATTGAGAAGAAGGTACCGAGACTTCCTCCAAACCTACACTTGCATAGCCTCCCTCTTTATCAGCATCACTTACCAGGATGAAGATGGTTTTACTAAGGATGAGCCTACGTTGACAATATAATATCCAGAGTCCACTGTTTACTTTAGTATTAATTTGTATTTTTGCATAATATGTAAAGTTTTTTCAAATTTATTATGACATATCTGTTATTATAAATATCATATGAAATATTTTATTGTCTTGGACTATAGTGATAGCACAGCGAGTAGGGCCTTTGCCTTGCACGTAGCCAACCCAGGTTCAATTTCTAGCATCCCATATGGTCCCCCAAGCACTGCCAGGAGTAATTCCTTAGTGCAGAGCCAGGAGTAACCCCTGAACATTGCCGTGTGACCCCAAAAAATGTATATATATTTCATTGCCTTAAAAACTCTATGCTCTGCCTAATTATATCTTTCTCTCACTTCACAACATCTGCAACCTAATTCCACTACAACTACTGATCTTTTATATAGTCTACATATAAAATTTTAACATTTTCCAGAATGTCATATAGTTGCTGTGTGCCCTTCTCAGTGTTCTTTCACTGATTAATAAGCATTTAAGATTTCTCCATTTCTTCTTATGGCTTGATAACTCATAATAGTCTATTGTATGGGTGTGCCACAGGTTTTATAATTTGTTTCTTTAAAATGTAAAGAAATTTTATTAAAGGGGGAGAGATAAAAGCATTTAAGAGATAATACAGGGGATATGGTGCCACCAGCATGTCAATCTGTACCTGTGAGGCGTGTGCGTCAATAGCCTCATGGCACCTTCAGACTTCTAGATACCCCAAAATTGCTACTGTGCCTTTGGCCAGACCCCAAAACCTTGGGGCAAAGTTTTCCAAGAAAGTAAACGGCCAAGAGTTAGGTGTGTGGGAGACACACCCACAAACTACCTCTGGCTCAGCTATATAATTGGAGGCATAGCTTCTCTGGTTCCTGATTGAACTGCTTAACGACCATGATCCCAGTGACTCAGAAAAAAATATTGAAACCCAATGGCTTTTGGCAGAAATGTGTCCGGTCCTGCAATAGGCTACCGGTGCTGGACCACCCCAGGTGGGAATAAGTTTTGTGCCTTGGCCTGTTCCCCCTGGTCGCCCGGTGGCCATCATCCTCCAGAGGCCACTGGAAAGTCAGGTTTGGGCCTGCAGTGATGAGACACTCAGGGCCTCACGGGATGGGGGTGGAGCCGGTCCTGTCCTCCCCACCCGAACGAGACCCCAAGTCATCGCCCACGAATGGCCTCTCTGGCTCCTAGTCAAGCTGCTTAATGGCCATGATCCCAGAGACTCAGAAACAAATCTCGAAACCCTGTGGCTTTTGGCAGAAATGTGTCTGGACCACGCAGTAGGTTACTGTTGCCGGACCACCCCAGGGGGGAAAGGGTGCAGTCCCTCCGCCTGCTCCCCCTAGGTGGCTCCATGGCCGCCATCTTCCAGAGGCCATTGGACAGTGAGGTTTGGACCCTCAGTGACAAGACACGTGGGGGCCTCACGGGATGGGGGTAGAGCTGGCCCTTTCCTCCCCACCCCAAAGAGACTGTGAGTTGCCGCCCACAAACGGCCTCTCTGGCTTCTGATTAAGCTTCTTAAGAGCCATGATCCCAGAGTCTCAGAAACAAATCTTGAAACCCAACGGCTTCTGGCAGAAATGCGTGTGGGCCACAGAATAGGTTACCGGCTCTGGGCCACCCCAAGTGGGAATAGGTGTTGTGCCTTGGCCTGCTCCCCCTTGACGGCTCGGTGGCCACCATGCGCCAGAGACCATTGGACAGTCAGATTTGGGCCTGCAGTGATGAGACACGCAGGGCCTCATGGGATGGGGGTGGAGCCGGCCCTTTCCTTCCCACTCCAACAAGACCGCGAGTCGCCACCCACGAACGGCCTCTCTGGCTCCTGAGCAAACTGCTTAATGGCCATGATCTCAGAGACTCAGGAACAGATCTAAGTACCTAGCAGGTTTTGGCAGGAAATCTCTTCAGTAAACATGCATAAGGTAAAAATGTTCTTATTCTCTATCTCACCTCACTCAAGATTAATTTCTGTATGGGAGATTCTATTGACCTATTAGATCTCGTGTCAGCTGTGGGTCAAGGGAGAATGTTCTCCCTTGATTGACTGACATAAGACTATATGCAGTGCAAAAAAGATAAAGTGAAACGAGAGTAGAGTTAGAAAAGAGAGAAACAATCACTGGGCAGGAACAAATGACAGACTGACAGACATCTATACTATGAACGAGCAGAAACAGGTTTTACATGTCAGTAAGTTTAATGTATGAAAAATATATAAATTTTCAAGTTACTTAGTATCTAGTATCTAAAATAAAGGAAGAAAGTGGGAGGGCACAACTCCAGTCATAAAATCAGTGGAGACCATGAGTTAGTGTAGCAGTTAGGATGCATGTCTAGCACCCACCTGGCCTGGGTTCAGTTCTCAGTATGACATAGTCCCTCCAAGCATTGCTGGATGCAGCTCTAGAGACCACCCAAGCACAACTGGTTGTGGCTCTGGAGGACCCCAGCACTGCAGGAGTGACCTGGATATCCCCAATACTGCAGAGCCTGAGCAGCATCACATCCTCTGGCCTTTGCACTGTGTCTGTGGTGTGGTCGGCTGATAATTGCGCATAGAACATCACCTGGATGTCCCCAAAATAAAAATAAAATCAATTAGGTATTGAACCCAGAGTGAAGGAACAAAAAAAAAAAACAGGTAAAGCCTCTAACATTTGCATATTATTTACTACAAAGCAAAATATACTTACAAGCTCTTCCTTTAGAATTACAGAGGAGAGAACCAGCCTTAAAATTTGCAGAAAGTATAGAACAAATGAAATTCATTTAAAAAGAGAACTTTTATGCAACGTGTAAAACATTACCAATATTGCCTCTAATACAGATGTGACTTTTTGTAATTTTATTAGCTGAGTTTCCTAACTTAGAGATTTGTTGGCCAGTGCTGAATTAGTAAATTCCTGAGTCAGTTCACTGCATGTTACATGGAGTTGCCTCATGAAGAGCAGCTGTTGTAAACCACCTCCTGCCCCTTGCAGCTCATAACATCATAATGTTCATGGTGTTCCAAAGCCCCTGGGTAATATCAGTCATGGGACCCCAACTATTTTAACTCTTTAAAAGTGAGTTACATGTATGTCATGTGTGTTATATTTCTTTGCTTTTTGGGTCACACCCAGTGATAGCACAGGGCTTACTCCTGGCTCATGCACTCAGGAATTACTCCTGGCAGTACTCGGGGGACCATTTGGGATGCTGGGAATTGAACCCGGGTCGGCTGCATGCAAGGCAAACGCCCTACCCGCTGTGCTATCACTCTAGCCCCCTGTGTTATATTTCAAGTCAGACTTTTCCAAGCATCAAACTTGATGAGAAAACTACCTGTTATCTCTGCAGAGATGTAATAACAAGTGGAACTTTATTTTACTTCAAAAGATTCAGAGAGAGAAAGAGAGAAATAAAGGAAGCAGAGAGAAGGAGAAGATCGAAAAGAAAAGAGAAAGGGGGGAGAAAAGAAGAGAGAAATCCCAAATCCTCCAAAGTCCTTATTTGTGGTGAACAACCTAGTGAATTTTCCCTTGGTGGTAATTCTAGAACACAACTTTGTGACTGGGAAGGTATTTTTTTCATCCCAGTTGAACGTGGCCCTATGAAAGCAAATCACTGGAGCTCAGCAGGGATGTGACAAAGACGAAGGAGGACATGATGAAATCTTCAAAAAGAAGTCGTAGCTTTCAGAAAGTAAAGCCACTTGGGTGGCCAGGACGTTATTATTGTGTCATTGCCTGTGAAATTCTATCTCTGGGAATTTACTGGAAGCTATTAATATATTTGCTTCCACATTGCTTGCTGTTTTCTTATGTGCTCAGCCATGTGGTTCTTTTATAGGAGGATGGACGGTATGAAGGTCCAACTCTGGCTCATGCTGTGGAGTTATTTGGTGGCAGACGATGGAGTACTCGAAACCCCAGCCCTGGGACATCAGCAAAGAGTGCTGAGAAGCCAAACATGCAGAGAAACAACACTTTGGGCATAAGCACCACCAAGAAAAAAAAGAAAATGCTTATGAGGGTAGAGTGTTATTTGTTTATTAAGTATCAAACTTAATCATCCAGCACAATACTGTGACCTCATTGCCATAAACTGTCTTGTGATTTGATGTTGGGACAAAATGAAGTTCCAAACAAATGTAATTTAAATGCACACCAGGCAGCTCCCGGGAATCAGGTCAAGTGCTAAGAAATGAGTCAAACAGGAATGTTTCTGGATCCACAGAGAGATCTATAAGTGTTAGCCATCATGCAAACCAGGTTATCTACAAAGTGTCCCGGGAGCATAAAAAAGGAAAATATAGGGCTGAGAAAACTTCACCGAGTTAGTGGCAGATGGGTACTAGAGGACCAATCTGTTTTCAGTACAGACAACATAAAAGTATCCCTGGTTGGGGAAGCAGGAGTTAGGAATGAAGACTTGTTTGAGACAGCACAGGATCATGCTACCAGGTGAAGCATGGAGTCGGTGGAGAGCGAGAAAGAGGAGAAAGGAAAAGGATCTAACTATGATGATCTGAGAGGGGCAAAATGCAATAGATAGCACATAATTTTAAATATATTATCACTAGCAGTGTTCCAAATGTTGATTCAAGGGTGAAAAGTAAAGAAGATGTGGTTTATACGTACAGTAGAACAAGCACCACTAAGCATAACCTTAAAAAAAAATCTGCCACGTGTATGTGAATAATGGACCTTAATGACATTATCATAAGTGAAATAAGCCAGTCACAAAAAGGACAAATACTGCTTGATTACACTTATAGTTGACATTCTTTATAACAACATTCTAATAGTACCTAGAAGAATCAGACTGTTAGAAAGCAGAATCATAGTTGTTCACAGGCTAAGAGAAGAAGAAATGGAAGTGAAAGAATTAAGTGAATATAGAGAGTTTCTGTTTTACAAGATGAAGTTTTAGAGATTTGTTGACAGAAAAGTACTTACAGTTAACACTGCTGTATACTAACTATACATTGTATAATTACCAATGTATGTGTTTTTACCAAATTAGAAAATAAGCATATAATTACTGTATATTAGATGTTATTTATATATCTATAAATTATCAATACGACATAGTTCATTCATAGTTATCTGGAAAAAGAGTTATCCTACTCTTTACTTGTGAGAGACTATTGATACCAAAATTGAACTTAATCTGCTTCAACATTATGCCTCCATATGGAGGAACCAAGAGTAAAGAATCTGTATAGTGAAGAATTAGTAGGGTCATGTAATACTAGAATGCTTGGCCACTTGTAGGTCTTTGCTCAGTTCACCTGGGGTAGATGGTGCGTCAGGAGATAGATGTCTGCCCAAGCTAAAATAATGATGGAGAGAAATGCAGGAAGAGAAGTAATGTTTGTTTTGTGTTCCCAGGGTGAGAGTGGAGAGGCAACTGATGATGAGACGGCCACCAGAAAGGTCAAAATACACAAAGAGTGTCGGAGCCGCAGTGGTTCTGACCCACAAGACAATAATGAACAAGAGGAAACAGGTAAAGCATATATTCACATGAGAGAGAGGAAGGGTGTGTATGCAAATAAAGCAGACGTTCGGTTTAAGTTGTAGGTTTTAAGGATTATGGGCATTCTTAACAATACTTTTTATCTTGCTAAATCTATCTTCCTTTATTTTTAACTGGAAAATAGAACCAAAAAAATTTCATAAAGAGACTGTATCGTGAACAACTTTGTAACTATATATCTCATGGTAATTCAATTTAAAAAAAAATTTCATGCAAGTATAGTATACTTGGAATAAAACTCCTATTAACAAACTTGCCATTATTAATGGGGAATATTAACTCTGCAAGAGACAATTTGATGAATTAGGCTAGTGATTCTTGACACTGGCAAAATAGTAGAGCTCTCCCCCAGACCACCTGAAACATTCAGAAACTTTCTGGTAGAGACCTCAACAAACTAAACTATTTTTATATAGACAGTCATTTCCAGATGAGTCTGATGTGTCACCAGGCTAAAAATGCCACCAAATTCAGCATAGCCATCCAAATATTTTAATGTGGGGCTGGAGCAATAGCACAGTGGGTAGGGCATTTGCCTTGCATGCAGCCAACCATGGTTCAATTCCCAGCATCCCATATGGTCCCCCGAGCACCGCCAGGAGTAATTTCTGAGTGCATGAGCCAGGAGTAACCCCTGTGCATCTCCAGGTGTGACCCAAAAATCAAATATATATATATATATATATAATTTAATGCTTCATATATAGAAATCGCCTGCACAAGCAGATAGGTGTAGGCATTCGGGCGTTTTGGTTTGTGTTGGTTTCTGAGGATAAGTATGATGGAAATCATTGTGTCTTTTCTGTCTTTCATTCTTACAGAGGCAAATGCCATCACTGCCCCTCCCAACCCTCTCCCTTCCAGACGAGCGCACTCTTTGACCACGGCTGGCTCTCCTAACATGGCTACCGGGACATCATCTCCCATCAGGCCAGTGTCCTCCCCTGTGCTGTCTTCTTCAAACAAGAGTCCGTCCAGGTGGGGCCTTAACATGATAAAAGCAGCAAGAGTCTCTCATCATTCCAGTTGTGTAGAAGGGCTCTATGCAAAGGCTATCCGCTTCTAACAGTCACACTGAAAACTGAAATCATGAAGTGCTGAAATACTTCAGATGTTGCTGATTTGGGATTTTTCTTGTAATATTACTAAACTGCTTCTTAGTATTTGAGAGACCAAGCCTTCAAAAGTCAATGGTGGTAACAAAACCCATGGTATAATTCTCGAAATCTGTGCTAAAATATGGTTGCTATTTTTATTCAACTTTAAACAATTTTAATTTAAATTTTATTGAAAATGCAAGATAATATAGCGATGGTACAATAGGTAAGGCACTTGCTTTTCACCAAATTGAGTTCAATGCCAGACACCCCTTATGGTCCCCCAAGCCCTCCAGGAGTCGTTCCTGTGCCAGGATAAGCCATGAGCACAGCTGGGTGAGGCTCCCAAAAAGAAACCAGCAAAACAAAACAAAAACTCGATTCCTGATCACATTAGCAATATCTAGAGGTATCTCATGAACCCGGTGGCTGGTGGCTACAGTGCTAAACAGAGCAATCGTAAGATACTTCTATCATTTTCTACCAAAAAAACCCCAGTGTATAAACTACTTTTAGTGAGGAATACATTAAGTTTAATGTAAGCTGTTAAATCCTTTGCTAATAAGTGAAATATATCTGATAATATTCTCATCGATAAGCTTTGGAGGAAAGGCTTTATTAGAGGAGGATATAATTTTAAAGACAGTGATGTAAAATATTTCATAAGGTTCATAGAAATTACAGACATGAAATATTTACCCCCTCTGAGAAAAAAAAAACTAAAATGAGTGACCTCCAAAGGCACCAAGAATGTCACAACTTTTTCTCCCCAATACTAAAGTTCCAAACAGAACTAAGATAAAACTAAGGTACTCTCCACTTTCTCAAACAGAAGTCAGGGGAGGAAGGAGGTATGCAGACATTGACTAAGGAAATGTCTCTTTCTCTTCTTTCTTCCTTCCACTCTCATCTCACTCTCATTAAGTAAAGCAACCCTATAGTAAATCACATTTCAAAGGGAATATTTCTTCCACAGTGTGAATAATGAATATCATCCATACCTTCAGATGTCTGCATATTTGAACCATTCTTGCAATTTTTCTCGAGGTTTGTAGCAAAATAAAAAGTTGCAAAATATCAAAATTCTTTCCTTATATTTTCAGCTTACAGTATTCTAGGTAAATAAAATAGTCAGCTTTTATTATCCCTTTCTTTCCCTTTATTTCAGTCATTCATAAACAAGAAAATATAGAACAGGACGCGGAGCAATAGAACAATGAATAGGGCATTTGCCTTGCATGCGGCCCACCAGGATTTGATCCCCAGCATCCCATATGGTTCCCTGAGCACTGCCACGGGTAATTCCTGAGTGCAAAACCAGGAGTAACCCCTGACCATCGTCAAGTGTGACCCAAAAGACAAAGAAAAAAAATTTAATTAAAAAAAAAGAAAAGATAGAACAAAGACAGTAATTTTTTTGTAATTTTTAAAGAGGGTGGAAGTAAAGAACCTAAAATGCCAGATGCAAGATGACAAGATCCCACCAGAGGAGTTCAGGGATCAGTGCCCACCAAACATTTTAAAACAGAAAGAAAAGACAAGCTAAAAGAGTAAAACAAACCTAAATTCCTTTCAAGGAGAACACAAGACAGAGCCTGAAAAGAAGAAACGTTGGCCAAAGGAGTTTCCTAAAATCGAAGGGAGTCAGTTGTCTTCAGATAACAGCTAAAGCTCTAACTGGAAGACAATAATATACTGTGTAAAAGCAAATGATAAAGCCTTTTATTTGTTCCCTTTTCTCTTCTTGAACCCCCCATTTCCAAATCTCTGCTGGGGATCAACAACTTATACCTGCAAAAAACTATAAATCCAGTCTTCTGTAATACTCCTCCATTAACAAAGATGACCTTAGGTGTCAACACAGGATAATTTTCCATGAATAAATATTGTTACCAGGATGGAGGGTAAACTGACTATTCATTATAACATTCTGTAAAATTTTAGGCATTAAAATACTTGGTTTAAAAAATGAAAAATGTTATTTAAAACCATATTGTTCACAGATTTCACTAAAAACTATAATCAAAACACTTTTCATACTGTCCTGTCAGGGAACTATAACAACTAAAAATATTGTGGAGCAAGTAGACTAAGTTTGTAACCAAGTTGAGTTTTTTTTTATTATTGAATAGATATAGCTTAGCTGATGGCAAATATAATCCTACGCAGAGTTGACACCTTACCATTCTTAGTATTTTTGTGACTCACATTTTCCATTAATATTAAAAATCTGTCCCTGTTTTCATCAAAGAACTGGTTAAAAAAACATTGATACGTTCAAGACTTTCATCTGAAATCTATTTCCATAATTGAAAATATAAGGGAAAATACACTTAATTATCCAAACTTTATGACTGAGTAATTTAAGACTCTTTTTTGAAGTCACTTTTCTTGGAAACTCTGGACTCATGTGTTTTATAAAACCCAGTGACCTTAGGGCCTGCTATAGGGGCAGCCTGGTTGAGGAAAACTGGAAATAAAGAGGAGTAATTGGGAACGTTGGAAATAATGGTAGTGGGAAGGTGCAATGGTGTTGGAATTGGTGTTGGAATATTAAATGTAATTATGAACAACTTTATAAAGAAATAAATAAAACATGCCCCAAAAGGGACTGGAGTGATAGCACAGTGGATAGGGCATTTGCCTTGCATGCAGACAGCCCAGGTTCGATTCCCAGCATCCTATATGTCCCCTGAGCTCCTCCAGGAGTAATACCTGAATGTATGAACCAGGAGTAACCCCTGTGCATCACTGGGTGTAACCCAAAAAGCAAAAAAAAAAAAAAGAACAAATGCCCCCAAAATGACCTGTAATTTCAAAGAACTATAATTATTGGCAGAGTATGTTAACCTCAACTTAGTGCCCTCATTAAATAGAATACCAACACCAACTGGCTTTAATGTGTATTTCTATTTCCTGAGACCATATAAACTAGTTTGGAGAGAATTGGAAAAGGAGCCTGGAATATAGCCTCTATCTTAAATGGTTTGCATCACACCTTTTTTTGCTCAGTTTGCTAATCAGAGATCTTATGTTGGTTCAGAAGGACAAAACTGGCCTCCAGTCTTGCCTATTGAAGGCTATCTTTGTTGCAGTGCTTGGAGCAGTAGCAGCTGGCATGGGCGGATCAAAGGAGGAATGAAGGGCTTTCAGAGCTTCATGGTTTCAGACAGCAACATGAGTTTTGTTGAATTTGTTGAGCTGTTCAAATCATTCAGGTACAGCATCTTTCTTCTCACACTTTCTCAGCCTGATATTTTTCTAACACTACTAAATTCAGTTGTTTCTCACCCCTCATCAGTGTAAGAAGCCGCAAGGACCTGAAGGATCTCTTTGACCTCTACGCCGTGCCGTGCAACAGAGCCAGCCCTGAGTCAACCGCACTCTACACCAACCTAACAATTGATGAAAATACCAGTGATCTCCAACCCGACCTCGGTTTGTACAGCAGTTAATATTTTCCTTTGAGACCTTTCTCTGAAAATCACACAAACCCTCAGCATGTTTCCAGAGCATGCTATTGTCTGGTACATGGTGAAAACCTTAGAGAATTATTTCCAGGTGTCTTAGAGACATACTGTTGATATTAGGAACAACTTCTCTCTGTATTTTCATCATCATGAAGTACTATTCATATATTCCAGCATTACTATACTACATTAACTATAGTAAAGCCTCCTGTTGTTCTAACGTCCAAAACCCTTTCCTACCCTTTTCCAAATGCTGCAGATGTGTGTAATCATATATCCCAGTTGAGAACCACCACGTTTTTCCCTGCTTACGGACAAATGGGCACTCAGCCCCAATGTGACAGTTGTCTGCCCTTGACAAAGAGAGTCTGGAGAGATCTTAACGGAGCACTTCTGAGGATCCAGGATATTTCTATAAATATATAAACCGGAAAGTTTGAAGTTTGGTTCTTCATACACTCACTACTACTACCATTACCATCACCAGCCAAGCATTTTTTTCTAGTCATCTGTTTTTTTGTTGTTTGTTTTTGTTTTTGTTTTGTGGAGGGACAGTTATTGAATTGCCTTGAGATAGAGCATTACACAGCTGTTCATGATTGGATTTCAATCATACAATATTCCAACACCCATCTCTCCACCAGTGTAATTTCCCAGCACCAGTGTCCCAAGTTTCCCTCCCACCTCTGCAAGCCACCCCTCATTCCCACCTTCCTCTGTGGCAGGCACCTCTCTTTTCTCTCTCTCTGTTTCTCTTTCTTTCTCTCATTTTAGGCATTATGGTTTGTCTAATACAGTTGCTGAAAGGTTGTCATGTTTACCTTCTTTCAACATTCAGTTCTTGCCCTACTTTCAACATTCAGTTCTTGTCCAAAGTGATCATTTCCAACTAATGTTGTAACAATGAACCCTCCTTTATCTTAACTCCTCTTCTCCCTCAATACCCTTGTAATTTCCAAACATTGACCAGTCCTCCAGCCCATGTCCCCCTAATGTTTTTTGCCTCTTCTGTTCTTGCTAGAAATTATAAATACCAAAAGAAAAGGAAACACGCACATGTTGCTTCTTAACTATTTAAAATCAAATGCAGTCCTTAAGCTAAGAATATTAATCTTGTTCAATTTCATAAGATGTGAATAACTATGGATTAGTTGAGTGAGTTGTTGCACCAAAACCGAGTGGGTGATACGGGAGAGAACCTGGGAATGTTGGTGGAAGGAAACTGATACTGGTCGTGGGATTGGTGCTACAATATTGTTTGCCTAAAACTCAACTCTGAATAACTTTTAAATAATGGTGCTATAATAAAAAATATATAAAATAATAATTAAAAAAGAAATATATCAAAGAATAAGAAAAACTGATAGACTATTTAAAGAGCAATTTTATGTTTACAGAAAAATGAACAGAAAATACAAAGTGTTCCCTTATATTTCCTGCCACACACACACAGGCACACATACACACAGAGTTTCTCCTATTAGTAACATCTTACATTGCGACAATATGTTTGTTACAAATGAGCCAATATTTATTTAATATTAACTGAAGACTGAAGTTCCACATTTATCTTAGAGTGACTTTGTGTTTAAGATCATATTTCTTTTGGCAGATATATAATGACATGTGTCCACCATAATACTATCATACAAAATAGTTTCTCTGATTTAAAATCACCTATGCCTCACCTTTTCATTCCTCTCACATCCCTCTAGAGTCCTGGCAATCACTGATTTTTTTTCTTCTGGTTCCATTGACTTGCCTTTCCCAGAGTGCCATATTGTAGAAATCAAAGTGAATGTAGCATTTTGGGTTGTTCTTTTAGGTAGCAACACCTGTTTAAGGTTCCACCATGTCTTTTCATGGCTTAATAGTTAATTTCTTTTTGGTGCTAAATTATTTACCACTGTTTGAGTGTAGCACAGCTTTTCTAATCCATTCACCTTCCAAAGGATATCTTGGTTACTTCAGAGTTTTGGCAATTATAAATTAAACTGCTGAAAGTATTTGTGTAATGATTTTTGTGAGTATGTAAATTTTCAGCTCATTTGAGTAAATACCACAGAACACAATTACTGGATCAGATAACAAACCTAGTTTTAACTCTGTTAGAAACTGCCAGACAATTTTCCAGAATGTCTTAACTTCAAATAAAAGGCCATACAAAGTTCATGCAAATATGGTGCAGCTGGGGGTAATGTAAGATGAGATTTTGGCAACTTCTTGCAAAAATAAACATACTCTTCCCACAGAATCCAGCAATTATACCCTTAGGTATTTACCCAAATGAGTTGAAAGCAAATATTCATACAGACACCATCACACAAATGTTTTAAACATTTTTTAGTGTATTTTTCAGGCACTATGATTTACAATGCTGTTAATGATAGGGTCATGCATACAAAGTTCTAGCACACACCAGGAGCATTTGGACATGTGTCTTTCCATGTGTCTTTCTTTCATTTTACCCCTCCATGTCCCCCTCCATTTTAAAGTACAGAAATATTGTGGTTTTAAGGGTATATCTACAGTTTCTGAAAATATAAAAATATGGTAGTTTTTTTAAAAAACAAAATACCAAATTTACCTCGGGTTTCCAAATTAATGTACATTTACTCTATTTAGTCTAAACTTGTGGGCTTTCATGTTCATAGACCTAGCGCCCTCGTAGTTTCTTTTATTCATTCATAGTTTCATTTTTTATTGCAGCTGCCCTTTCACTATGTGATGCCAAGAATAACCAGTAAGTTTGATGGCTTGTTTAGACAAATTAATAAAGAATTACTTCAACTTAATAATTCCACCACACCAGAGTCATTCAAATGACCTTTGTGAAAGTTGCTGGCTAGCATGTGCACTCTGTTTCAGATTTGTTGACCAGAAATGTCTCAGATTTGGGATTATTCATCAAGAGCAAACAGCAGCTGTCAGACAACCAGAGGCAGATATCCGATGCCATTGCTGCTGCAAGCATTGTAACAAATGGCACTGGGATTGAGAGCACATCTTTAGGCATCTTTGGAGTTGGCATACTCCAGCTTAATGACTTCCTTGTGAATTGCCAAGGGGAACATTGCACATATGATGAGATCCTCAGCATCATCCAGGTTTGTGTCTGGTGTGTGTGTGTGTGTGTGTGTGTGTGTGTGTGTGTATGTGTGCGCGCACACACGCCTATGTATGTAAAGCCTCTAACTACTCTGATTGTGTTCTGTAACAAATCATTCTTTTTTCCAAAACCTTCATTCTGGGACATAAGTATCATGGTCCTCCCGTTGTTCATCGATTTGCTCGAGCGGGCCCAGTAACGTCTCCATCGTGAGACTTGTTGTTACTGTGTTTGGCATATAGAATATGTCACGGGTAGTTTGCCAGGACATAAGTATAGGCATTTTAAATACAAAATACATGTGTTCTTATTTAACATGTATTTAACATAGACCAAGCCTCCCCCTCCTCAGTAACACTTATAAGTTATCAGAACTTCTTGTTCTTTCACATTCAATTGACTAAGTCTAAGTTTTCAGCCCTTTTGTCATTTATTAGCTCCTTTCAGGGTCTTGCTTTGGTCCACAAGCTGGGAATAGAAAGCATAAATAACAAATTTTGCTTCAAAACAGCTTAAATTCTTTGCTTCTCGGCCTTTTGGTCAAGATCAAGTGCAAAGTAGCTTACATTCTAGTAGGTGAGGCAGATAGTAGACCCCAGAACAACAAAATTTCAGCTAATAATGGACTCTGGAAATAAAACAAAGCTGAGTAGAGAAATGGAGACATGCAAGAGGGCTAGGAGGAGTACACGCAGCCACTGTTGAGAGGAGGAGAAGGATGGAGCCCTGAATGAATAAACCTGAATGAATAAATCTGAGAAAAGAGCATTGCAGACAGGGAGGTGCAAGTTCAAGGATGGAGGCAGGAGCAAGCTCCATATTTTGATGAACAAAAAAGCCACATCAGCCAGGAGACAATGATAGGCATAATTTCAGACCAATAGTCAGGCACATCTAGGCATTTTAGGTCATCAAAAGTTTGACTTTAGTCCGTGGGAAGTGGAAAGCTATTTTTGAGGAAGAGAGTAACAGTGTTTGATTCTATTTCAAGAGGTCACTTTGACCGCTAGGAGGCTGCAGGAGGTGTGGAAGCAGAGAGACTAGGTGGGAAGTTATACAATGGCCCAAGCAAGAAAGATATGGTTGCTGGCAGATGTGAAGCCAGCACGGGAGATGGCACAAGGAGATGGTGCGGGAAGATCATTGATTGTTGTGTCACATGCAACAGATCATCTAGGGTTTTTTTAAATTTTTATTAGTGAGACACCCTGAGGTACAGTTGTAGACTTCAAATTTTTGTGCTTGGGTTTCAATTATACAATGATCAAATACCCATCCCTCCACCAGTGCCCATTTTCCACCATCACGGGTCCCAGTATCCCTCCCACCCCCCATTCCCCCATCCCACCCTGCCTCTGTGGCAGGACATTCCCTTTTGTTCTCTCTCTCCTTTTGGGTGTTGTGGTTTGCAAAAGAGGCAATGGGTGACCATCATGTTTGGTCTATAGTCTACTTTCAGCATGCTTCTCCCATCCTGGGAGGATCCTCCCAACACCCTTTGTTTGGTGCTCCCTTCTCTATCTGAGCTCTCCTTTCCCCTAGCATGTGTGGCTGGTCTCCAAGCCATGGAGCAAAATTCCTGGTACTAATCTCGGCCGTTCTTGGGTGTTAGTCTCCTAGTTTCTTAACCTTCCTTGTAAACTGATGGAGAATCAATGGATTAGCAGTTCAGCAATTGGATTTGATCACTGGAAAGGCTAAAAATGTTAGATTTTTATCTCGGTATGGTTGAGTGCTTGCAACAGGCACTGTGCTTAGTGTTCTCATTTCTCCTCCTGTCAGCTCTGTAGTAGCTCCTATAGTTACTCCCATTTTCAACCACATAAACAGATAGCTTGTTTTTCAATAAATCAACCTTATTATTTTCTCTTGCTCTCTACTTTCTCTTAAGTAAATATGCTTTGTATAATAAACTCACTTAAAGTAAATGTTTTTCTTTTGGACTGAAAAACTGCGTCTTCCCACTACACAGCTAAATTAGTTCAAATATTTGGTTTAGATGTTTCCTGATGAAAAATAACAGCTTTAAAAATGAGGTGGTGGTTGGGTTTTTTTCCCATTAGTTTCCTTTACCTAAATAACACTGTTTTTATATTCTTTGCAGAAGTTTGAGCCAAGCGTTAGCATGTGTCATCAGGGCCTAATGTCATTTGAAGGATTTGCAAGGTAACCTCTAAAATAATTCTTCTCTATTGCATAGACCATATATTTTTTTTCATGAAATCTTAAGAAAAATTGTTTTATTTAGGTTTCTGATGGATAAAGATAATTTTGCCTCAAAAAATGATGAGTCGCAGGAGAACATGAAAGAATTACAGCTGCCCCTCTCCTACTATTACATTGAATCTTCACACAATACCTACCTCACAGGCCATCAGCTGAAAGGAGAATCCTCAGTAGAACTCTACAGCCAGGTACTAAGTTTCCCACTCAGAATGTGGTTTTCATTAACATTTCATTTACATAATGTTCAAAGTCTTGAAAACCTGACCCAAGACTCCTTTGAAGAATTTATAAACTATTCTCTGTGAAACAGGAGGAATGTGAGGTGTGGGGAGACTGCCTTTAAGTTTAGTTGTTTTCTTCTTTTGTTTTCTTTTATACTCCCTTATCTATATTTAACCATTATTCTAGTAGGGGAAATACTTATTTGAGAATCATAACTTTATGATCCAAGTTAGTTTGACCTACTCCAACTCCTACTCCAAGTAAAATTAGATTTTTTTCCCATGGGAAAAATGATCTAATCAGTTTCCTAAATGCTAAATAAATCAATATATTGCAGTGGGAAAACATAGTAGAAAATGCGGTTTACTCCAAAGTTATTCCCAAAATATTGTTTATTTTGCTTTGCAATCAATCCATCTCTATGGCAGCTGACTTTTAAAAATTGCACAGGCTGTAAGCACTGTCCCTACACACTTTAATTCATGGGAATGTTCTTTGAAGCTAATAAGTTGTCGAGACTAGAAAAAGCACATCCTTTTGACCTAAATATCTAGCTCTCAAGGATCTTCATGTAAATTGCCTCTAGCTTAAATTTTCTGCAAATTTCTTGTTTATGCTGCCCATTTTCTGAACGTCTTCAGGAAGAGAAAAGATCATATACAAAGCCAAAAAACTGGAGATTCCTTTCTCTCTGAATGAATTAGTCCACATCTTCCTCAAAGCCTGGACAAAATTTCTGTCTCAAGCTTAGCTGGTATGAAATGTGAAATACACTTACACACATATGCATATGAAATGCACATACACACATGTGCATCTATTTGTTAAACTCTTACATAGAAGAACTGAATTGTATACGTAGAGTAGTAATTTTAGAACTAGGAATCTCCCAAGTGGCCTCGGCTGCTGATAGTAAGGATATAAGCAGCAGAATTGGAGGAGCCCCATACTTAGCCCCCTCAGGTGAAGTCCCCTCCTTTACATAGACCATTTGTAAAGAGAAATCCACCATTAGAGAAAGTTTGAAATTCATTATTCTAGGAAGAAAAAATTAAGTGTGTGTGTGTGTGTGTGTGTGTGTGTGTGTGAGAGATAGAGAGAGAGAGAGAGAGGGAGGGAGGGAGGGAGAGAGAGAGGGAGGGAGAGAGAGAGGGGGAAGAAGGGAGAGAGGGGGGAGGAAGGGAGGGAGGGAGAGAGGGAGTCTTTGTTTCTCAATTAAAATAGGTTTGAATTAATCACTAGCTAGTGGCTTCTAGTTTCCATTATATTGGTATCACATGAAAATAGTTTTATTTGTTTTTAAATCAGTGGGTTGGCCCATTCATAGATATAGTTACCTCCTATTTGGTTTACCCTTCTAATATGTGATAATCTCTTGGGTATTCATAGATTATATGTCGGAAGAGGTATCCAAACATTTGTCAGTGACTCAACTTCTAGTTCTAGATCCAGTATTGCAAATAAATAGTATCTCATTTGAATCATCGATAGTGTGCTTCCTGGAGCACTTTCATGAAGAGATAATGAGATAATAACTTATAGGGATATAAGTTGTAACTGATAACTAACGACTTAAAATGTCTTCATAATGAAAGAGGAAAATTGGGAGATTATATGTCATTTTTTGCCTTTAAAAAAAGGATTAGAAAGCAAGCTGTATCTTTAGATCTCCTTGCTCCTGCTTTATTCCATGTTTCATGTTCATAGCAAAGGTATTAACTACATGACAGAGTTTGAAAATAAGTAGAGGATACTTTTATCTTGATCACATTCATAGAAATGACTAGTTTATTAAGGAATCAGCAACTTGTTTTTCTGAACTTTGATAAGAACACCTTCATCTCCACTGACAGCTGCCCAGATAACAAATGATCCTCTCTAAATTTAGGATGTGCCATCTGGAAGTCTTTTGAGTGACCAAATACATGTTTTGCTATTGAATTTCACCTTCCATTGTTATTCAACTCCAGCAAACATATTTTTACACCTCAATCACTTCTTCCCCTTCCCTACTCTGATTAATTATGAACTTTGACCAAAATGCAGTATTTATTTTAGTACACCCTTTTGCTTTACCGCTGATTGTGAATATAGACAGTTGAAACATGTGCAGGTTTTACTTTGAGACTTTAATCTCAAGTTTCTCATCTTTGGTGGATTTATTCATTGATCATACAGGTCCTCCTGCAAGGCTGTAGGAGCGTAGAGTTGGACTGCTGGGATGGAGATGATGGGATGCCTATTATTTATCATGGACACACACTGACAACAAAAATTCCCTTCAAGGTAAGCTTCAGGGCTATCTTCAAAGAGTCACTATCTTCATGTGTTATTTAAATCAGTGATTCTACTAAATTATACCTTAATCCTGAATTCTTATCCTGAGTTTAAAGATTTCCTGAAATTGTCATGCAGTGTAGAATGTTCACATGTTTATTCTTCTGGAATTGATGTAGAACTTTCATTATATTCACATTGAACCTAAGTTTAGTAACCATTATCTTGCTCGAGCGGGCCCAGTAACATCTCCATTGGAGAGTTTGTTGTTACTGTGTTTGGCATATCGAATACAACACGGGTGGCTTGCCAGGCTCTGCCGTGCAGGCGAGATACTCTCCGTAGCTTGCCGGGCATTCCGAGAGGGACGGAGGAATCGAACTCGGGTCGGCCATGTTGGCTGCGTGCAAGGCAAACGCCCTACCGCTGTGCTATCGCTCCAGCCCTTATCTTAATGGCTCCAGCCATTATCTTAACTATCACATAATACTGTTGCAGTTTTTGCATCATAAAGTGATATATATATATATATATATATATATATATATATATATATATATAAAAGACTTAGGTTATTCCCTTGCTATAGGAAATAAGGTTCATTGGCCTCACTATTCTGCTGATAGCAAGTATTAGAAGATGACTTAATAATTAAAGTTATAGGGGCCATAGAGATATTACAGTAGGTAAGATTCTTGATTTGCATGCATCCAATCCAACCCGGGTTTGATCTTTGATACCCCATAAGGTCCCCCAAGCCTGCTAGGACTTTCTAGAACTGATCTCTAAGTATGGACACAGGAGTCAGCCCTGACTCCTTTAGCCCTGAGCACTGCTGGGTGTAGCCCGCCCCTAAAAAAAAACCAAAATAAAAATAAAAGGAGAATTGATTCCATCCAGATAGATTAATAACTTAGGAAGAATTGTCTCATTGAATAGTTGTTTAAAAGTCTAGGTAGTTTATTATACAATTGCTGTCCTCAGCAGAGGGCCTTTGGTTATGATCCATCATTTTTCTCTGAACCGTGGCTGGACTGAAAAGGAATCTCATTTTATATGTGGAAGTGATGGTTCAAATGTATTTTCACTTTAACTCGTGTTTCTATTCACCTTCTTAAAACTATTGAAGTCTATATTGAGGGGAGTAGGAATTGGTAACTGTATTTACATCTATTTTCACTTTAACTCATGTTCCTATTCACCTTCTTAAAACTATAGAAATCTGTATTGAGAGGAGTAGGAATTAGTAACTGTATTTACACATACACATAAAGAAATATATATCTCTTTTTTCCCAAGTATATTATAAACTTATTGAAGTCAAGGACATATCCTGTGTAGTATCTTTTATCTACAGTATTCTCCAGATAGAAAAAAAGTTATCTTCCTCTCCATTTGGGATATATATAAATATATCCAGAGATAGATTAAATTCAGCCCCCTAGTGACTATTTCTTATAATATATGAACAAAACTCAAAAAGTCTAGTATCTTTATGAAATGACACCTATCGTTTTGCTTAATTTGAATATACAATTGAGCAGATTAAAAAATATTTTTGACCAAAGTCCTGTGTGTACAATTTAGATGTTTTTATTGCAGTAAGTACCTTGTCTACTGTCAGCGTGGAAAGATATCTAGCCTCTAATGAGCTATTTTGACTCTTACAGGAAGTGGTTGAAGCCATTGATCGAAGTGCCTTCATCAACTCTGACCTGCCCATCATCATATCAATTGAGAACCACTGTTCATTGCCTCAGCAACGTAAAATGGCAGAAATTTTTAAGGTAAGCCCTTAGCAAAGAGACAAGACAGTATCTTGGCCTTTGTCTTACAGCAGCTTTTGAGTTTTATCTCTGCAATTGGGCCTCCACTGTTAAGTAGGTATAATCAGGGCTCTCAGACCTGAGAAATAAAGGTGTCTTGAGAGCTTGTGCTTTCTTTCTCTTGATCCATCCATCTTTTCATCTGGAGTGCTATGAGCATTGTTGCGTGGTCTCCTGACACTTTGCAAGAAGCTTGCGGAAATAAGGCAAGATCAACTCTCCACTGCTTCTGTTACCACAATCAATTCAGGGATGCCAGCATGCCATCTCTCAGTTTTTTGTGGAAATACTAAAAATACCTCAGGTCAAATAAGTCAAGTTGTGTCTGGCCCACAGTATTATGGATACGAGTGTCAAAGAGTTCAGACTGAAAGCAAGAGTTACTATGAGCAGTGTGGTTGCCGCTTGCCCCTATACAAAAGAACTACAGTGCAGACCTATATAGTGGCAACCTTGCTAAAGAAGTGCATTGTTCCATTTACTTTGTCCTTCAACGATGGGAGCATCTGTACAACTGTGGCTATCATTGGAAGAAAGAAGCTGAAAGAAATGCTCCCAAATACTGCCCCACAAAATGATTCACTTTTCATTGCTTCCTTTGTCACCATTTGGAATAAAAATCTCTAAACACCTCCTATTACATGCGCCCATTTGTTAAATATTATAGCATGAATTTCACTTGTACATTTGTTGACTTATGTATAAACTTTCTATATATACGACTTAGTAACACATGCTGTATCTCAATTGTAACATAGAAAAATAGGTGAAAGGGAATAAAGACAGAAACAAAGAATAACTTTATGGGGGGAAGATTGTGGTTTAGGCCATACCTGGCAGTGCTCAGGGCGACTCCTGGCTCTGTGCTTAGGCATCACACCTGGCAGTCACAGAGAATCATATGGGATGTTGGGGATTATACCTAGAGTAGCTATGTGCAAGCCCTCTACCCACTGTATTATCACTTTGACTCCAAAAACAATTTTTTAACTTTTTCATTTTTAATGATGCGGGGTCTCATGCAATCTAGTTCTCATGCTGCAAGGGAGATACTTTGTTACTGGGTCACATCATTGACCCAAATACTGTTATTTATTATACAAAAACCCTTTTGCATAGACTCTTTTGCATTTTTATTAAAAATTAAGTATATTTTTCTTATCTAATTTTTAGTAATAAAAGCAATTGAATATTATTATTTTTAAATGGATTAGGTGCCTGGTTTTAAATTAGTTTATTGTATTATTATATGACTGAAACCCAATCATGAACAATTTTGTAACTGTGTATTTCACAGTGATTCAATTCAAAAAAATAATTTAAATTTTTATAATAAATTAATTAATTTTTTTCTCTATGGTTTTAGCACTAACAGTGATTTGACTGATAAAAATACCACACAGGGGCTGGAGAGATAATACAGGGGTTAAGACATTACCTTCTAGTGTTGACCCCACTTTGATCCCTAGCACCACTTACTGTCTCCTAAAAGCACTGCCACAACTGATTCTTGAGTATGCCCTGAGCACTGCCACAATTAGTTCAACCTTCCCCCCTTAAAAGAAACTTACAAAGACCCCTGTATCAGATAGAAATGACTGTCATTATCATCACTTACCAAACCATGGCACTCATTTCTCAATCTCATTAACACAAAGTTCTTGTTAAAATTTGGCTACGGGGCTGGAGCAATAGCACAGCAGGTAGGGTGTTTGCCTTATATACAGCCAACCCGGGTTCGATTCCCAGCATCCCATATGGTCCCCTGAGCACTGCCAGGGGTGATTCCTCAGTGCAGAACCAGGAGTAACCTCTGTGCATCTCCAGGTGTGACCCAAAAAGAAAAATAAATAAATAAATAAATAACAATAATAAAATTTGGCTACATGATTTTCATATTTCCTAATGTTGGATATTTTTAGAGGCTTCATATATATATATATATATATATATATATATATATATAATTGAATCACCGTGAGATATAGTTACAAGTTTTCATGTTTGAGTTACAATCACACAATGATCAAACACCCATCCGTCCACCAGTGCACATTCCCCACCATCAATATCCCCAGTACCTTTCCCACCCTCCCACTGCCTCCATCGCAGACTGTATTCCCCATACTCTCTCTACTTTTGGGCATTATGGTTTGCAATGCAGATACTAAGAGGTTATCATGCTTGCTTCTTTATCTACTGTCAGCACACATCTCCCATCCCGACCGATTCCTCCAACCCTCATTTTCTTAGTGATCCCTTCTCTATTCCAACTGCCTTCTCCACCCCCCACCCTCCCAACCCGCTCATGAGGCAGACTTCTAACTACGGAGCAAGCTCCCTGGCCCTTATATCTACTGTCCTTGGTGTCAGAAGCTTCTTAAAAATATGATGCCTTTTATGTTTTTAAACAAATGAAATGTGCTCAAACCAACAAAAAAACTCTTTGAAAGATTTTTAACTGAGAAAATTTGCTTACAAGTTTCTTGAGTATATATAAAAACTTTATGTTAACACACATTGTTTTCTACAAAAAAATCAATAGATCTATTTTTAGCCAGCTCTTTTATTAACTGTGGAAGCTAAAAATGACAATTTGGGAGTCAGGTGCACATAGTGCTGAGGATTAAATCCAGGGCCTTACACATGCCAGGAATGTGTACTATACTACTTTGAGCCACATTCCTGGCTTAGATGTCTGTTTTTAAATATTCTTTCCAGAACACAAATTTTGTCCAAAAAACCTCACACAGTATCAAAACATTTCTCTTTTTATATAGGGATGGATTAAATACAATTTTCTCTAGTAACATCAAGTACTGAGTCTGGAGTCCAAGGTCACAAAGTATTGCAACCCAGAGTAAACGTAGAAAAAGACAGAAATTTTAGAAAACTCACTCTCTCTCTCTCTCTCTGCTCCCTCTGTCCCATTAACTCAGCAAAAAGAACAGTTGAAGCATAGTTTAAAGAGCTACTTTGCATGTGGGAGCCCCAGTTTCCACACTTGCAGTGCCATTGGGACTCTATATTGCCAAGGATGGATGGTACCTGAATTCCCACGTGCAAAGCAGCTCTTTGAGCTACTGTCTTGTTTGTGTTTCCTCTAATTAAAATATAACTAGAAAAAGGGGTTTCCATAATTCATAATTTCTATTCTCCCTTTTTATGTTGTACACCCTTCACCACCCACCTCCAAGAGGGATGTATGTTTCATTTTGGAGTTTTGTTGTTTTGGTTTTGTTTTGTTTGGTTTGGTTTGGTTTGGTTTGGTTTGGTTTAGGAACCACACCCAGTAATGCTCAGGGATTATACCTGGTTCTGCACTCAGGGATCACTCCTGAGTGCTCAGGGTGCATATGGGATTCTGGGGATCGAACTCTGCTCTGCTGCTTACAAGGCAAGTGCCTACTTGCTGTATTTTCTTCCAGTCTCTTGTTTTGAAAACCATTACTCAGAAAATCTTTGAGAATGTTGCTGCAGTTCTTTATATTGAGTGGTGGCATATTCTCTCCTATCTTGCTTCTTTGCCTCACTCTCTATCTACTTAAAGCTCTCCCTCCTTTTGACTTCTCACTCACATTGGAATGAAGGTTATTTTACAAACAGTGGTGTCTAGTTTACCTAACTTTTCTTCTTTACATCTGAAGACTGTCCCAGACCTTCATCCTGTCCTTCTAAACCCCTCCTACCTTTCAAGAAGAAACTGGTGGAAGGAGGTGGAAGGGACAGATGTGGGGAGAGAACAACTTCTTTCCTCAGTCCTCTCCATAGAATTTTTACAAAAACTCATCTGGGTTCAAATATCTAGTAATTCAAATGCAGACAAAAGCACTAATGTTGTGCTTCTCTTTATTCTTTTCAGACTGTTTTTGGAGAGAAACTGGTGACTAAATTCTTGTTTGAGAGTGATTTCTCAGATGATCCAATGCTTCCCTCACCTGACCAACTTCGGAGGAAAGTGCTTCTTAAAAATAAGAAGCTAAAAGCCCATCAGACGCCTGTGGATATCTTAAAGCAGAAGGTACATCTTCTTTAGTTGAAGAGATTGTAATATGCTATGTTCCCAGAATGACAAATTCCATGTCATGCCAAACTTTCAGATGACCTGCTGGGTAATCAATTTCTAAAGACTGAGTTTCCAAGAATTGTATGTTTGATTTTTGGATTTCCATTTAATTATAGCCCAGTAAATATACTTATTCTACTCCGTCAAAATTTTATTTTGGTGAAATTGATTTCCTATGTAGAATTTACATTATCTAACTTATTCTATGTTGGAGAATGCCTGACTGTGGTCACTAGACCTATGCTCACAACTGCCAGTTCCACTGTTGTTTTGGGTGAGCCCCGTTAGGGAGAACACTCAGACTGGAGTGGAGACTCCTGTGGTTGGTAGTGGGATTCCAAGAGCCACTGCTCTGTGCTCCCAGTGCCAGAATAGATCATCATAACATTAGAACCCTAAGCACTCCCATATCTGCCTCCCCCATATCCTGGGGGTATGGTGCCGCCAGCAAGTCAGCCTGTACCTGCAGAGCAAGTGCATCAGCAGCCTGATGGTGCTTTCAGGCTTCCTGATACCCCAAAATTGCCACTGTGCCTTTGGCTGGGCCCCAACAACTTGGGACCAAGTTTACCAAGAAATTAAACGGCCAAAAGTTAGGTATGTGGGAGTCACACCCAAAACCACCTCCAGCTCAGCTATGCAAGGTTGCTTATTGGCCTTATTTCAAAGACCCATAGATATATCTCAAAAGAGATCAAAAACCTCAGTTAAGCTCGGACCCAAGCATGGTTGAACAGATAGGGGTAAGTCAGAGGGGGACAGGTTGACCTGTTAGCCTGCCCAAGCAGAGCCCCCAGCAGTCACTTTCTTCTACAATCCAAAATCACCGCCATACTCCCGGCCCTAATGCCAGTCTCAGGACGGACCTCACTAAGATATAACACTGTCACTGTTCTGTTGTTCATCGATTTGCTAGAGTGGGCCCACTAACATCTCCATTTTTTGAGACTTGTTGTTACTGTGTTTGGCATATTGAATACGTCACGAGTAGCTTGCCAAGCTTTGCCATGGGGGCGAGATACTCTCTGTAGCTTGCCAGGCTCTCTGAGAGGGGCGGAGGAATCGAACCTGGCTCTGCCGGGCTGGCTGCGCGTAAGGCAAACACCCTGCCGCTGTGCTATTGCTCCTAGGATATAATCTGCTAAAAATTCTGGTATGCAGGTTTTGTGACTGAAATCTCCAGGCTTTCTTGAAATCAGAATGGGCTACCTCCCTACCGCCACCTCCCTGTACTTCCAAAAGTCTCGACAAATACCAAATGCCCTGAACAAACACCATGTCCTCTTAGCACCTGAATTGCAAACTATAATCACAAAAACAAAAGGAGAGAGAGAGAGCAAGAAGGAAATTTCCTCCCATAGAGGGAGGCAGGGTTGGGGGATAGGGATTGGGGGATGGTGGTGGGAAATGTATCCTAGCTGAGGGACGGGTGCCGGATCATTGTATGACTGAAACGCAATTATAAACAGCTTTGTAATGGTAAATCTCATGTATATCCAACTAAAAAAACTTAAAAAAATGTAGAGTTCATGCCCAATTCAATCAGCTTAATCAATGGCTAAATAAATAGCATACTCCTACATTTAAAAAAATATATATATTATATATATATATGGACCCTTTGTCCCGAGTCATCAAGAAAAAAATTTCAGGTCAAATAAGTCAAGTGTCCAGTTTGACTTCGTCAAGTAGACAATTTAAAATAATCAGTAAGCATTCATTTTTTCTTCTTTGGTAGTGCCAGGAATTGAATTTGGGGCTTCACACATGCAAGGCATGCACTATACGAATGAGCCACCTTCCCAACTCCCAATTCCCAATATTCTGAGCATTCTAATTGCTAGAACTCATAAGTAGGATCTGAGTTTAAAACCAAGTAATATATAGTGTGATGTTGAAGGGCACGGTGTTGGGGAGAATTAGGTCTAGTCACTGACCCTATCAAAAACCCGCCCTGGCACATGGACACATCAATCTTCTGGGCTACCAGAGAGATAGTACAGCAAGTAAGGAACTTGCCTTGCATGTGGCTGAACTGGGTTTGATCCCCGGCATCCCTTTTGGTCCCCCCAAGCCTGCCAAGAGTGATTCCTGAGCTCAGAGCATCACCAGGTATGACCCAACCTCACCACCACCCCACCTCCAATCAATCTCTCTGGGTCTTCATTTCTTCATCTGTAAACTGTGAATGCTGAATAATTCAGTCTTCTCCCTTTCTTTCCCTACCCTTTGTTGTTGTTGCACTGTGGAGTGGGTTGGGGAACAGAAAGTTTCACACTTCACTTGAGGAGCAGCAGATATTATATTTGTATTATGGCCTTAGGGGCCCTAACAGCAGTAACAGCAGTATCATCAGAATCATACTCAACAGTGCAGGACAAATTCATAACTCAAACCTATTAGATAAGTGTCCTACCACTTAGCCACATACCAAGATCCCCTAAAGTAATCAGCTTTAAAAGAGCCTGCTGAGACTCAAAGTTCACAAAATCTCTCCCAAGATCAAACACAAGATCTAAGTTCCATGTTTCTTGCCTTTCTGGAACATGACTGCCTCTCTGAATAGCACCTTGGAACGTCCTGTCCTCTGTGTTTCTAGTAAGAACCAAGGAGTTCCCAAAGTTCCCTCCTCACCTACTGACCAGTTTTGCTCTGAGCTTGTTTATGAAACAAGCTTAAACTTGTTTTGCTGAAGTGTTCCTCAAAGGGATTTTTAAGTACTGTGTTAAAATCTTGTACATTCTCTTTCTTTCTTTTTTTTCTTTCTGTCAAGGGTGGCAGAAAGTAGGGGGGGAGGGAATTGGGCCACACCCAGTAATATTTAGAAGTTGCACCTGGCTCTATGATTGGTGGTCATTCCAGCAGTGCTCAGGAGACCAGATGGTACCATGATTGAATTGGGCTTCCTTGCATGCAAGGCATGCAAGCACCTTAACCCCTGTGTTACCTCTTCAGCCACTCTCATACATTTTTAAGGTATATGGGATGCTGGGGATGGAACCGGAGTTGGTAACATGCAAGGCAAATACCCTATCCACTGTACTATCGCTCTAGATTTCTAAAACCACATTTATTCACTCCCCTGACACCCCCTAGGATTTCTCAGAGAGGGCTTATAACCGTATCTAAAAATACTTTCAGTTATCTGTCAGGTTGCAGGTTTGGAACTGGATTCTGTACACATAAGACTGAATGACTGATGGTTGCTTAGAGCTCTGGGATACTCAGTCAGGCCCAACCCCTAACCTGGAAGAACTGGGTCACTTTCATACCGAGAACTTACCCTCACAAGGATGGATTGGCTGAAGAGAAGCATTTCTAAAGCTCTTACTCCCATCTGGTGTTGAAACCCTTACTGAGGACCCCTATCTAAATCATTCCAGAACTCTCCAGAATTCTGACATTGGTCTCTTCAACTCTATAGGGTGCACTAGACTCAAGCAGTTCACACTAGATGATAGGAACCATGTTGAGTACCAGGAATTTTGACAAGGAGTACTTAGCTAGCTGAGTCATCTGAGCCAGCTTTCTCATCTGATCCTTGGTTCTAACCCCTTGACCTATATCTGAATTGCTGTTATTTCAGGCTGAGACCTAAAATGGGATACTTCAGAGAATTAGTATGTCAGCTCCTGGCTATATGTCTGGCCATCGCTGTCCTTCCCAGACTTCTTGCTCTGGTGTTTGAGCATTTAAGAGACTTGGCATACCACTCTCTGGCACTGCTGCCATTTGGGTCTCTGTGGCATCACTCCTGACATGCACTTCTCACCCTTCCTACCAGGCTCCTTGCATCATCGTTCCAGCACTTGGCTCTACCTTGAATGTTAGCTGTTGCGTCAATGTTGCTTTGCTTTTATGCATGACAAATAAACTTGTTTCTGTAGCTCACTTCTGCCTGGAGCAGATTTCCCAAAGTTTTGAACGCTAATCCTATGAGACACTCTGAAAAAAGAAAGAAAGAAAATTCCCTGATTAAATAAGCGTGGGAAATGCTGCATCGGAGCTCTTTGAAGAACCATGATGCCCTTTAGCTTATTAAATGAAGGCTCTGTAAAAATCCCTGTGGCATGAATGAGTTTCAGTCTGTTTGAGCTACAGTGTCCACATTTACGTTGTGTTTTATAGTTACTGTAATTGTCAGTGCTTACATTACAGCCACCAACATGCCTGGATCTGGTCCTCCCTAAAAACCCACCTTGAGAAATACTAGCCCAGGGCCAGAGAGATAGTAAATTGCATTGTTCGTGGTTGTGGTTGGTCCTGGTTAGATCTGCATCACTACATATGGACTCTGAATACTATCAGGAGTTATCTCTGAATAGAGAGAGGGTGAGAGGGAGAGAAAGAGAGAGAGAGAGAGAGAGAGAGAGAGAGAGAGAGAGAGAGAATACCAACCTGGTTAATATTCCATTTTATAGAATGAAAATTTCTGCATTGTTAGATTTTTGTTTGTTTGGTGTTTGGTGCAACACCCAGGGATGCTCATGTCTTACTTTCTTTTATTTATTTATTTATTTATTTTTTAAATTGTATCACAGTGAGGTACACAGGTACAAAGTTTTTCATGATTGGATTTCAGTCAGATCATGTTCCAGCACTCATCTCTTCACCAGCACGTACATTTCCCACTATCCTGGCTTACTCTGGCCCTGTGCTAGAGATCACATCTGATGATGCTGAGGGACAGCATACAGTTCTGGGAATTAAACCTCGGTTGGCTCCATGCATGGCAATGTCTTGATTCCTGTACTGTCTCTCCAGCCCTGTGAAATATTTTATCTATATATAGTCACATGTGGGCTGGAGTGATAGCACAGCGGGTAGGGCGTTTGCCTTGCATGCAGCCAACATGGCCGACCCGAGTTCGATTCCTCCGCCCCACTCGGAGAGCCCAGCAAGCTACCGAGAGTATCTCGCCTGCACGGCAGAGCCTGGCAAGCTCGCCGTGATGTATTTGATTATGCCAAACACAGTAACAACAAAGTCTCCAATGGAGACGTTACTGGGCCCGCTCGAGCAAATCGATGAACAATGGGAGGACAGTGACAGTGACAGTGATTCTATAGTCACATGTATACAATGATCAAATACCCATCCCTCCACCAGTGCCCATTTTCCACCACCACGGATCCCAGTATCCCTCCCACCCCTCATCCCCCCCCTCCATCCCACCCTGCCTCTGTGGCAGGGCATTCCCTTTTGTTCTCTCTCTCCTTTTGGGTGCTATGGTTTGCAAAAGAGGCATTGAGTGGAAATCATGTTTGGTCTATAGTCTACTTTCATCATGTTTCTCCCATCCTGGGAGGATCCTCCCAACACCCTTTATTTGGTGCTCCCTTCTTTATCTGAGCTGCCTTTTCCCCTAGCATGTGTGGCTGGCCTCTAAGCCGTGGACTAAACTTCCTGGTACTTATCTCAGCTATTCTTGGGTGTTAGACTCCTATTTTGTTATTTTATGTTCCCCAGATGAATGCAATCTTTCTATGTCTATCCCTCTCTTTCTGACTCATTTCGCTTAGCATGATACTTTCCACTTAGAAACTTTGGTACATCTAGACAATGGAGTACTATGTAGCTGTTAGAAAAGATGAAGTCATGAAATTTACATCACTTTTAATGGCTGTATTAAGTGATCATTTCAAAGTCTACAAGCGAAAATTAAGTTACTTATCATCTGCGATCTTTATTGATATTTTATAGGCTCATCAGTTAGCGTCTATGCAAGCTCAGGCTTATAATGGCGGGAGTGCCAACCCCCCACCTGCTAATAATGAAGAAGAGGAAGAGGAAGAGGATGAATATGATTATGACTATGAATCTCTCTCTGATGGTAAGAGAAACGAAAGACAAAAACCCAGGCTCCACACAGGAAAATGCTTAGATGATCTTTGTTAAGGGTGTATGTGTGTGTTTGTGTGTGTGTGTGTGTGTGTGTGTGTGTTAAATCTGGCACTCCATAAACCAGTGATACACATCATTGCAATATTGTCCAAGAGCTTCTAACCCCTTGGCAAGAAGACTCAGATGTAAAAAGGGATTCTGTAACTTCTACATTCATCATTCAAGAAAAGAAGAACAGTGGCTGAGAAGTAATACAGGAGTCAGGGTCTCTAGAAGAATGGGTGTAATTACAGCAGAGAAACCTATACTCACCCTCCCCATGTCTGGAGTGACTTACGTGTTTGATGGATTGGATGGCCATGGCTTTATCGTCGCCTTCTCCTAAATCACTTGCAGGGAATAGCATTGCCACTATGTGTTCTCTCTGCCTTCTCTTTCATGGCTTTCGCTCCTGTTTTCTAAGTTTGGAAAAAAGAGGGATTCTATCTCCCCCACCCCTCCTTAGGTTGCCATAGTTCTAAACCAACAAGACATTTCTTCCTGGTCCCACTTGAGGAATAAAACACTAGTGATGACCCATGGCACAATATAAAAAATTCACATGACTCATTTATCTTGCAGATTACAGGGGATGGGTTTTTCTCTTTTTGGGGGGTGGGGCGTCACACCCGGCGATGCACAGGGGTTACTCCTGGCTCTGCACTCAGGAATTACCTCTGGCGGTGCTCAGGGGACCATATGGGATGCTGGGAATCGAACCCAGGTCGGCCGCGTGCAAGGCAAACGCACTACCCGCTGTGCTATTGCTCCAGCCCCCCAAGGGATGGATTTTTCAAGTGAGAAGTAGACTTCAGATGTGTATTTTTTGTTTGCACTGAATTAGAATTATTTGTTAGAGATTGTAAAATGTCTTTGCAGATCCCGTTGTTGACAATGTTTCATTTTAGTGACTCCTGGAAAACAATGTAGTACTTAAAAGCTGTGAAAGTGCTTACTTATATAAAAATTATATATGTATAATGCTACTTCTATAGAAAGTATTTGTTTGCTAATATGCAGATATTGACACTTCCCATTGACATTAAGATAATCAATCCCCATTGCTGGCGTGGATGTGGCGAGAAAGGGACACTCCTTCACTGTTGGTGGGAATGCCGACTGGTTCAGCCCTTTTGGAAAACAGTATGGACGTTCCTCAAAAAATTAGAAATTGAGCTCCCATTTGACCCAGCGATACCACTCCTGGGAATATATCCCAGAGAGGCAAAAATGTGTAGTCGAAGTGACATCTGCACTTGTTTGTTCATTGCAGCACTCTTTACAGTAGCCAGAAACTGGAAGAAATCTGAGTGCCCAAGAACAGATGACTGGTTAAAGAAACTTTGGTATATCTACACAATGGAGTACTATGTAGCTCTTAGAAAAGATGAAGTCATGAACTTTACATACAAGTGGTACAATATGGAAAGTATCATGCTAAGCGAAATGAGTCAGAAAGAGAGGGATAGACATAGAAAGATTGCATTCATCTGGGGGATATAAAATAACAAAATATGAGATTAATACCCAAGAATAGCTGAGATCAACACCAGGAGGATTACTCCATAGCTAAGAGGCCAGCCGGGTATTCTAGGGGAAAGGACAGTTCAGATAGAGAAGGGAGCACCAAATGGAGGGTGTTTGGAGGATCCTCCCAGGAGGGGAGATGCAGGTTGAAAGTAGACTGGACTGAACATGTTTGCCACTCAATGCCTCTTTTGCTGATCACAACACCCAAAAGGAGAGAGAAAACAAAGGGAAATGCCCTGCCACAGTGGCAGGGGGAGATGGGGGAATGGGGGGGGAGGGTTGTTATCCTTGGTGGTGGAAGGTGGACACTGGTGGAGGGATGGGTATTTGATCATGGTATGACCGAGGTCCAAGCACAAAAATTTGTAAGTCGACAACTGTGCCTCATGGTGTTTCACTAATAAAAATTTAAAAAAAAAAAAAGATAATCAATCCCCTCTTTCTCCTGTATCTGTTTTCAAGCTTCAGGACTGTTCTCTGGTCATCTTGGTTCCATGACCCTCCATCATGACCGTCAATTGCAGTCTAGTTTCTCTCTGATCACCAAATATGAATATAATCCATTTCACTTAATATTTGATTTTATTGTTATTTATTGCATCATTCTATCAACTGAAAGCAGATTTATTGGCCCTAGATTCTATCAGATAACCTGAGGGTTGATTCTTTAGTAGGAAGTTAGGAAGAGGAAGAAAATGAAGTCAGGATAATTTCATACAGTCTGTTCTTCCAAAGTATATAAATATTTCAGCTTATTTTATTCTTCATCATGAATTCATGAATCATAAGAAGTTAGTCCAATGGAAGATAAATCCTCTCTATCATAAATTACTCTTCTGATTTTTTCTGTATTTTTGAGAGATGGAAAGGGCATGGCCTTATTCGTGTTATTATTTTAGATGTGTTTGATGTGAAAATAAAATTGGCCCCAAGAAGAGACAGATCTTTCTGATTTACGTTTTGTTATGAGCCTAGGACTTAAACTTTACCCCCACTGAATTTCTGTTAGCTGCCAGCTGTTTTGCAACCTTGCTGTGCCCAAGCGGGGTGTATGTGGAAGGGGCTCTGCTCTAGTGGACTAGGAGACCCGGGGCAATGTCCTTCCATGATTCTAGTCTTGCCTCCCTCCGTGGTATGATGAAAGGGTTTGGGTTGATATCCCTTGTAGCACAGATATATCATCTGTGATGTTAATCCACTACCACCACATGATGACATCATAGCTCTTTGAAAGATTGCTCTGACTTGTTCCTAAACAGGCCTTTCCGTCACCTGTTTAAGGTCATCCTGATACACCTTCCCTTTGCTGCTCTTAAATGCTCTATCAGTCTTACACTGAGGGCTGTGGTTTTTGGTGCCTCACTCAACTCTGCACTCCTCTCAGCATTTTTCTATAGGCAGGACCACATGCAACTTCATTGGAAGTTTTCAAAGGTCTCTGAACTTCTTGTAATAATGGGTCTTGGAGAATGCGATGGAAGCTATTCTCATCTGCTCAGAGTAATGAACATGCTCTCAGAATTCTGTTTGCATTCACAGGAGTTTCACAGGTCTCCAAAGCTCTTGTGAGAATCCCAAGTGTAAGAACCATCTCTAGAGCAGGGGAGATGGCTCAGAGATCTGGGACACATGTTTTGCATGCTAAAACTCTGAGTTCAATCCCCTGTTTTGCGTGGTCCCCAGAGCATCGCTAGGAACAACCCATGAACACCAAGTTGGGAATAGCCCCCAAGCACTGCCAGGTGTATTTATCTCTAGGATATCTCTAACTCCTCAGTTTTGATACATATAAAATGAGAGAATTTGTTCAATACCTCCTTATGTTTCCTATACATAAAATTATTTTTCAGAAAAGGTAAAGGAAGGTGAAGATGAAACATATATTTCAGGAACTCTACATTTTTGGTCAATAGGATCTCAATGAATATTTAAGTAAATGTACATTAATCTTCTGCCAAGTGTGCCTTTTACCTTGACTAGCTTTGAACATGAACTAGCAACTTACTAGGCATATTCTTTGACAATGCATGATTCTAACGAACTAATACATTTCTTTCCATATGACATAGAGTATAATTGGAAGTTTTATGATCGTCACTGAAGATATAGATTGTGAATGTGGCCTTATGATTAATGTTGAAAGCATTTACATTCCTTTCATTGCTACCCATTACATCCTTTAATAGTCAAAGGAATCAATTAATTGAAGATTTCTAATTTCACTTATTCTGTAATCTAAACTGTTGTAATTTATGCTTTGCTTCATACCTTAGTTTAATTTATCTAGCTTTTTGTCTTACTTTTCCTTATTCGTTTCCTCTCTCTGATTCTGTTTTTCTATAGCAGAAGTCCTTACTGCTTCTCCTGCTCCTAACAGTCAGGAAGGTAAAGCCGTTTGACTGAGCATTTTAACTGCATGAATCTCTCTTTTGCTTACACTTTCTTAAGCTTTATTAGCATGAACCTCTAACACTTATGTGAATCAAATGTTGTAAATTATTGAATTGACTTACTTCTTGGCAGGCTACATGGTCCTGATTTTATATAAGAATATTTAACATCAGTATTTGTGGTCTGATAAAATTGTAAATATTGGGTGAGAAGTGAGCCTTTTTCTTTTTCACTTTCAAATAACAAAATCATGATATACATAGAACACATTTAACATTGTTTTAATATCCAAACCATAGTAAGGTAGATCATTTATCATTTGTCATGTTTTACTTTTAGATATATTTTTATTCTTAGCATTAAGATTTTCACTTAATAAGTTACTTTCTAATTGTAACAAAAGCTCATAATTCAAATGACCATTTTTTCTGTTTTTGACATTTTAAGGTAAAATTATTAATAACTGTATTTTAAAGAGAGCTCTTCACTGTCACTGTCACTGTCCTCCCGTTGTTCATCGATTTTCTCGAGCGGGCCCAGTAACATCTCCAGTGTGAGACTTTGTTATTACTGTGTCTGGCATATTGAATACGTCACGGGGAGCTTGCCAGGCTTTGCCATGCGGGCGAGATACTCTCGGTAACTTGCTGGGCTCTCCGAGAGGGGCGGAGGAATCGAACTCGGGTAGGCCATGTTGGCTGCGTGCAAGGCAAATGCCCTACCCGCTGTGCTATCGCTCCAGCCCAAAGAGAGCTCTTAAATCATATAAAAGTGATTCAATAATTAAGTTCTTTTTGAGTCTGTGAACTAAAAGCCTCTTGACATAGGCTATCTTTAACAATTATTGCGCGGTCTATATGAAAAGAAATCATAACTATCTGTATGGAAAAATACTTTTTCATTTAAACTATGGTCTTGCAGATGAACACAAGTATCTGTATATCTTTGCAATGATGTAGAAGTAGACCTTAAGTGAAGCATTTGGTTCTTGCTCACTGAAATCTACCAACTCATTTGCAGACAATATTCTAGAAGACAGACCTGAAAATAAATCATGCAGTGACAAGCTCCAGTTTGAATATAATGAAGAAATACCCAAGAGGATAAAGAAAGCAGATAATTCTGCTTGCAACAAAGGCAAGGTTGGTGATTGGTTTCTGTTAAATTGCATTAATCCTGTAGTACTGTCATTACCTGGTGGGTATTCACTATATCCCTATCCCTTCCTTTCAGTTTCCCCCTTCCTTTTCTCTTACATGACAAAGAGCACACAAAAATGATATAGGTCACCACCTGCAATTTGTAGAAAGTTAGCCATGGATTCACCCAACCAATACTTACTATTGATTGGATGTACTAGGATGTACTAGGTGGCAGAAACTGACTTAGCACAGTAGATAGTTTAATAATAGAGACACACATGTATATAGTGTTTCCAGATGAGTACAAAGGGCATTGTACTTTGGTATCAGAGTCCCTGGGGTGGTATTGGAGAAGTAAGATTTGGCAAAGAAAAAAAAACTGAATTTAGACCAAAAGGACAGCATAGGGGATCAATGCTGAAAGAGGAATTGAGGAAGTTTCAAAGATGTGTAGGAGAAACAAAAAGATAAACAATGTCCAGTTGTCACAGAGGAGTAACAATAGAAAGATAAATTAGACACATAGCTCCTATCTTCATGTACCTCCCAATATAGAATCTGAGAATGTCCATAGACAGTGCAGATGACACAGAGATTATTAAATTGCTATAACAGTAATAAAATATGTTAAAACTTTGAGATATGAGAGATACATGATCAATAATCTACTCATTCGACAAACATACACCGAATGTTCCACACTTAAGACCCACCGGACTAAGCACTGGCAGAACATGGGCAATGAGTTAAATATACCCATTGCTCTCAAAAAAGCTCTGATCTGTGAAGGTGTGAAGACATGTATTTGGATAAATAAAGAGCAAGGTGAAGCATGTTCATGACATAGATAAAGCGTTCTGGGGGTTCAGAATGTAGATGGTGTGTATCATTAAAATGATATCCATTTTTCATTTATAGGTATATGACATGGAACTGGGAGAAGAGTTTTATCTTCCTCAAAATAAAAAGGAAAGCAGACAGATTGCACCAGAGCTTTCTGATCTTGTCATTTACTGCCAAGCAGTAAAATTTCCAGGTAAGAGATGGCAATTTCTCTATAGCATTTGAAGATATCAATATGCCATTTGTTATTTTTTAAAAAGATAACACTGTCTCATTTATTGGTTCATGCATTCTGAATGCTCTCAATGTAATCAAATTGTGTTGTGGAAAATCATTGTTGAAATACTTTATAAATATTGTAGTGACAGTAACAGCTATACCAATGGTAGCAGTAATTATTTTGCTGTCTATTAGGAAAATATAATTCCATTATGTCTTTTCTTAATGGTTAATAATGATAATATGATATTAGCTAATAGCTAAGATTTATTAAACACTTAAGTACCAGAACTTGACTAAGTATTTTACATACATTATCTTATTGACTTCATAATAATCTTATAAGTTAGGTATATTAGGTATAGGACTGGAGCGATAGCACAGCGGGTAGGGCGTTCGCCTTACAAGTGGCCAACATGGCCGACCCGAGTTCGATTCCTCCGCCCCTCTCGGAGAGCCCGGCAAGCTACCGAGAGTATTCGATATGCCAAACACAGTAACAACAAAGTCTCCAATGGAGACGTTACTGGGCCCGCTCGAGCAAATCGACGATCAATGGGAGGGCCTTTACCTTTACCTCTTACCCCCAATTTTAAGTAAAACAAACAAGAGAGATGAAGAAATTGGGCACGGGATGAGAGGGGGAGGTGTAGTTTATCCATCTTGTTTGAAAGAGACAGAATTTGGGACCCGAGAGATAGTCCGTGAGTAAGGCTTGACTTCCAGATAGCCAACGTGGGTTCAGTCCTTGGCATCCCATATGGTGTCCTGAGCACTGCTAGGAGTGATTCTGAGTGCAGAGCCAGGAATAACCCCTGAGCATTTCCTGGTGTGACCAAAATAACCCAAATAGACATAATTTTACTAAAGCAAAGAGGAAATTCATTAGCTCGTGTACTGAAAAATGAAGAATACGTATGTTTCAGGTTTCTCTTGGTCCAAGGCTCTCTCCCCCGCTTCTCATTGTATTGGCCCTGCTGCCTTGTGGTTTCAAAGTCAGCACTGCATGTTTTCATCTGTTTCAATAAAAGAGTCTCATCAAGAATTTTTAGCAGCACCAGTTTTACCATTTTTCATTGGGCTCTTTGTCTATCTCTAAACCAATCACTGTAGTTCAGGGCATTGCAGTGCTCTAACAATATAGGGTCTATGCTTCTTGATTCATACCTGAGCTGGAGACAAAGCTGAATAAAACTCTTCCAGGACAAAGGATGGGGTTTCAGCAGGTAGAAGGTTTCCTAAACTGGCTATTTCTAGAAGTACAGAGAACATAAGCTGTTAAATTCACTTCCACTGAAAATGTGTACTGCAATTAATACATGGTTGAACTATCAATCTGAGTTTTGTCTCCACAGTCCTCCCCTTAACCATTGTGCTACCTTTGTGATAGGTATTCAGTGTTTGTGAGACAAGATGAAATGATCTGAGGCCTTGCCCTGCTCCTTTCAAGCAAGGTTATAGAAATCTCGGATAATAAAAAAAAAAAAAGCAGAAATGTACTAGCAATGACCTCACCCAAGTACATGTCTCACAAATAGTGCTGTAAGAGGTGGAGGATGAACAAAACAGGAAAAATAGTTGGCTCTCTTCAAAGGTGGTGACAGTGGTTGTCATCAGTAAATGAGCCAACAGGATGGATAATGGTTCTTTGCTTCTCTTTCAGTAATCTCTGAGTGCCTTCCCACAATGCAGTCCTTCCCCTTTCTAGATCATCCAAGCCCTCATTTGCTTGCTCTTCCTCTCACACCAAGACAATAACTAGACTCTCCAATAAGGTCCACAGACCTCCAGGGATATTGATTTATGCCAGGAGATGTGTCAGAACCCTAGAATGAACACAGCCCTCATCAGTTCTATTTGGAAGAAAATACACCATTACTTCATTGCATACAAAGCAAAATTTGCCCAGAATTTTAAGATAAAGCACAAAAATTCACTAATCTGAGTTTGTGCATCTTGGTCGCTATGGATACTTCTGAGAAAAATGTAGACCCCCACAATTGTTTTGTGTAATAATCAAAAGCACTCTCCTTGACCGAATAGTCTACTGTATCTGTACATTTACTCAATTGTCATTATTTCACTTAATCCTCGTCACAATCCTGTTGTAGATGAGGAAGAGATGAGGCAGAGAGCTTAAGAGGTTTTATGAGGTTTTGCTACAAAAACAAATTTCAAATCTAAAGTCTACAGTCTTTTGTTGGGTGGGGGGAGGGGTGGCGGAAAGGCAAGGTAAGGGCCACACCCAGAACTCAGGGCTTGCTCCTGGCTCTGCACTCAAGGGTCATTCCTGATGGGACTTAGGAATCCATATGTGGTTCTGGGGCTAGAACCCAGATCGGCTGCAGTCCGGGCAAGGACCTCACCACTATACTCTCTCTCTGCCCTTCTCAAAATCTACAACTCTTAAAGTTCTTTATCCTGTCTCCTCTGTTGATGTTCTTAAAAGATATATTTTCATCTCTAAGAAGATCTGAATGCTGCCTCAGCAGAAGGAATTACTCTCTTATTGTAGATAATGGGAAAAATATGGAGGCAACTCTGCCTTTCCTGGTGCCTTTAAATCCCTCTTCTACATTACAGCCTAGTCTATGTAGTGCATATACATTGCTTTATTCAGCAATGATCACTTTAGTTTTCTCTGTGAACTACCACCATACCAGGCAGGAAAGATGCAGGAAGTGGTCAGACCAAGAGTGAAAATGTAGTAGTACATCTCCCATAGAGTCCTCAGAATAATCCTATAAGTTCCTATCATTTCACCCACTTTATAGATAAGAGAAGGTAGATGTTAGGTCAAAACTCATATTGCGTGATTTGAACCTAGACAACAAAATCTGTTGCTAAATCTTGGCTTCTCAACTATTCTTTCATGCTCCCAAATGAAGTTATTAGATCTTCATAGCTAAATATTGAGAGCAGCAGTTTCTTTTCATGCAGTTTTTCAAAACTGTAGGTTACAATAAAGTGAACATATGTGTGCTTTTATGGTCATTTTGTGATAATTATGTAGTTTTTGTTTCATTGACCTGCAAAGACAAAAGTGTTGATATAATTAACTATAGTGTTCCTATTAACTAGTGCTGATGATGCTAGTAGATCCCCTGTGTTAGGTTAAAAGGATATAGTAGAACTTCAAAATAAACATTAACAGGAATGGAAAATGTTGAGTTCCCTTGCTTGTAGTTTTTGGCTAATTTATTTTCATTTTATGGGAACAGGCCTGTCAACTCTAAATGCATCTGGCTCTAGCAGAGGAAAAGAAAGGAAAAGCAGGAAGTCCATTTTTGGCAACAATCCGGGCAGAATGAGCCCTGGGGAGATAGCATCATTTAACAAAACATCTGGAAAAAGTAAAGTCACTTTCTGACAATATTTTTGCCTGATTCTGCATGCTGGGTGATGCTGATACTTTACTGTCTAAGAATTTCTTTTAACTTGTTCATTCTTTTTAAAATTTTCATGACTGTTCATGAGTGGAGTGTACATATTTTTTAGATTACAAATTTATGCTTTTAACTAAAAATAGCATTGTACTGAAGACATTCTAATAGTGTTTGTGCTTCAAAAGCAAAAAGTGGGGGCCAAGGACATGACTCAAGTGGTAGAGCACATATCCTACATGACCTGGGTTTTATACCCCTATCTCATGGACCACCAGGAGTAACTCCCAATTTGATAGCGACAAAAAGAAAAGTACGGCAAAAATTAGAGGAATTTGGCTGAACTCTACCATTTTATTTTTGTGTTTTATTATAAAAGTAATAAATTCTTTCAATGAAAGACTCAAACAATACAGAGTTAAGGAATTAAAATTCCTTTCTGCTCTCAGTGTCCTCGTTCCACTTCTCCAAGGTAACTACTGTTAGAATTATTTTGCTTTGTTAAAGAAAAAGAAATTTTTTAAAGGTAATCTAAAAGGGATACCACTGCACATACTTTTATGTGTTTAATACTTGCTATAACATACTATCACAGAACTCTCTGTATCTTATTTTTCTTAGTGTTTCTGTGATATTCCATTGTACTGATACACTGCCAATTATGTAACCATTTCCTTACTGGAGTGACTCTTGGTTTACATTCTGGTTTGAGGTTTTGCTTGGTTTTGGTGCTAAGGATGGAATTTAAGGCCTCACACATGCCAGGTTTTGTGAAGCTTTGCCACTAAGCACAGTCACTATGGCTTTTTTTCTGCCCCTGCTCCCGTTCGCCTTTTTCCCCTGTAATAAACAACACAAAAGGGGGGTGCATCTTCTATATGTAGATGGCCTGGATTCAGTCCCTGATATTACAAGGTCCCCTGAGCTCCTCCAGTGGTGCCTCCCCACCACTAGCACAGGGCCAGGAGTAGCCTCAAGCACTGCTAAGCATGCCCCCCCAAAAAAATTGATACCATTGTACAAATATTATTGGTGGTTTTTTTCTTATATTTTTAAATTTGGGGCCACAACTGTGCTCAGGGTTTACTTAGAGTCTGTGCTCAGGGATCACACTTGTCAGTGTTTAAAGGACCGACCATATACAGGACCAGATCAAACTTAGGTCAGCTGCATATAAGGCAAGCACCTTACTCACTGTACCATCACTCCAGCCCATATTGTTGGGTTTTATACAGATATATTCACAGGTCAAGTACGGTATTGAAGAAAAGGATTTGCAAGATTTTAATTCATATCAGTGTGGCAAGACTGTTTTAAAACTCAGCAGCTATAATTTTTTTTCAAGATGATTGATTGACTATCAAATATAATATTTAAGTTGTTTTCTCATGATACTGTGTTATTGTTACTAGGATATTGTTCAGGTTTATCTTTCTGAAGTATTTCAAGTTTCCTGCACTAATCGGAGGCTAATCTCTTGGGGGGTTTAGGTTCCTATGAAGGAATGCGACAGGCCTGGGAGGAATCCACTTCCCCCCTCAACCCAACCACGTCCCTCAGCGCTATCATTAGAACTCCCAAATGTTACCATATCTCATCACTGAATGAAAATGCCGCCAAACGTCTGTGTCGCAGGTATTCTCAGAAACTGATCCAGCACACCGCCTGCCAGCTGCTGAGGACATACCCGGCTGCCACCCGCATCGACTCGTCCAACCCCAACCCCCTCATGTTCTGGCTCCATGGGATACAGCTCGTGGCACTCAACTACCAGACCGATGGTAATGACCGCCGCCCCAGGCAGAGGGCGCAACGTGCCCTCTCTCCTTTGCCCCTCATATTTCATGAAGCAGTGTCATTTTCTGAAGGGACACGATTTTGTGATACTGAGAGTATAAAGACAGAAGGCAGAAAGGAGTGGATTTTTTTATAGGGTGTTGCAGCTGGGGGCAGAGGTCACTCCTGGTAGTGCTGGGCACAGTCACCTGCAAGCCTCACAGTGTTCCGGCCTGGTGATGCTTGTTGGCCTCCAGGGCTCCACCCAGTGGTGCTGGGCAGCAGCATGCTCTGCCTGGGGCCAAACTCAGGCCTCACCTGCGCTGGGCATATGCTCCACCATGAGAGCTTACTTCCCAGTGCCCTGGAACGGAACCTAACTCTGAGTACTGCCCTTGAGGTCTCAGAGTTAAGGTGACAGTAGAGAACCTTGAAGCAACTGCCAATGATCTCCTGTTCCTGCCTTCTAATTTGAAGGCATTTTTTGTTTTTCTCTTTCCTTCTTTCTTTCTTTCTTTCTTTCTTTCTTTCTTTCTTTCTTTCTTCATTGGGGGGGGCATACCCGGCGATGCTCAGGGATACCTCCTGGCTCTGCACTCAGGAGTAACTCCTGGTGGTGCCCAGGGGACCATAGGGGATGCCGGGGATTGAACTTGGGTCAGCCGTGTGCAAGGCAAATGCTCTCCCCGCTGTACTATCGCTCAGGCCCTGAAGGCACTTTTTGAAAAGAATGATATTATTTTTTGTCTTGTTTTACTGTGGGGTGGGCACACCTGATTGTGTTCTTACTCCTTACTCCTGGCAGCACTCGAGGGACCATATGTGGTGCCAGAGATTAAACCTGGGTTAGCCGCATAGGTGCCCTGCCTACTGTACTGTCTCACCAGCCCCTCAAGCATGACACTCTCGATAGAGCCATGTCCAGTTTGTTTTTAAAGATCTCTGAGGGCAGAGATTTTTCTGACACCACATTTTGTAAACTGCCTTGCTCTGGTATGGCCTCTGTAGACAAAAATTAGTTTTGTTCTAAAACTTTGCAAGTTAAAACTATTTTAGCTTCTCTCATCCATTTACGATTGAAATAGACAGTAAAGGTCTCGTTCCAGGAGTAGCTGACACAATGAAAACAAGTGTGTGAATTACACAGATGGGGAAATAGTGTTTGCTTCTCCACCATCAAATGGGTCCTCAGAGCAGATCTCTGCTGAGCTCTCCAGCCCCAGAGAAACTGACTCTGCGTTCACTGTGTGCCAGGCATCGTGCCCAAGTCTTGATCCCTTTGATCTCATCTTCACAACAGCCCTGTGAGGTGGATACCTTTGTGATCCCCATTTCTCTTACAAGCAAACCAAAGCACAGAGCAACTCACGTGTTCTGGGTCACAGGATATCTTGTATTAATAAATATCAGGGTTCCTGGAATTTAAACGATAAAACATTTTGTTTCCACTTGCTCATGGAGGAAGGAAGGGAGCTGCAGATGACAGAGGAGATGGATGCTTCCTAGAAGCACATTTAAAACCACAGCCTTTGCTCTGAAGAGTCAAGCAACAAACCATGCTTCTCACGCCTCTCACGGGGGACTGAATCAGAGCTAGCTAGCCCAGCTTGCCACCTACTGATCTCCAGCAAAGGTCAACCCACAGATTTAGTTCTGAACAGCAAATGTATGATCAGAGATACAGTCATATTTTTGCCCTTATATCTGTTTCCTTCTATTGAAGTTAATAAGATAACGTAGGTGCCTGGCATACAGATAACATTCCATAATGTTAACTATCAAATGCTTTTTAAGTTATATATATATAAAATTTTATAGTTATATATATAAAATTTTAAGTTATATATATAAAATTTTCCTCACAAGTAGAAATGATAGAATATTTTCAAAGTTTTACTAATTTCTTTTTTAATCAATTATAAGTGGCTTGTAGGATCACATCTGTAGCCTTCCTGTAGCCCTGTGTTCACTGGACACTTTTTGTTATTATGATACTAAAATATTTCAAGTAAACTAAAACAACTCACAGAAGTATTTTCTCCAGGAAATGGAAGTGCCTTTGATTTCAGCTGTTTCTTCTCTCTGAGTCTTTGAGACAGCTACATACTGTCCCTATTGATTGTAAAGAGAGCCAAGACCAAACACACAGGCACACACACACACAGCTCCTCTTTGAGCCACCTTGCAGTTTGGAAGGACACATTGTTGCTGGCATAGCCCCTCTAACCCAGAATGCTTTGCCTTGTTCCCAAATCCAGCCAGGAGTGCTGGTTTGGGCTGTCTCAGGGCAGGCAGCAAGACTCTGTTGTATGGTTCATTCTCAGCTTCTCAATCCAACTAGGATGGGAGTTCTGCCATAAAATCTCCCCTGATTCTGTACAGGAAGCAATGATTAAACATCTCCCCGTGCTGGAGAAAACCCGTACTACACACAGCTTCGGTGCATCCATCTGTTAAAGTGGTTTCATTGCTGCCAGGAGAGTGGTCAGTACCTTGCACACAGGACATAGGAATTTTTTAAAAGCCTGCTGCATTGAGTGGAAACAGGATTTTTTTTTCTTTTTTGCTATACCCATAGGTTGTGTTAATTCTTTTTTTTTTTAACTTTTTTAAAAATTGAATCACCGTGAGATACAATTACAAAGTTGTTAGTGATTGGGTTTCAGTCATACAATGTTCCAACACCTGTTCCTTCACCAGTGTACATTTCCCGCTACTGATGTCTCTAGTTTCCCCTCCCACCCACTCCCACCCCAGCCTGCCTCTATGGTCTAAGATGGTAGCAACGTTTCCTCTTTCCCATCCCCACCCCGTACCGTACCCCCCCACACACACACATTCTGCTTTGCACTGCAGGTACTGTAAGATGATCATATTTGTTCCTTTACCTGCTTTCAGCACTCAGTTCTTGGTCCATGGTTGGAAGCTTGCCACAAGTGGGGTTGGCGGCAGTTAGAATGGAGAAGGCACCACTACAACAAAGATAGTTGGAAACGATCATGTTGCCTTAGACATTGCTTGTGAACCTCACCTGTGCTGATTAATTTTTAATCCAGATTTCTTCTAGTTGTTTCTCAGTGACTTTCGATTCAAATACACAGATAAAAATCAACATTGGTTGGGACTAGAAAGAACGGCCAATGTTGGAGCTGGAGCAATAGCACAGAGGGTAGGGCATTTGCCTTGCATGCGGGTTGGATTCCCAGCATCCCTTATGGTCCCCCGAGCACAGCCAGGAGCAATTCCTGAGGGCATGAGCCAGGAGTCACCCCTGTGCATCGCTGGGTGTGACCCCCCCCCCCAAAAAAATAATAATAGAATGGCCAATGCTGGTTTAGTCCTCTGTACTGGATGTGGTACCCTGAGCTTCACCGAAAGTAACCCCTGAGCACACAGCCAAGATTCAGCCTCGAGCACTACAGGTGACCCGAAAACAAACAAAACAGCACTGGAAAGAGGAGGGCAGAGAGTGAGTGTGGTGATCGGGAGTGCAGACGTTGCCTGTGCCAGCAGCTGAGTTCAAATCCTGGCACCCCATGGCTCTGGAAATTTCCCAGCACCACTGGGGTGGCCCTCAAGATCCCTAGCACTGCAAGCCTGAGCAGCTCCACATCCTCAGGCCCATGCACTGAACCACCTGGTCTGGTTGACTGATATCACTGGTAGTACACCCCATTGTCCCCTGAGCACTGTTTTGGTGACACCCAAAATAATATGTATATTTCCAAAATGCAAAGAGGCAAAATTGGGATCACCTTTTCTTCTTAAAATCATTTTCAACTTTGGTTTAGTGGCCACACCCAATGGTGCTTTGGGCTGCTTCCAGCTCTGTGCTTGGGAATTTGTCCTGGTGGTGTTCAGGAGCCCAAATCTGAACCTTCTGCATCCAAAGCACATTCTCTGCTCACTGAGCAATTCCTGTTTTCTGACTATTGAAAGAATGGCTACACTTGTGGTTGAGTTATCTTGCAAAGCATCCCAGGCACATAACAAAGAATCCCTCCCAGTGTCCTTCTGACCTCCAAGCATGTTCCATGAATCACCTGCCTCAGCACTTCCTGTATCTCAGGGGTTCCTGCTTGCACCATCAGCTCAGAGGTGTGCTGCGATCTGGACCACAAGCAGCCCAGGGCTGCGTCTAAAACCAGCTACCGAGTTTGGAAACTGACCAGCACGTATTGTGTAGACCCCTGGTTATTGCTGGCAACAGTCCCTCAAAAGCTCTCTCCTTCTAAGGCGAAGATTCCTGCCTCATTTCTCACCACATGTGAGTGTGGAGGCTTGCAGACCCTATCGAAAGAAATGCTTTGCTGCTATTTATTATACTTTCTTGAATGTCATGCTTTTTTATGATACCTTTCCAATGCAGGGATAATGATTAGAATCATGTCTGCTTACTCCAGGGGAAATTTTTTTTTGGTGTCTTTTGTTTTAATTGAGGTAACTAGTTTGCAACTCTGATTCATGAGCACAGGTGTACACCACACCAAGCCCACCAGCAGAGTTCCAATAATCCTCCACTACAGTCCACGAGGCCCTCCTGCCCTTCACTTCCACTTCCCTTTCCCTCCCTCATAACTTCAGTTCTGCAGTCAGTTTTTTTGCAAGGATTTATTTTGGATTGTGTTTTGTCTTTTCCTTTGTTTTTTTTTTTACTTTGTAGCCCACATATGAGTATAATCTTCTTCTCTCTAATTTTGCTTAGGATAATCCCCCTCACTTTTTCATCTGTATTATCACAAATGACAAGAGCACTTTCTTTCCTTATTTTTTTTTAATTTTTGACCCACACCAAGCAATGCTCAGGGATTACTCCTGGATCTGCAGTCACGAATTACTCCTGGTAGTGTTCAGAGCACTGTATAGGATACCTGAGACGGAATTCAGGTTGGCCGCATGCAAGGCAAATATTCTGACCACTGTACTATCTCTTTGGCCCCACAAATGACAAGATTTCATCCTTACAGCACAGTATTCTGTTGTGTATCTGTACCACATTTTCTTTATTCACTCATCTGGCATTGGTCACATGAGTTGCATCCATATATTGGTTATTATAAATAGTTCTGCAAAAAACATGGAAGTATTTTTTTTGCATTTTCCTTTCTTTGGCTGACTGTGCAAGACAACAACAACACTTTGTGGCATTGTTGTCCAGAGATTGCACATTTGGTCACAAGTACAGCAGGGCTTGCACACTGTGTTGGCGTCAGGAATCACAACTCAGTGCTGGTTATCACATTTGGTGATATAAGACAATGCTGGGGATCAAATTCAGGACCTTGTATACAAGGAGATCCACATCCTTGTACCCTCATACATCTTTTCAAATTAGAGTTTTTCTATTCTTTTGGCAATTACCTTGGAGTGGAATTACTATATCATATGATAATCATATTTGGAGGAAGCTCCCTGCTATTTTTCATAGAAACTAGACCAGTTTACATTTCCACCAATAGTGTTTGAGGAGTCCTTTTTTTCTCCAATTCCTCACCAACACCTATTGTTTTCTTTTTTATATAGGCCAGTGATTTTCAACCACCTATCCACTGGTGCCAGTCCTCAGGTGTTCAAAGCTAAAGTACACAGATACAGCCACTATCACATGTATAGCTGATAAATCACTGTCATTTTGATACTGCAGGACTTTTAAATGATCAAATACTATAAAAGTAATGATATGCTTAATCTACCATCACATGCATGGATAAGGAGGTGCTGGGCCTCCAGGACTTGTGTACTCTTTTATTCAATCATGGGATGGGTGTAATATTGGCTTCTGTGGTGGGATTGGTGTTGGAATATTGAATGCCTGTAACAAATCATCATGAACAACTTTGTAAATGACAGTGTTTATATAAGTGTAAGGGGGTAAAAAAAAGTGTTGTATAAAAATTATATGTCATATATTTTATATAACCACAATTGTATATGCTTATATACAATATATGACATATAATTTTTATACAACACCATATACAATATATTACATATAATTTTGCATATAAATTAAATAATATACATTGTATTATATATTACACATTACACGTGTTATGTGATATATAATATGTGTGATACAGCATATATTACATATGTAATATATCATATTGTTTTATTAATTAATCATATAATTATATATTATATTGTATGTTATAGTATTAGATATATTGGTTTCTGGGCAGAGAGATAGCACAGTGAGTAAGGCACTTATTTGGCACACAGCCGATCTGGGTTCCTGTATCCATTTTACACTTACCAGCCCTCCTGAGCTAGTCAGTCAGCTGTCCAGCCCATGTTTATGTTCCCTGTGCGAGTAGTTTGGAAAGATATGGCAGACAAGTTCATTGGTTTCAGTGAATTGGTCATATCAGGGGTGGGTGGAGCCTGAGAGATGTGGTCTGACTGTCTGACTTTACAGACAAGGAATCTGAAGCCCAAAGAGTTTTCATGTCTGAGACATCTTTCTCCCAGAACCCTGCAGAGTCACATCCAATCGCATATACACAAAATTTTTACCAAAATAGAAATCCTGGTACCAACTTCTCATTGCCCTGCAGTGCTCCCCACACTTTTTTTGATGCTGGTCCATGTAGCAAAGTTCACTCTGTACATGTAAGAGTCTGTCAGAGGGAATATTTGTCAGATGTGTCACACATACAATTCTGCTCCTTTGGGCAACTTTTATATAGTCTTGAGCCTTTAATGAGCATCTAAGAGCACAGGGGCCCCCCAAAAAAGGGCAGGTATCCAATTACTTATGGAAGTTTTGGCATCAAGGATTGGAAACTGTTGTAAGCATTCCCAGAGATTGTGATTGGGGAGATGTTGACATAATGTGAACCACATGTAACACATGATATGAGATTGATTTTCAACTACAAAATGAGAGAAAATTGAGAAAATAAAAGGGGGGATGAAAGTAGTATGTGGCAGCATTGTATGTCCTTGTACCTCAATAAAAATGTTCTTTTAACAGTAGCTTACAAATATCTTTGTACTCAGAGGGATCTCGATCCTGACTGGACAGTATTGGTCAGAGGAGATAGTGTAGTGACACCCTCCTTAATCTCCATCACTTTCTCATCATTCCCATCCTGAAAACTAAACCCCCCTGCTGACATTTCTCCACCAATTTCTGTGGATGTATGCCTGTACATCAATAGCACATACCCACTGTTTTACCTCATGAATATTCATTACCTTTCATGAAAAACTACTAAATATGTATAGATTGTTACATCACTTGAACTCTATGGGCATAAACCAGATGCCCAGTTATTTCTTTGAATCCTGCACTACAGCCTGTGCTAGTTAGAAATGCTTAGGCTGTTTTCTTGCCAACAAAGCTCTCACTTTTCTACCCAGTTGTTTCTGTGTTTGTGGGATGATATTGAAGGTGATATTACCTACAATATTGTCTCTCATCTAGTTAAACAATAAAGGTAAAGGTAAAGGCCCTCCCGTTGATCGTCGATTTGCTCGAGCGGGCCCAGTAACATCTCCATTGGAGACTTTGTTGTTACTGTGTCTGGCATATCGAATACTCTCGGTAGCTTGCCGGGCTCTCCGAGAGGGGCGGAGGAATCGAACTCGGGTCGGCCATGTTGGCCGCGTGTAAGGCAAACGCTTGAAAATTTTTAATGTATGGATTGGAGTGGGAACTTCAAAGAAAAGATGTTTTTGTGGCATATCTCCTCTTCTTTCTCAGATAACTAAAATTTTTTCTTACATTTGAAGAGTATTAATAAACTTGTTAATATTTAGACATTTGAGGATAAGATATCATTACTACTTTTTAAAAAAAATTCAGTATAGAAGGAAGTTTTTCAATGAACGCAAACCCTGGATTCTGACAACAGAACTGAAGTCGTGTTGTGACATGAGGGAAGGACAAGAGGACAATAGGACACGGAAGTGACTTCAGGATAGTGGTGGATGGTCTTGGTGGGGAAGGTGAATATCTCTGTCCACCTAAAGCATAAACATTCGCACTATTGGAACCATGTCACCTCAATGACAATGAAGTATTTCAAATAGATAAATTAGGTATTTTGAAGATTTTTTGATTCATGTTATAAATTTTTATTTGTAAGAAGTTTTTAAATGGCAGAAATTGGGTAGGAGTGGAAACTCAACATATCCTATAGATGTAAGGGTTTATTTCTGACTGTGCATAGGGAACACTACCAGGAGTGTTCTGCACTCAGGCATCACTCCTGGCAGGCCCAAGGGACCATATGTTTATCTTGGTTCCTACTTCCTGAGGGTTGCCATAACCTGGGACCAGAGAGAAGTCAGTCAATCTATGGACTGAGTTTTCTCTTTTTGTTGATGTATGGAACATTGATGCAACTTTGTGTTGGATTTCAGAATAAGTCTCTAAACTGACACTTGTCTTACCAAACCATCCTGACTTTCTTTTGCAGACCTCCCTTTACATTTGAATGCTGCCATGTTTGAGGCCAATGGTGGCTGTGGTTATGTTTTGAAACCCCCAGTTCTGTGGGACAGAAACTGTCCCATGTACCAGAAGTTTTCTCCCTTGGAAAGAGACCTGGACAGCATGGAGCCTGCCATCTATTCTTTAACTGTAAGTGTGGCCCAGGGTACACTAATAAGGATATGAATCAGAACTCATTTTTCATTCAAAGCATTATAGAGCTGTCATGCCATGACTTTGCTCAGATTGTAATTCCTGAAAGTGTCTCTTCCCTTCTCTGAAGACAGGGGCTATGGTGCAGGTATGTTGTCATCGAGCTGTTTTCTAGAGCCCAGTAGGTGGTGGTGTAAGCTCCCTTCTTCTGCCTACTGCTGATCACACTGAGTTGAGCTCCTCCTTAGAGCCACTCATATTTTACTCTTACTATCTGTCGTAAAATCAAAGATGTCACTCTGAAATACATTTACTCTTATAGTTTAACTTTTATCATTCCTGGATGGGTTTTTTGTTCCTTTTTCTTACCTAATTAATTGTCAGAACTCCACAGACTGCCTTTAATAACAGATAACTAACTCATCACACAACTCAACTTTCCTTATGCATGCTCTTCTAGCTGCCAAAGGAAAATAACAATGCCAGTGAATCAGTAATGCCATGGAAGGACAAGGCTATCTCCTTCATGCATTCCATCTGTTTCTCTCTGAAGGAAGAATGTCAAGCAGACTCTGTTCTGAATACCCCAGACCCCTGGGAAAATACCCATTCCCAGATATCTCTCCACAAAACTACTTTTTTCTTTCCTTTTTCTTTTTCCTAAAACAACAGGCACTTGCCCCTTTAATATTTGACCTTGTTGTTTGATTTTGTGTTTGGATAAAACTTTGTTTTGTGTGTGCTCCTGGTGGGGTGCAGGGGGCCATATGTGGTGCTGGGGATTGAATTGGATTCAGCCACAGACAAGGCAAGGGTCTCATCATTATCCTGTCTCTCCAGCCCCTCAGTTTGACCTTTGCAACTAGAGTCAGATAGTTTTACCTGTTAACAGAAGCAATAAAGTTTTGTCTTAGTTTGGGTTGTTTTTTTATTAAGTGCCAGGCATCAAACCCAGGTCCTTCACATCCAAAGCATGCACTCTGCCGCAGAATTATATTACCCAGCCTATGAATCAATGTTTAACAACATCCGATGTCTATTGCATAAAAATTGAATTATTCAAGAAAAAGATTTTGACATTATAAAGTCTGCATCTAAAACATTTAGAATAAAAGAGTTTGTAACAAATTTGTGGTGACATTGCCTAAAGTTCTTTCCCTTTTCTCTGACCTTGAGAAACTTAATTTTATCTTAGTTTCTTGCTTTGAGAAGATATTTAAACACCTAAAAAGTTGTAATCAGGTGAATGCTATTGACAAAACAGACTACTCATGTTTCTAGTCATACCAGTATCCAATTGATTACATTGGTACCTGATTAGACTCACTTCCATTTTTTTATTTTTTAGCAACTTTATCAATCATTTACCTGGTCCTTTGCAAATGTCTTTTTTCTTTCTTTCTCCTCTCTGTGGAGGGAAGTGGTGAGGGGAAGAGATTGCTTTGTTTTGTTTTGTTTTTCCTAATTTTTTATTTTTTTATTGAATCACCATGAGATAAAGCATTACAAAGCTGTTCATGATTGGGTTTCTGTCATACAATGTTCCAACACCCATTCCTCCACCAGTGTAATTTCCTAGCACTAGTGTTCCCAGTTTCCCTCCCACCCCTTCAAGTGACCTCTTACCCCTGCCTGCCTCTATAGCAGACACCTCTCTTCTTTCTCTCTCTCTTTCTCGCTCTCATTTTAGGCATTATGGTTTGCAATACAGATACTGAAAGTTTATCATATATATCTCTTTACCTGCTTTCAATACTCAGTTCTTGTTCAGAGTGATCATTTCCAACTAGTATTGTCATAATGGACCCTCCTCTATTTTAACTACACTCCATCCCCCACACCCTTGTGGTAATTCCCAACCATTGACCAGTCCTCCTGGCCCATATTCCCTGGTCTTGGATATTAGTTTCATACTTTCTTTTTAATATATCCCACAGATAAATGAAGTCATTCTATCTGTCCTCTCCTTCTGACTCATTTCACTCAGCATGATACTCTCCAACTCCATTTATGGGAAAATTTCATGACCTCATTTTTCCTAATAGCTGTTTAATATTCCACTGTGTAGATATACCCTAGTTTCTTTATCCATTCATCTGTTCTCAGGCACTCAGATTGGTTCCAGATTCTGGCTATTGTGAACAGTGCTGCAATGAATGTCCAGATGTTTCTGCTGTGTGTTTTTGGGCCCCAGGGTATATTTCCAGAAATGGTATTACTGGGTCAAATGGGAGCTTAGTTTCTAGTTTTTTGAGGAATGTCCATATTGTTTTCCAAAAAGACTGGACCAACCATTCGACATTCCCACCAACAATAAATGAGGGTCCCTTTCTCCCCATGTTCACGCGAGCATTGGTTGTACTTGTTCATTTGTATGTGTGCCAGTCTCTGTGGTGTGAGATCATATTTCTCCCTACTGATTAGCGATGTAGCTTGAGTGACTTTGATTCTCTTCCCCTCCCCATCAGATTGTTTCTGGTCAGAACGTGTGTCCAAGTAACAGCACGGGAAGCCCCTGCATCGAAGTTGACGTCCTGGGCATGCCTCTGGACAGCTGCCATTTCCGCACCAAGCCCATCCATCGAAACACTCTGAACCCCATGTGGAATGAACAGTTTCTCTTCCGGGTTCACTTTGAAGATCTGTTGTTTCTTCGTTTTGCAGTTGTGGAAAACAACAGCTCAGCAGTTACAGCTCAGAGAATCATCCCTGTCAAGGCTTTAAAACGAGGTAGACTAAAACTGTCGAAACATTCATTAATACTTGTGCTAGTGAGGAGATGAGGACCTGGAGTTTTCTAGTCTCCTCCTTCCGCTTTTGTGTATTTGACATTTGCGTTTCAAATGTTTAAATAGAGACAGGAAGGCTAACTTGCACAATGAGCACATCTCACAGGGTTGTGTTTGGTTTGGGGGGGAATATTTTTCCCGGTTTTCACTTGGCTCTGTGACTTACTGTACTATTAATAACAGAGTTTCAGTCAGTTTCACTCAGTGTTCTAACCCCACACCCACCACCACAGTCAGCACCCCTCCACCAATGTCCAAAGGTCCCCTTCCACACTCCACTCTCAGTCTCTTAGCAAGCTCATTTTTCTTTAATTATTGTAGTTCGGGTCCCATGCTGCCATTATCGTAATGTTGACTCTTACGGTTTTGATGTACACAGTTGCCTCACCTCTCCACCATCAGAGTGTCCAAGACCATTGACAGTGTCCTTGTGTTACCTCCAGGCTACCTTATTATTCCCCGCTGCGTTACTTGATATTCTCAGTTCTATAATCCAGGGCCAAGGATTTGCCATCACATGATACATTTTATTAGCTTATCTTGTTCCTCTGTACTTCACAGATGAGTGAGATCAGGTGGTTTTGTTCTTCTCCTTCTGACTTATTTTGTTCACATGATGCCCTCCTACCCCACCTAAGTTGCTGCATAAGGCATGATTTCATCTTTTCTCTTTCTTTCTTTTTTTTAAATTGAATCACCATGAAATACACAGTTATAAAGCTGTTCATGATCTAGTTTCATTCATAGAGTGTTCCAATACCCAGTCTTCCGCCAATGTACATTTACCACCACAGATGTTCCCAGTTTCCTTTCTGCTACCCTCCCCCAACCTCTTTTTATGGTAGACACTTTTCTTCTTCTTCTTCTTCTTCTTCTTCTTCTTCTTCTTCTTCTTCTTCTTCTTCTTCTTCTTCTTCTTCTTTTTCTTCTTCTCTCTCCCTGTCTCTCTCGCTTGCTCACTTGCTCTGTCTCTGACTCTGTCCCTGTCTCTCTTTGTTCTCTCTCTGTCTCTCTGTGTCTCTTTCTGTCTCTGTCTTTGTCTCTGCCTCTCTCTCACTGTCTCTCTCCCCCTTTTGGGACATTACCGTGTGCTATAAAGATACTGAGGGGTTAGCATGTTTGTTCCTTTACCTACTTTCATCACACAATTTTTTATCTAGAGTGATTATTTCTAACTATCTTTGTCATAGTGGTCCCTTCTCTGTCTCAACTGTCTTATCCCCAAGTTTCCCATTGTGGAGCAGTCTTCCTGGCCCTTTTTACTACTATCCTTAGACATTAGTCTCATATTATATTTTCTTATATCCCACAAATGACTGCAGTCATTCTATGTTTGTCCCTCTCCTTCTGACACATTTAACTCAGCATGATACTTTTCATGTCCATCCATTAGTGAATTTCATGACTTGGATTTTCCTAACAGCTGCATAGTATTCTATTGAGTAAATGTACCATAGTTTCTTTAACAGCCATCTGTTCTCAAGCATTCAGGTTGTTTACAGATTCTGGTTATTGTGAATAGTGCTGCATTGAGCATAGCCATGCAGATGGCATTTCTGCTGTGTGTATTTTGGACCCCTAGGGTATATTCCAAGAAGATTTTGTCTTTTCTTATGGTTACACAGTATTCCATTGCTATCTATCCCACAAGTTCTTTATCCATGCATCTGACACTGAATATTTGGATTATTTTCATATCCTGACTATTGTACTCAGCACTGCATTGAACATAGATATGCATTTGTCTTTTCAAATTAACATTTTTGAGTTTTGAGAATAGAAATAGATACCAAGAAGTGGAATTCCTGGGTCATATGAAAGTGCTATTCGTAGTTTTTGGAGAAATCTACATACTGTTTTCCATAGAAGCTTAACCACTCTTGTCTTTTCTTTGTTTTTGAAATTTGCAGTATTGACAGCATCCCCTGGTGAAGTAAGACCTCTCCCACCCCTTCTGACATTATGAACACAACTAATGAGTTTTTCCCAATTCTGCACAATTTCAGGATACCGGCATCTTCAACTGCGAAACCTCCACAATGAAGTCTTGGAGATCTCTAGCTTATTTATCAATAGCAGAAGGATGGAAGAAAACGCCTCTGGCAGTACTGTGCCTGCCTCTTTGGTAATTCAGTTCTGTTTCGCTCAGCATATTTGCAGGAATTGCTGTGCTGAGTAGGCTTTCTGTGATATGGAAAGTTAATCATTAATTAGGGAGTAACATTTTTACTGGCACTTGATACTTCCTAAGCACACGCACAGAATCACTTAGTCCTCTCATACAATCATGAAAGCGCTATTAGTATCATCTCTATTTTACAAACCAGAAAGGCAAAAGCTGAGTGCTTCTAAGGTGACACAGGTTCATCCTGTCAAAACCTATACCCTTGAGGAACATTTTATGATGTCTAGCAAGCAGTGATCAAAAAAGAAAAAAAAACAAGGGAGAAAGAATAACTAAACAAAACCTGTCAGGAAGCATCTCAATATTTAGAAAGTAAACTTGCTAGAAGTAAAACGAGAAGGGTTATTTTCTAAAAGTACAGGAAAGCCTTTTCTTCTTCAGCCATCCAAAGGCAGGTATCACAAATGAGCAGGGTTGGGGTGTACAAAACAGAACTTGTGCCCTAGATCTTGGTGAGAGAGCATCCACAGGAAAGAAGCACCACAAAAGGCAACCTGTTACAGATTCAGTGTGTTACCAAGTTCCCCAGGGAAGGTTCATTCTCTTTGAAGTTTCAGAACCATTTGACCAGCACTAACTCAAGCAATGTAGGGCTGTTTACTTGAACAATTAATACTGCTGTCATTGGCTGGTTAAATTAATGGTGCTTGTTGTTTTGTTTTTGTTTTGTCTTAGGGGACAACATTTATTCCTTTTCCAAATGTTATAGTGAAAGCAGGTGAAAGAAAAAAAAAGTACAATGGGAAAAGATACTTATTTAAAATAAATCTGGACGTTTTTCCCTCTAGAAAAGCCTGCTTTCTCTTTTGAATATTTATCTCTATTTATCTCCCTTTTTATTTCTTTAGATTTCTCTAAATAATACTATTTTGCTTAATTACAAAATAAATGAATAGATAAAATCTGTATTTTTTTGTGATACACTACTAATTATCCTCGCCAAACTGTTAGTAAGTTTTTATTGCTTCTAATACAAAGAATTGTACCAGGTTATAAGGGAACTGATTCATTTGCATTAGCATCTTCCTATACATACTTCTGATAACTGACTCTTCTTTATTGAATGTATCCTATAAGTGGCATGTTATTTAGTATGAATGAAAAAACCATATTATCTCCCTTGACAGATGTTTAATACAGAAGAAAGAAAGTGTTTGCAGGCTCATAGAGTCACAGTGCATGGGGTCCCAGGTCCAGAGCCTTTCACTGTGTTCTGTATAAATGGAAGCACCAAGGCAAAGCAGCTACTCCAGCAGGTACGTTCCTCCAAGGCTGGGAGGATGCAACATCTAATGTATTTCTCTATGTGTACTGTTGTGGAAATGTGTGTGTATAAACACACACAAGTACATAAACACACAAAAGCCTGTGTTGACAATCCACCTTTTGGATATTTCTATTATTCAGGATGGAGATACCCCCTAAAATGATATACAGGGTCCTAGTACCTAAAGCTATAGAGAAGAATTTTTATCAATCTTTCAACCACATAAAAACAGTGGGCTTGAGACTGGAATGTGGCTGTGTGGTAGAGCATATGCCTCTCATGTGTGACTCCCTGGCTTCAATTCCCAGTACCAGGAAAAACTGCACTGAACTCCAAAATGATAAACACCAAAACAAGTGATTCTCCAGCACATGCTCACTTTCCCTCTCACCCGTAACATGGTCCTCATTGTCCCTCTTAAAACAGGGTTTTAATCAATCAGTAAAATTCAATCAGAATTTGCACATCTGCCGGATGACATGCATTTGCTATCATCGAAGTTGGATCAAATTCTTAGCTCATCAGGATGGACCACTTGGTCCAAAACAACATCTCAGCACCTCCAGCCAGAGCCGTTCATTTGCATATGGAGCAGCTCCTGTGTCTCCCTTCCCCTGGCACTCAGTCTTAGCCTTTGGTGGTCTGGTGTGTGTGGAGGGCTAAACCCTGTTGCAGATTGGCCTAGGTCCCCTCATCGTGTGCAGCTTCCACTCCGGTTTCCCTTTTTCTCCCCCTATGCCCCTGGTTGTGGAGACCTTCTACTGTTAAAGCTGCTCCCACAGAGGGCTCACTCCTAATAGGGAGAAGGCCAGGAAAAAGAGCAGCATGTGGGGAGGGAGTGCAGCTCCTTGAAAGGACAAGGCAGTCCCCTGGGCACAGCCTTAATCCTTATCAATACCTTATCCATACCTTTATCTCTACCCTCACTTTTGCTCTTTCAGTTGTCCAAGCCTCTCAGTGTTTGAAAATGCCACAGAAAACAAGTTATTTCAACAGGTCTTTTTATTAAAAAGACCACATGTACTTAACTCTTATCAGATTATGGGCTGGAGCGATAGCACAGCGCATAGGGCATTTGCCTTGCACACGGCCAACCCGGGTTTGATTCCTCCGTCCCTCTTGGAGAGCCAGCAAGCTACAGAGAGTATCCCGCCCACCCAGCAGAGCCTGGCAAGCTCCCCGTGGCGTATTCGATATGCCAAAAACAGTAACAAGTCTCACAATGGAGGCGTTACTGGTGTCCGCTCAAGCAAATCGATGAACAACGGGAGGACAGTGCTACAGACAGTGCTATCAAATTATATGGCTAGCATTGCTCTAATTAGTTATGATTATTGTTACCCTCCCACTGTGCCTGATGTGTACATTAAACTCTATCATAACACCTGTGGGTCGGCAAGCACAGTTTGATACTGTCAGTGGTTTCAGACACCCTCTGGAGTCTCACACATAGCCCCTGCAGAGGGGGGATGGCTCTGGCTACTTTCCTTGTCACAGGACATACCAGCACTGCTTGTCTCAGTGACCTCGGATCCTTGCAAAAGATTTTATCCCTAATCCATTTCAAGATCCCCTCTCCTCCTTGGGGATAGGACCAAAGGAGTCATCCTCAAATGCTCCCTGAGTTAGGGTCTATGATGAACTGTAACTAGCATCATAGACTTGTCGGGGTGCGGGAGGTTAAATACCAACTGACTGACTGTAAACGGAACTCTGGATAAATAGCTCTGTTCTTTAAACGAAAGTCTCTATGGACAAGAGAGCATTTTATAATTGACCTGGAGTCAGAGGAACAGTGTCAGATTTCATAGCTTTCACAAGAGCTTCTGTGATTTTGTCTTCTCTGTGCATCGATCAGACCAGGAGCCATATTGGGGGAGTGGAAATGGAAATGTGAAGATACAGAGTACAGAATCATTTCCATGGAGCATCATTGCATCCCTGCCAGTTCCTATAGATTAGCAGAGAGCCAGCTCTCACCTGCCGATAATAGAGTCGGTGGCCTTCTCCCAAAACTCTGTGTCCTGAATTCCAGTGTAACAGTTGCCTAGCCACTTAGAACTCAGAGCCCACTGGCAATTTTAAACTGAGGAGTAGGATGAAAGCCATCTTCCTAAGAATCTTTGGGCCCACCACCCATGTTTACTAGATGGTGGCAGCCTTCTCTTGTCACCACTGCAAGCTCAGCACTTTGCCAGGATATGTAGGTGAAGGCTGTGCTCAGGTGAAAGAATGAATACAGAGGCTCAGGATGGGAGATGCATGCTGAAAGTAGACTATAGACCAAACATGATTGCCACTTAATTCCTCTTTTGCGAACCACAGCACCCAAAAGGAGAGAGAGAACAAAAGGGAATGCCCTGCCACAGAGGCAGGGTGGGACGGGGGGGATGGGGGTGGGAGGGATACTGGGACCCATGGTGGTGGAAAATGGGCACTGGAGGAGGGATGGGTACTCGATCATTGTATAACTGAAACCCAAGCACAAAAATTTGTAAGTCTACAACTGTACCTCATGGTGTTTCCCTAATAAAAGTTTTTTAAATAAATAAAATAAATGTCTTAATAAAACAAAAAGAATGAATACATTGGCGAGAGCACCTACAGAGATGGGCAGTGCAGGGGCCAGGGAGATTCCTCGCAGGAACAGAGGTCTTAGCTGGCTTCCCCAGAGTCCAGGTTTGATTTCCAGCATTGCATGGCCTCCAGATCATGCCAAGTTGAGCCCTGGAGCTCCCCCCGCCCCCCAACACTGAGTAGGCTCCCTCAAAAACTTCATTTGTAAAAAAGATGTGAGTGTTTATTGAGTTCTCAGAATATCCTCATGTTAGGTTTTCTGATCAGCCTCAACCATACAACAGAAATAAGAGGTTGTTACTCTTTCCATTTTATAGATGGGGAAGCTAACTCTGTAAGGGGTTAAAATTCTTGCCAACACCTCACAACCCATATTCAAGGCAGCCCCCAGACACAGGTCGGTGCAGAGAGCCCTGCCTAAACCACCGAGTTTCCCCACCCAGAGTCAGTAGCCAACAAAGAAAACAAGTCTCTGGGCATGTTGTCAAGAGTTTATTGAAAGGAAAATTCCCGGGATATTAGCTCAGATGAAATTAGAAGATGATTGAGTACTTCCAACATGAGAAAAAGAGGTTATCTTGGTAGAAGCCAGACTAGATTCTTTGCCTTCAGTCAGAGTCAAAGTTGCAAGACTATAAAGAGCTAAACTCATACATTGAAAAACCTAAAAGTTTTTTATTCAGTAGGAGCTCTCATTCCAGCAATGGGAAAAATAGTTATACTGTCTGGGGATTATAAATTGTTTCGTTGCCCAGAGTGGACATAAACAATTCTTTTTGGACACTGAGCATTCTCAGATCTTCCAGAAAGAGTTATGCAATGCCTCAGAGCTGGTTTCACTTGTAAATTACGCATTAAATCTCTCTGAACGCCATGACAAGAGACTTGTTTTGAGTTCAAGTTTTTTAACCTATGCCTCAAAGGTGTGCCTAAATTTACCTGCTTTTTATTTTTTTAGATTCTAACCACTGAACATGACAGTAGACCTATTGTCACAGACTATTTTTTGATGGAAGAAAAATACTTTATATCTAAAGAAAAGAATGAATGTAGGAAACAGCCATTCCAGAGAGTCATCGGTCCAGAAGAAGAGATCATGCAGATTTTAAGCAGCTGGTTTCCGGAAGAGGGATATGTTGGCAGAATTGTCCTAACCCAGCAAGAAGTAAGTCTATCGGGAACCACCATATACTCACAGCTGTGTTTAACCTGCTCTGCTACTGCCCACCTCACTTAAATTCAGAATGTCATGCAATTGCAACTTGGTTTTTGTTCTTTTTAAATGTGGAGGTTCTGTTTTGTGCTTCTGCACATCTTATAAAATGAAGGAAACAAAAATTCAACAGATCCTTACGTATGTCATCAACTGAGGGCCCAGCACTTTATTTACATGTGTAGAAAGATGTAAATGGTCATGAGGTCCCAACACTGCGTAATGTAAGTCCTGAAAGGCATTTCACATTTGGCAGGTGGTAGGTAGCCTTTCAGTCAGTGCCTATAAAGTTTTTGCTAATGAAATGTTCCGTGCTTATAAATAAAGCATGTGTATTTTTAGGAAAATGTTCCATAACTTTATGCAAAGTATAGATAATCTTTCAGTCTTGGTCAGAATGAGTAAAAGAACACAGTGACCACATTGGAGTCAAATCGGTTGACACCTATTGCCATTCATTGGTGGTGTACTTTTAAAAATTTTTTCTGAATTAATTGACAAAAACCCACACACTTACTGCCACTTTTCAGATTGACCTGGAAGGGTCAGCAAAGACATACCTTCTGATGTGTTGACACCAGGAGAGAGTCAGTTAGTTCAACAGTTGAATCCAATTGTTGAGTTAACTCATTCACTTTTGTCTGTGCTGAATCTATGACTTTATAGGCACTTATGGAGCACCTAATCTGTGGCAGGCCTTGTTTTGGACACCTCATCTGCTCCTTTTGGACAACGACTAGAGCTTGACCAGTACAGTGTCCACTAGTCAATTTCTTGCTTGTCCATTTTAGCATCACATGTTATTTTTCACTTTCAAATATGAGCAAGGCCTGTGGCCTCTAAGGAACTCCTGCATCTCCTCTGGGATCCAGCCTACTGCCTTCCTTCCTTCATTATCAAAGGATGCCTTTAAGCAGAGAAACTGCCTTAGATCATCAAAGAATGCCTTTAAGTAGGAAACATAAACATCTCCCAGCCTTCTCTCCCTGCTGAGCATACAAATTGCTAATATGGAAAACAAGCTGTTCTAATAATAATAGTTTCCTGAGAAAATATCAGATAGCATGGTGGGACTGAAGATGGGAACATTGCATGCCCAAAACCCTATTGTAAACAACTTTGTAAATCACACTAAAATGTAAATTAAAAAAAAGGAAGTATCAGAGGGATTAACTGGGTCTTTGACACCATCTTTAGTTTCTCTCTAATTTTGTCTTATTTCTACATGTTTGGCCTCAGTACTTTGCTCTGTATACCCCCCAAATAAATAAATGCTCTAAGCGACAGTATCAGTGAACAAGTGAAAAATGCCAACTGTATATTTGCAATGTAGCATAGAGATAAGCAAGTGAGATACATGTTCAGGGGTGAACATGGGCTTGAAGAGCAAGCCTTGGAAGATTTTTTAAATAACTGAAGGATAATAAATCCCGTTTTATGTGTCTAGGTTTTATCTGGGTCAGTAATGCTTGATGGTTACTGATTAAATAAATGAATTTGTCAATTATTGAACACAATTGGATGGATACCAGTACACCCATCTATTTGGGCTCTAAGCATTTCCATATATTTTTCTCTATAGAACTGGTAAGATATATAATCAGTGTGCTTGTATATTAGAAGTTCCCGGACTGCTCCCTATGACCTATGTTCTCTCCAACCTGCCTTTTTTCAATTTGCTTGTCTCTGGGCTGACAAGCTGTCGGGCCACATCTTGTGATCAATACACCCTCCTTGGACACTAGCTGGATTGGAAATTAGACAAATCTGGCTCTGCCATCTCTGAGATGACTGGAGAGCTCATCTTGACCTTTGTAGACTCCTGTGTCCTAAATGGTAAAATCTGTCATAGAAATCACTCATTGTGATTATTGTCAGGGTCCTACGATAGTCATAACCTGTGACTTTTAAGGCCCCTGAAAACTCCTTTAATAATTAAGCTCTGAGTGAGGTTCAAAGGAGTTTTTTTAAAAAAAAAATAATGCCGGGGGATCCAGAGAAATAGTAAAGCAGGTAAAGTGCTTCCCTTGCATAACCTAGCCAGTTTGATCCCTGGGGCCCTATAAGATCTCCCAAGCACTGCCAAGAGTAACACCTGAGTACAGTAAGGCTGAGAATAGCGGGTGTTGCCCCCAAACAAACAAAAATAATAAATATAACAGTACTTTGTGCACGTGATATTAAGTAGCAATATTTGTACATGTATTTTAAGTAGCAATTGAGAAGGTTTTTTTCTTTTCCTTTCATGCTTGTTCCCTGGTTTTAAGTAAATTACTATGCAGTGCCTCTCTCTAACTGGTTACATTCATTATAATCAGTGCAGTGAATTTTATGCCATAAAATCTCTAGGAATTGAAGTGAAATGATGAAGAAAAAAGCAGTATACCTAGATTATAACCTCATTTTATATAATAGAACTAGGCAACAACTCTCATGCAAAAATTATATAGTAAAATCAGCCCTGTAAATTGTAGGGACCATTACCACAAGCTTCATGAAATGATCTGGGAGGCCTATGGCAATGTGTCAGATATGCAGCTCCAGCATCGTCAGCATCGTCCTCTCTGGTACTAACTGCGACTTGGCGCCACCTGGTGGCCGTTATTCGGTCTGACTTTAACATCAATGTTGGAATGACTGGGTTCTGTGACTGATGGGAACTTCAGAGAATGCCAGGGAACCTTGGGTCCTTGCAGTTAGCGCCATTTCGATGACCTGCTTAAAGGAGATGAAGTTGGGAGAATTCAGGAATCAGAAGACTTCTGTCCAGATGTTCACTCCCTAATAGATGCCTCACCCCTCTTCCTGCTGCTCCTTGCAGAAGATTTAAAAAAAAAAAAAAAAAACTAAGCCACTCTGAGCTGGAGACAGAACACAGAGGTTTAGGTTCTTGCTGTGCATGCAACTGACCCAGGTTCCATCCCCAACATCACATATGGTCCCCCAAGCATGCCAGGAATAATCCCTGAGCACAGAGCAAGAAATCAGCCCTCAGCACCACAACGTGTGACCCAACTTCAAATAAACAAATAAACTGAATTAAAAACAAAACAAAGGGGGCTGGAGCGATAGCACAGCGGGTAGGGCATTGCCTTGCACGCGGCCGACCCAGGTTCGATTCCCAGCATCCCATATGGTCCCCCGAGCACCGCCAGGAGTAATTCCTGAGTGCATGAGCCAAAAGTAACTCTTGTGCATCACCGGGTGTGACCAAAAAAGCAAAAACAACAACAACAACAAGAGAAAAAAAAAAACTTTCCTTTGAAAATAGGGATAACCAAGGCCAAGAGCCTCTTGATAATCACTTTCTTTCTAGTCTACACAATGCTAGGGTTTCATTTTATATATTTATTCACATACAAAAATACACTTATTTAGCTATAGTAAATGTTTAAAAACACTCATAAACTAACAACACTGAATCTCTCAGGAGAGAAGTGATGAGAAGTGAAAAAGCTTGCCTTTTTATTAGTGTATAGGATACCTATGTGTATAGACACATCCAACAATTTGCCATGTCTGTAGACATATACATAAAGATAACTGAAGGCCAGTTCACCAAAAGCCAGCCAATTTGATGGCCAAATCTGATCATTATAAAAAATTGTCAATATTCCTTTTAATGCAACTTACCTCAAGCATTGTTTCAGCTCACTGTGGGTTTTTATTTCTTAAATCTCACATGTTTCACTTTTCATGCATCCAGTATTTCTTTTCTTTCCTTAATCTTTGGTTTTGAGGCCACACACAGCGATACTTGGCAACTGCTCCCAGTTTGGTGCTCAAGAGTCACTCCCAGAACCACGAGAGGCCAGGGACAGAACCCAGGGTTCCCATGTGCAATACTTTGAGCCTTTGAGCCATCTCCTTGGCCCCACATCTAGTGTTCCTTAAATGCTCCATATTTGTATTGGAATGGGCAGGTTTTCTCATGATGTGTTTTTTACTTGACTTTTGGAAATCATCAAAATAATATATTTTCTCTTATAAAATTGTCTACAGTTTACCGGACTTGAAATCTACCAGCTAACAGGAACAAACTCTTTTCTAGACCAGCCTTTTTATCTGTCTGTCTACATAAGCAGAAATCATTAGAGATCTTTCTTTTTTGTAGGGGCAGGTGGGAGGGAGGAAGTAGATTGGGCCACACCTAGGGATTTTCAGAGCTTACTCCTAGTTCTGTGCTCAGAAATCGTTCCTGGCAGGTTCAGGGAAACATGGGACACCCGGGTCAGCTGTGTGCAAGGCAAGTACTTTCTGGCCCTACCTACAGACCTTTTGTTTCTGTCAGAACAAACACGTACACACACACTCCTACACACATATACACGTGCATGCCTATATATCTTTTAAGAATATTTTATGAAGTATTAACTATTTGAAATATAAACAAGAAGTTGTGAAGCAACACCAAAACCTAATGCAAATTGTTGCTGGATTTCCTTTCTTTTCATCTGATCATTTTTTCTCCTCTTGCTTCTTGATCCTTTTCCTATAGAATGTAGATGAAAGGAGCATCACCCAAGATGACAAGGAGGTGATCTTGAGCTCGGAGGAAGAGAGCTTCTTTGTCCAAGTGCACGATGTTTCTCCAGAGCAACCTCGAACAGTCATCAAAGCCCCTCGAGTCAGTACCGCACAGGATGTCATTCAGCAGGTGAAAAGCTCCCATCCCTTTCCTAGGTGTTGATTATTGCACCGAAACTGATCCCAGCTCCTTTCAGGAATGAGATAATTAATAGGGGGAATGACAGTGTTAGCTGCAACTCTGCAGATGGGAAATGGGAAATGGGGTAACATGATCAGAAGGTCCCTTTTATCTCTTTAAGTCCTTAAAGTTTCATGTAGGAGGAAAGCAAGTGTTGACTTGGAAAGCAAATGACCTTATTCAGTTGCCATGACTTATCTTTCAGACTTTATGCAAAGCTAAATATTCTTATAGCATTCTGAGCAACCCCAACCCAAGTGATTATGTACTTTTGGAAGAGGTGGTGAAAGATGCTACCAGCAAGAAGACTTCTGCCCCAAAGTCCTCCCAGAGGGTCCTTTTGGATCAGGAGTGTGTGTTTCAAGCCCAAAGCAAATGGAAAGGTGCAGGGAAATTCATCCTTAAGCTAAAGGAACAAGTACAGGTAACATTTAAACTTATTTTTCTCTTTACAAATTAATTCTTCCATATTCCTAACCACCTTTTCTCTTTTTTTGTTGGGTTTTGTTTTGTCTTTTTGTTTGGGGGCCACACCCAGTAGTGCTCATGGCTTACTCCTGGCTCTGCATTCAGGCAGGCTTAGGGGACCCCATTGGTTGCTGGGGATCAAATTTGGGTAGGCCATGTGCAAGGCCTCCTCTCACTCCAACTGTACTATCACTCCAGCCCATAACTACCTTTTCATCAAATTGGGAGCTAGTGAAATCTAAGAGAAAGCATCCAAGTCATGGGATTTCACTGGAAGAAATTCGTTAGACTTTTGTTTTTCTGTGTGTGAACAGTGTTCCTCTCTGTAACCGACCCTCAAGAGGAGCCCCTCTGCCCTTCTTTCCAAAGTTCTGCTTTCCTGAAGGAGGGGGACGGTCAGGTGCAGGATTCTGGCCTTCACTTGGTATCAATGACGGACTCTTTCTTTCATAGGCATCCCGAGAGGACAAAAGAAAAGGCATTTCTTTTGCAAGTGAACTCAAGAAGCTCACCAAGTCGACCAAACAGCCCCGTGGACTCCCGCCCCCTTTGCAGGCATCAGCCTCAGAAAGTGGCCAAAATAAGGAGGAGAAACCTGCGGGCAGCTTGTCTCCCACTGACCTGATAGACTCTCGACAGTGACCCGGCAATGCAGGCTTCACCCAGGTACACTAAGTCACCCATGCACACTATTCTGAACCATAGGGCCCCACTTACACCACCTTGTGCGGTATAGTTTATATAGGAGTCCTCTTTTCAATGAGGAGGTCATCACAGCAGGTAAGAATGAGACACCCAAATATTGTCTGCCATGGAGGCAATGGGAGGGTGGGAATGAAAGGGTATACCGGGGATGTTAGTGGTGGACAATGTGCATTGCTGGAGGGATGGGTGATTGATCATTGTGTGATTGTAACTCAAACATGAAAGCTTATAACTATCTCACGGTGATTCAATAAAAAAAAATAATAATAAAATTAAATTAAAGAAACAAAAGAATGATACCCCTAGACAGGAAGAAAACTCTGAAGAGATTGGACTTCAGCCTTTATGATCTTAGACCTCCCCATTATGTGGAGAACTAAAGAGTCACCCCAAGAGGACAACAGATTTGCTGAACTACTCCACCAGCCTAATTTTGTCCAACACAACTGTCTTAATCAGGGGTAGCTCAAACATTCTGGAAGGGCTGTCTTGGGCTGGTCATTCATCTTTTAGTCTTTTGGATTTCTAAGATTTGTTGGTTAGTTTGTTGTTTTGTTCGTTTTTTTGAGGGGGGGTTGCTGAGGGTCTGGTGCCCACACCTTGCAATACTTAACCAACTGGTTTCTTACTCAGTCATGATACAGGGCTGATCAGATCCACTGGTGCTGCAAGGGGGTCTGCAGGAAAATCCCAGTGGTACTGGGGATACTAGAGGTAGCCTGAGCTGATAAGGAGTTAAATCAGAGGCTGTTATCTCCTGATTCCAGATTTCTATTTTTATTCTGTAAAATTTGATTTAGCCTCACACCCTCAATTTCTTTTGCCCCAATTTTTTTTTCCCTCCCATTGTTCATCGATTTGCTCGAGCGGGCCCAGTAACGTCTCCATTGGAGATTTTGCTGTTACTGTGTTTGGCATATCGAAGACATCATGGGCGGGTGGCTTGCCAGGCTCTGCCTTGTGGGTAAGATACTCTCGGTAGCTTGCCGGGCTCTCCGAGAGGGGCGGAGGAATCGAACTCGGGTCGGCCATGTTGGCTGCGTGCAAGGCAAATGCCCTACCGTTGTGCTATCGCTTTGCCCCAATTAAAAAATTAAAATCTAAATAAATAAATAAATATCGGTGCATGCACAGGGATTAAGTATCGCCTTGTATGTAGCCAGTCTCGTTTGAACTCTGCTCTTCAGAGCCTCTGAGCCCTGTGAAGAGTGATCCCTGAGCACAGAGCCAGGAGTAAGCCCTCAGCAAACCCAGATGTGACCCAAAAATGTTAATTAGCTAAAAGAAATTAAATTTGGCTTCTAGGATCTAACAACAAAAAGAAAGCAAAATTACCTAGCAGCCTTCACTTGGAACTGCAGTAAACTAAGCCTCTAGTTGCCAGCTCACTGTTTGGTATTCATATACAAATTAAATTTCATTTTCTTTTAAATCAGATTATTAACATAAAAATAAAAACCCAGATAAAAGTATGAGATAAACCGAACAACTTTCTTCATTTCACCTAGTCTTTTAATCCAAGAGATTATTGAGGTCCACCTTTCCCAATTCAGTTCTAAGATTTGACACTCAGTGAAAGCAGAGGTACGGGAAAGGTAATTATTGCTTGGTATTTCTTCACAGGTAACCCTTTACAGGGTCAAATTTTACTTAGGACAGATCCAAAGAATATGTTGGGCCCACATTTCTGTGTGAAATGGGCAACTCCTAAAACTCCCTACTGCTCTTACAAGCTCATTTGAAACAGCAAACAGGGTCAAATGCAAGAAAACACCTCCTCAGTCCATCTGCAATATCCAGCTACTATGAAAGCAAAGGCCAATCAAGAAGAAATCTCAGGAACTCTGTGATAACAATGCATGTCACACAATGTCAGAAAGTGGTGAATGTATATAGAAAGTGAAACTCGGGTCTGTTTGAGACTCTGAGAAGGATCAGTACCCATTTTCTGCCGAAGAATATCTAGTATTTCTCCCCCCATCTCACTTTTTTTAAGTTCTAGTCTTTCTTCCTTTCCCCTCTGGTGTCTCTGAAACAGCCAGTGCCTTCTCCAAAAGTCATGTGAGCTTTAGGATGAAGCATCAATGTCAGGGAGACTCCAGGTTTTTTGTTTGTTTGTTTCTTTCTTTCTTTCTTTTTGGGTCACACCCGGTGATGCACAGGGATTACACCTGGCTCTGCACTCAGGAATTATCCCTGGCGGTGCTCAGGGGACCATATGGGATCCTGGGAATCGAACCTGGGTCGGCCACGTGCAAGGCAAACGCCCTACCTGCTGTGCTATCACTCCAGCCCCGAGACTCCAGTTTTTAGAAAAATCACTCACCATGGTAGTGAGACTGTGAGCAAAATCCAAAGACAGTGGGAAAAATGTAAAATACTGGGGCTGGAGCAATCATACAGCAGGTAGGGCATTTGCCTTGCATGCGGCCGACCCAGGTTCGATTTCCAGCATCCCAATGGTCCCCTGAGCACCGCCAGGAGTAATTCCTAAATTCATGAACCAGGAGTAATCCCTGTGCATCACCATGTGTGACACAGAAAGAAAAAAAAAAATAAAGTAAAATATCACATTTTTTATGTATAATTTAATGTGGGAATACTACTATTTATTCAGCCACTGATTAAAACTATAACATTTTTTATTGAATGCCTATAATAAATCATCATGAACCCTTTGTAAATTGTGGTGTTTAAATAAAGTGGGGGTTAGGGATTAAGTGGGGAAGGCAGGGACTAAGTATTGCATTCCATTCAAATATCTTTGGTATTTCTTCACAGGTGACCCTTTACAGGGTCATATTCGCATCATATTTGATCGACGTTCTTACACCTCAATAGTGCTTCATAGTACTCACACCTTTATAGTCTCCATGAAGGTGTAAAATTACATTGCCCATAAGAGTCCCCAGTATGCTATAAGATTGCATTATGTACATAAGAATCCAAGATCTTTAGAAATTTGGCTAAAAAGTAATAGACTGGAAATTCTACATAGGAGACCCTTCCATACTATAAAGTTTTCCTGCCCTCTTTCCCTTCCTTCTACCCTTAGAAATAAAAGATCTTCTGAATTTGGTCATGAAAAATAAGGAAAATAGGGAGAGATAGTCTGGCGAGTAGGTCATTTGCCTTGAACACGGCTGACCAGGGTTCCATCCCCAGCATCCCATATGTTCTCCAGGAATAATTCCTGAGTGCAGAGCCAGGAGTAGCCCCTGAGTATTGCTTGTTGTGACACAAAAACTAATAATAGTATTATTATGATATGATTTCTAAAATGACATTACTAATTGCTTATATTTTAGAGGGGGGAAGTGGTAATTTAAATGAATGCCATTGTACTCGATTTTTCTATAGTAAGCAGAAATTCAGAATTGTTCAGTTGACCTTAATTTTGCTTGAACTCAGGGAAGTATCTCTTTAAAATAGTCATTGGGGGATGACTGTACATCAGGAAGCTGCCTTGCATGTGGCTGACGGGGGTTCTATTCCTGGCACCACATATGGCCCCCTGAACACTACCAGAAGTGATCCCTCAGGGCAGAGCCAGGAGTAAGCCCCTAAATTTTAAAAATTCAGCTTAATAAATAAGCATTGGACCAGAGAGATAGTGCAGTGCTTTGGGTGCTTGCCTTGCATGCAGCTGACCCAGGTTCAATCCCTGGCACTACATATGGTCCCCCAAGCACCACCTGGAGTGATAGCTGAGTACAGAGCCAGGAATAAGGCCTGAGCGCACCACCAGCTGTAACCCAAACCACCTTTTCCCTTCAAATTCCTAATAGCCATTGAGGGCCAGCGAACTCAAGACTGAGCACATGTTTTGCATACCTGGGTTTGATCCCCAGTACCACAGGGTGCCCTAGATGTCCTTGAGCACAGAGCTGGGAGTATCCCCTAAGGGCAGCCAGTATCCCCTAAGGGCAACCCCAAAACAAAAAGAGATACATTGATAGTTCTCTGGAAGTATTCCTTATTATGAGCTTTTAAATAGTGTTTCCAAGAAAGTACATCTTGTTAGAGGTGGGCAAGGAGAGGAGTGCTTTCTCTACATGCTCACAAAACAAGTTTAATACTTTACTAGGGTTTTTGGTAACATATTTAGCATTATTTGTTCTAATGTTTTCACCTCTAAAGTTTGAGGTTAACCATTCTGTGATAACCTTCAAATTTCTAAAGTATTTACCTTACTTTTATCCTAATTAATAAATAAAAATACTTGAAGGAATTCCACCTTTAAGTGGTTTTTAAAATTTTCTAAAGAATATAAGGCTAAAATAGCCATTGAGTATGTTTTAACATTTAGTTGAATAAAAACAGTGACTTTAAAATCCAGCCACCAAAGCTGTTTCTGCTTATTGAATTCTGAACTCTTGATACCATGTCAATTTTTTTGAGGGGGGCACACCTGGAGGTTATCAGGGCTTACTCCTAGCTCTGCACTCAGGGGTCACATTTGGTGGGGCTCAGGATACCATATAGGATGCCAGGGATTGAAACTCTGTCAGCTCCAGAAACCAGGTCCGCCCCATGCAAGGCAAGTCCCTACTCACTGTATTCTCTCTCCAGAGCCTACAACATAAATATTTCTGCTTCTTCACTCTAAATGTACTAACAAAACCTATATTTCATCTTTACAGGTGAAGATCTTTTTGCCAAGTCGAAATAACATCAAGAATGAACATGATGGAAACCAGTATCATTTCCATATTTTCTTTGCTTAAACTGGAAACTACATATTTTGGACTGACGCCTTCTTCACACATGATGTAGTTTATGGTGAGAAAAAGCTAACTGGCAATGGACCCCCATCCCACTACTAGTGAAGGAAAAAAAGAAACCCTGGAGACAGCTATTGAGCAAAGTAGCTGTAAAATATCATTGCTAAGCATGCAAAATTGACTTAAAACATGCGTTGACAAAACCTTGTTTGTAAATGGCCAGATAATAATTATTTTAGACTTTCTGGACTTTAGATTATCTGTTGAAGCTACTCAGCACTGTTGTTTTATTGCAAAAGTAGCTATAGGTAATACATGACAGTGTGGCTACATTCCAATACAACCGGTCACCAACACTGAAATTGGAATTTCATGTAATATACACATCACCTATATTCTTTGATTTTTTTTTCTTAATATGAGAATTATTCCTCAAGAACCATCCTAAATACAGGTGGCTGGTGGGATTTGGGTCCAAGGCCCATACTTTGCTGACCCAATTTAGAAAACTGGGAGCAGAACACATAGGCATGGAGCTAGTCCAGGCATACATTTATGGCTGAGAATTGGAAGCCTCTGGCCACTGGGCATTGCGAATGTAAATACTTCCTATGACATGTCATTAAAAAGTAATCAATTTAGTTTCTATACGTGTACCATAGTCTACTCTGCTTTAAATTTTCTTTTTCTATATAGAATATGTGGATTTTTTAAAGTTTATTGCTTATATCTTCACAGATTATTCCACTTTTGGTTTTCACAAAATCAGTTTAGAATGATGTACAATTTAATATATACTGAGTTGGAATGTCTTAACAAGGAATTTAAACTTTTTTTTAAAGCAAACCTCGATTGAGTTGGTGTTTAAATTTATTTATTTTGCAAAGTTTGTACTGACACTGTACTTATATTATTTATTATACATAGCTTTCTTGATTTGCTTGTGGATTAGAAGTATTAGTGATTCTATTTGCAGACTAATCTTCTAAAAAGAAAATTAAGTTCTTAATAAATGAAAGAGCAGAACTTTATGTGAAAAGGCTTCTTTTTTCATTTCTCACTGAAGAGCTATTGATTTAAGCCATACTTGCCATTTAATAAGTTATATGTAAAGTGTTGCTGTATAAAATTATTATGTAAGTGTAAAGGATCCTTATACTTGGCATGAAGCAAATAATGACTTCTAAAATGAATTATGTATTCCTCTGAAGTAAAATGAAAGTTTTATGATACTAAATTTGGGACATTTTTCTTCAATTATAAAACATACTAAAAATCCTGATCTTTGAGAAGTTTTTTCCTATTACAAAAGTGAATAAAACAATCTTCAGAGTTCTTCGTATATTCTGAAAAAAAGTGTTGAAGATTCACCACACAGCTTTTATGTCACTTAAGTTCAAACTCGAAGCTTTAATCACCATTTACCTGTAGACAGAATTCAGGCTATTCATTTGATGTAATGTGTATAGTGCTAATGTTAAATTAACATTAGTTGACTTAATTAGTCGCTAACAAGCACACAGTGCTGCCCCACTCTTTAACAGAAACACTTTATCAAAGTCCTATACTAGCAGAGTCTTCATTTGCCCAACCATGTGTCGAAAACTGAATTGCTGGTCTGAATGGTATCAAAATGAAACTGCACTGAAACTTAATCATGAAAGCTTTGTAACTGTATCTCACGGTGATTTTAAAAAAGGAGAAGAAAGAAACTGCAGAAGTAGCAAGATAAAAAGGAAGGCTGGTACTGAGATAAATCACTTCACCTTGACTCTAAGCTAACCCCACTCAATACCCCAACATACATAGAAGCCCTCATCTGCAACATACATAGAAGCCCTCATCTGGTTGGTCTGTCTACTGCATAAAAAAATCTAACATTTACCACAAACCGAATGTGAGACTTTTTAGTAAGCCCAGTTCATGCCTACATTTTAATTCAGTTTAGTCCTTTATTTCATTCTGAAGTAAAAATGCACTCTAAGTTCACATCACTGAAAGCTTGGGTCTATCAACTACTCTGTTAAAACTAATCAACACAATCTGATGCTTGCCAAAAATAAAACATGGCGGGAGTAATGTGCCGCCAGCAGGTCAATATGTACCTGTGAGGTGAGTGCATCAGCAGCCTGATGGTGCCTTCAGACTTCCAGATACCCCAAAATTGCTGCTGTGCCTTTGCCCAAACCCCAAAAACTTGGGGCAAAATTTACCAAGAAAGTAAACAGCCAAAAGTTAGGTATGTGGGAAGCACACCCACAAACCACCTCCAGCTCAGCTATATAATTGGAGGCATGGCCTCTCTGGTTCCTTATTGAACTGCTTAGTGGCCATGATCCCAGAGACTCAGAAACAAATCTCGAAACCCAGCGGCTTTTGGCAGAAATGCTTCCGGTCCCTGCAGGTTACCGGTGCTGGGCCAACCCAGGTGGCAATAGGTTTCGTGCCTTGGCCTGTTCCCCCTGGCGGCCTAGTGGCCGCCATCCTCCAGAGGCCACTGGACAGTCAGGTTTGGGCCCGCAGTGACGAGACATTTTGGGCCTCACGGGATGGGGGTGGAGCCGGTCCTGTCCTCCCCACCCCAACGAGACCCCAAGTCATCGCCCACGAATGGCCTTTCTGGCTCCTGATCAAGCTGCTTAACCCATGATCCCAGAGACTCAGGAGCAAATCTCGGAACCCAACAGGTTTTGGCAGAAATCCCTCCAGATTTAAGTGTTAAAATTTCGGAATTTCAAAATCGTGTGGCCACTACTGCAGCCACGCAACATCATGTTATTCATAATCAGCAGTAGAAAACAAATTGTCTCCTGTTGCCTTTTCAGCAGATCTGAGTGTTGGGGTAAAATCCCAAATAATAATGGTGGGTCTGATGTCAAAATATTGAATGTGATCAAAGTAGAGAGAGAGTAATGTGGAAATCATCTGCCCCACAGGTAGGGGGAGGGGGTAGGATGGGGGTATACTAGGGTTTTTGGTGGTGGAGAATGGGCACTGGTGAAGGTATGGGTGTTTCATTGTATGACCGAGACTTACACCCAAAAGCTTTGTAACTGCTCTCACGGTAATTCAATAAATAAAATTATAAAAAATGAAAAAAAATAGTAAAATGAAACATGGCTACTTATAGCTTATGTGAATTATATAGCTATTAGCTTAGAAGTGAAAGTAATTACTGTATTATTTAGAATGTATCCAGAGGGCTCAAAGGTGTGGTTCAAGGGGAGCACCTGCCTTGCACGTGTAAGTGCAATTCTCAAAGTCACAAGTGCATCCCTGGCCCACAAATTCTCTAGTTGCAATGAGTGGCTTCCAAGGCTGTCCTTTCTCAAATTTGCATTCAACAGGCCATTCATCGCAATAGCTTTGCAGACATCAGAGCTCCCCAGACTGGTATAATTTGTACTTTTCCTAACTGCGTCTTCCCTTGTTCTCTCCCTACCATTGCAACATCTTTATAGACCTCATGTCCTCTGACACCTATCCACAGGTCCTCTTTAATTCTGAAGAGTAATCAGCTGCTTGCTGGTCTGACTTCACTGAATTAACTGAACTATAAAACTCCACAGCTCAATGCCCTTGCCAATGAAAGGGTCGTCTTTGAGTCTCCCTCATGTGTGGGATATAAAGAAGCATAGTAAGGGAGTAAAAAATACCTAAATGCAACAGATACTTAAAACTGGTCTTCAATCCGAGTTTACCAAAGGGTGGGGACACTGGGACAATGGTGGAGGGAAGCTGACACTCCGGTGGAGGGTGGGTGCTGGAATGTTTTACGCAGGAAACCGTACCATTAACTGTACTGTAAACTACACTGCCAAAAATAGAACATTTTTCTTTTAGATTGGTGCTATCTAGAGGAGGATTCCTTCAATATTTTCCACTTGTGATCTCTTTGTGTGGTAGAAAATGTTTTATGCAAAAATTTTATATTCAATTTGTAAGATACGGTATGCAAATCAGACATTTACTGCTAACATAATAAATTTAAGATAACCCCCACATTCACTTAAATAGTTTAAGAAACTACATCTAGGGACAGAGAGATAGTGCAGTGGGTAGGGTACTTGCCTTGCATGTGGCCAACCCAGGTTTGACCCTCAGCACCATATCTGGTTGCCAAGCAGGGCTAGAAGTGATCCTTGAACATAAAGTCAGGAGTTAACCCAGCCTACCAGGTGTGGTGGAGAGCAGAGGAAAGGGTGTAGGGGAGAAGAGAAGATCTAAGAGAACAAGAGGCAGCTTATAGGAGAAAATAGTCCATGTGCTGTATCTTTCAATCCCCTTCAATGGTTTTTATCATATCATCGACAGAAAGAGGTAACCACATGGGCCCTCTAAGAGTTTTTATAAAAAGTTAACACTTGGATCAACATTTCTATGCTACACGATATTGTTGTTTCTTTTTTGCTTTTTGGGTCACACCTGGCAATACACAGAGGTTACTCCTGGCTCTGCACTCAAGTGTCACCCCTGGCGGTGCTCAGGGGACCATATGGGATGCTGGGAATTGAACCCAGGTTGGCCGTGTGCAACACAAACGCCCAACCCGCTGTGCTATCTCTCCAGCCTGGTACACTGTATTGTTAAACAATGTTTATATTCTCCACCGGCTGTGTGTGTCAACTTCCTAAAAGTAAACCTTTGCTGATGACTAAGGATTTTGACATAAGAATGCCTAAATGATTGTAAAAATATTAAAAACACCAACTATGTTAATTAAGCAAGCTATCATGTGGCCTCCACAACTCTTTCAGATGACACAGGTCTCTGAATTTAAAAAAAAAATATATATATATATATTCTGGGTCAGATTTCTTTGTCAAGACCCTGAACAAACGGTTTGAGGCTCTTCATGTTCCTGGAGCGAGCAGACGCCATTGGGCTACACTAGCACTCGACAGGGATGGATGGAGACGTTACTGGCACCCGCTCGAGCAAATTGATGAGTAACGGGATGTCAAGTGATCAAGTGAGGTGACATATATCTGACACTGAGTTGGATAATATCACATTTTCAAAGTACCACTTGAGTAATTTGACTTCAGCATGCAAGATCACAGAACCTGAGGCTAAGTCTTACACCAGCTAATTTTTAAGTCATGAACACAGTAGTGAGTCCATAGTAAATGTGTACTGCTTACAGTTAATTATATTAAAGCTATAGTTTAGCGTAGCTTTCAAGTGTGTGTGTATGTGCTGCTGCTATATATGAAACACACTATACAAGGCTATACGTTAATGCACAAATCTCACATGCATTTCATCCTCAAATTCACACAGTTACACAAACATTAAGTATATATTTTCATTATAATTATATATGTAATAGTAAAATGCACAATGCAAGGCTGAAATAGTTGAATTCCTATTTTCAAGCTTTTTTAATGGTTTCTGCTGTCAAAGTGTAATTGTATTTACAAATTTAAAAAATGACTCTGTGACATGCATTGTTCAAGCTGACTGGAACAAAATCTTTGATCCTCCATATACCCATTAACAACATTCCTGGACTTCATGTTGTATCTATGGGTGCAGTAAATACATTTATAGGGGCTCAACCTGGCGATGCTCAGGGGTTACTCCAGGCTCTATGCTCAGGAAATACTCCTAGAGGTGCTCAGAGGACCATATGCAGTCCATGATCGGAATGGAACCAAAGGTCAGCTATGTACAAGGCAAGCACCTGAACTGATGTGGCAATCTCTCCAGCCCCCGAGCAAATGCTGAATCATATTTTTTAGCTGAATCATACCTGTCTCAGTACTTAATAAAAAAGCTTTTAAAAAAATCATATTAGAAACACTTTTTAAAGGTTAAGGTCAAGGTCTGGAATGCATGTCTTTGATTTTGACAATAACATAAAAACACTGCTTTATAAATACATTCATAATAGTACGCATTTCATGGATTTTTCCCCCTAGGAAAGAAAACCCTCTATTGCTACTATTTCTTCTTAAAATAGAATGAAAAGTTATTCTTTATTTTTAATCTAGATGCCAACCTTATATAATTTAGCTAATGCAGTAAATGCTATTCATTTTCTTTAAAAGGCCCAATTAGGTTACTTATTGAAGTGTATGACCCATTAAGAACCAATGAAACATTCCATGAACCTTGTAACAAATTTAAAGCTTCTTCTCTTCTCAGAGTCTTTGTAAGAATAAACTCAGGGGTTCAGTGAGACTTTGGAGAGGGTAGGGCACTTGCTTGCCTTGCTGATTCCAGTTCAATCCATGACACTGTAGATGGCCCCCCAAGCACTAGCCCCTAAACACCACCAGGTGTGGTTCAAACCAGTCTAGCTATCACACACGCACACACACCCCCCAAATATACTCCCTCAAATAGAGAATTTTTCTCACTTCAGCCTATGTGTTACATTAAAAATAAATATTTAATTCAATTATAAAGAGTAACAAAATAGTAAAAGGCATGTTCTTTTTATACTGTGCCTTCATTTTAATAATTTTAGTAAGTTCTGTTCCAAAGAACCTTTGGAAAAAGCTATCACTTGATATGTATACTGAATTTTTAATTTAAAAAAATCAGAATAGAGAAGAAATGCATAAACAGAGGTAGGGAGAAGTTTCTTCTTTCTAAACAAAATAATATTTTTCTGAATTGGGATGGAAACCTCCTATACCCAAAGGGTAATTCTTCCTCCTCCATTATTTCTTAAAAATTTTCTCTTGGAATAAAAAGTCCCACATGAACAGTATATCTTCTGTACAAACACACAAATATACAAGAAAGTCCACTTCTTCATTCTTCTACTACTGTAGGGATGTTTTCAAATATTTGGCAAAATCCAGAGGGAAATGAGTATCAACTTCATTGCAATGTCTTTTGATTTGCTGATTTAAATCTTCATTCAGTAATGAATCCCCTGGTAAAGCTTTATCCTAGAAAAGTTGAAAGTATGAGTTAAAAGGTCTTATAGGTTAGGGGACAGAGAGACAGTAAAGCAAGTACGATGCTTGCCTTACATGCAGCCAACCCAGGTTTGATCTCTGGCACCCATGTGGTCCCCTGAGCAGAAAGCCAAAAGTAAGCCAAAAAACAAAACAAAAAAGTTCTTATATATCATAAGCAAGAGCTGAAAGCCATGAGCAAAGTTGAAAAGACAACAACCAGGCCAGGAAGATAGCTCAAAGAGCTGGCGTGCATGCTTTGCAAGTGGAAGGTACAGGTTCAATTCCTAGTATTTCATGGTTACCAAGCACAGTCGGAAGCAGCTCACACACCACCAGGTATGGGTCAAAAAAATAAAAAAGAAAAGAAAACAGCAACAGCTGACCACAAGCTAATATATAATGAGGGAAAAAAAAGTGTGAGGTGCTAAGTGAGGTCTTTGCTGTATCCCATATTAAATGAAAAGGTTTTATAACTATCTCTATAGAATCCCAATACCTAATACTCAAACATCGGGAAAAGCCACTTAAAGCAACGGAGAATTATGGAATAATTTTTTTAAAGAGATAATTTAGCTGTCATTTCATCTTTAACAAAAATAGTGGTAAGTATCACATACCTTCCTTTTGGTGTTTGAAGATTCAACAGGAGGATTGAATGTCATTGCTGCCATACTGTAAGTCTCAAAAAGTTCTACAGCTGATCTACAATCACAAATTTTAGAAACGTGAAAGTGGTATCCATGTAAATTGAAAATAATTAAGTTGGATGTGGAGAATTGTTTATTCTAAGCTCACATATTTCAGCTACATTAAGCTACAACGTAATCCTACTTTTGAAACCGACACATCAACCACACACTCAGGTGAAATAAATCCTAAAATTCCCATGTATTGTCAACACCATCCAACTAAATTCAGAGAGCTCTGGTATTTAGATACAGATTTACACTGAGAGATGGCTGAATAAAGACCTCAAGCGCAACATGACTGAATTCTCAACTTAACCAATTATGTGAGCTACAACTAAATTTAACTTCAGTCAGGGATGTGAAGCATGGCGTTATTTACCCTGGACTGGATCAATCGATCAGATGTTGAAACATGACTATACGGCAGAAAAGGCTACAGAAGACAGAATACATACCTACATCATATAAATACTTAATGTAGTTCACATTCTACCTGAACTTTCTATCTGGGCAAGGGCCTAGAAGACCTGCAAGAAGGCTCATGTCTCTAATTCCAGTCTCCAGAAGATCACCGAGTCTCCTTTCTCACATCGTAAGGATAAATCAATTTCTCTCCTCACCTCAAAAAGGAAATGTCTAGCATAAATGAGGCAAATATTCTATTTCTGAACAACAATAACAACAAAACACCAGAAAAGGATCACGAAAGAGCCAAGTGACAAATATTTTTTTTTCTTTTTTTCCATGAGACAAGTAGGAAGTATGAGGAAAGAAAAAGGCAAATGACCATTTTATTATTTAGTAAGTTCAAAAGCTATCTGTATCTTACCTATCAGGGAAAAGATTTATTAAAAAAAAAAAAACTACAGATACAGTTTTTGCCTCAGGTAGAGGGAGAAGTTGCTAAGAATCACCACGCAAAAATATACACAAAGCTTGCCAAATTTCTCAATATTTCAAAAGAATTTAGAGATGTCTTTTTTGGGGGGTGGGGAGGGGTCAGGAAGTGCTCTCCTGGTGGTATAAAAGACTTATCCTAAGCTCTTCACTCAGGGGTCCTTCCTGGCAGGGCTCAAGGAACCATATGTGCAAGCACCCACCCCCCTATATACTCTGGCCCCTGCAGATGTCATTTTAGCTGAATTCCTTCAAGATTTAAAAGATAGTGGGCCCAGAGCAATGGTACGGGGTTAAGGTGCCTTCTTGCAGTCAACCCCAGTCCAATTACCAACACTGCGTATGATGCCCCTGCACCTCTAGGACTAACTCTTGAGCATGGCTGGGCAAGACTAAACCCCAAACCCCTCAAAAATAAAGATGGTAAACAGGTCAAGGGAAATGGCTCACAGGGCTGGAGCATGTGCGTATGCTGAAGCCCTGAGTTCATTCCCCAGAACCACATGGTCCCCCCAACCACCACCAGGTGCAGCCCACTCTCCTGAGCACCATGCCAGGAGTAGCTTCCAAGATCCCCAAAATAAAGGTAATGAGACACTAAATCAATTTTTGTTCAGACTCAGAAGAAGTCAGAAGAATCAGCCTGCTGGCCCACAGGCTGCATATCTGTGCTCTCTGAGTTAAAGAAACCCGTGGCTTACAGCAAGAAAAACCTATTGCAACATATTGATCCTAAGTGCTGGGAACATGGCAAGGATGTCTCTCAGACCTTTTCTCTGTTGTATAACTGAAGTACTTACTAACTGGTTTTGTTGGAAAATGCATCACCATCATATTTTTTCAACTTGTTAGTAATTATAAGCATTTCCAGAGAAAAAATTAGAAAAGACTCCTGTCCCACCTGGAAGAGAGTGAGGGGGACACTGTCCAAGTGCCCCACACAACAGGAGACCAAGGAAAAATAGCTGCCCTCCTCAGCAGTAAAGAGCGAGAGCAAATCCAGATAACTAAGTGGCACTTTCTCTTTCAGAAAGTCAGCAAAACAGACCTCTCAAGAGGTGATGATTGTAGTTTTATAATAATAAGGCCCTGCTGCTAAGTACTACCTTCGACTCAGCTCTGGCTTGAGTGCTTCAGAGCCCTCAGATGGAGCTCCAGCGATGAGGTGAGCGGCGAATCTCTGCACCACAGGATGGTAATGTCTCTGCAGGAGAAACAGGACAACCTCATCTCACACAGTTTTTCTGTCCTATTTTATAAAACGCCATAGCTAGCCAAAGCTCTTTGGAAAAAAGAAAATGTAGGTGTAATTCATGCGAACATCATTCCTTCAGAAAGATTATCTTTGTTCACAGGATTTAGAACACAAATCTGTCCGATGACTAACTCACCAACAATGTGGCTTAATCTTGCTTTTATAGGACAAAAAGAAAAACCACAAAGCAATTTCTCAAAGAGTAAAAAAAGTTTACAACAGACATTCCGGAAATGTTCTTTCTACAGATCCCACTCTAATCCAATTGCTACCTAAGTCTACGTGGATAGGAACCAATATAAATTGCACTTGGTAATAAAAAACAAAATTAAGGGCAAGAGAAATAGTATAATGAATGGGTGAGGTGTTTCCTGCACATGTGGCTGACCCAGGTTCAATCCCCAGCACCACATATAGTCCCCAGAGCATGATCACTCTGGGAGTGATCCCAGAGACAGGAATTAAGCCCTAAGAACTGCTGGATGTGGCCCAAAACACCAACATTAGCTTAAATTTTTTAAACCGAAATAAATTGAAACATACAAAAAGCAAAATAAATCTTCTATCCCAAATAATGTTAGAAATATTTCATGAAATCTTCCAAACACCACCCTACAATACTGTCATTTTCTGCTTCCTTGGTAAAATCTACCTGGAAGCCAGGGATGTGGCTCAACAGTGAAAAAGCATGTTTTGTGTTTGAGGTATGACATGGGTTAGCCCATGACCCCGCCCCTCAAAAAATGTATCTCAACATCTTAAGTATTAAGAGAGGGGGCGGTAAACACGGAACAGGCTAAGCACATGCCTTGCATTTCAGAGACCTAATTTCGAGCGAATGTACCATATGGTCCCCAAGAACCACCAGGAACAACTCTGAGCCCATAGGCAGCAGTAGCTCCTGCACATCGTCACACATGGTCTCAAAACAAACAAAAAGAACAGTGAGAGCAAAGTGAAATGCAGATCACTAAACAGCAACTTAAGAGGCGGTTCCAGAACAAAATTTACTCAGTACACTAGCAATAACATCTGCTGGGGAGAATACATTAAAACAATCACACACTCGCAAAAAGCAAAGTTAAGGTAGACAGGGCCACTCTTACCCTTAGTGCATGCAATTCCCACAGAGCAGAATTCTGAGCATTACAATACTCAGGTTCGTCCAGTTCAGGGAGGAAAACCCCACTTCCATGTGACTCATTGTCAAGCAAAAGATCTGTTTTCGGAAAAGTCTGCCAAAATGCCACATAAAAAGAATTAGTTATATCAACATTGGTCATTTCAAAGTAATGCCATTGGACTCTGTACTGTTATCCATAAGAACTGAGTATATGGACTTTATACCTAGTAAAATTTTAAAATTTTAAGTTGCTATCGAGAGAAGAGTATTTCCTCTTGCCTTGCTCCAGAAAGAAGTTTACCTTGTAAAAGAAAACCAGATAATTTTTCTAGTGACTTTGAAAATCTAAGTAGAGAATTACAGAGACACAAGTAGAAGTCTACTTACTATAGTATCATTTGTACTTGTAATAGCAAAAAGGAAAACTATCTTTCAAAAGAAAAATTCAGGGAAAGAGCTTTATTTTGGGGCTGGAGTGATAGCACAGCAGATAGGGTATTTGCCTTGCACGCAGCCGACCTGGGTTCGATTCCCAGCATCCCATATGGTCCCCCAAGCACCGCCAGGAGTAATTCCTGAGTGCAGAGCCAGAAGTAACCCCTGAGCATCACTGGGTGTGACTCAAAAAAGAAAAAAAGAGCTTTATTTTTTTTCTTGGAAGTTCCAGTAATCAAACCCAGGTCCTCAACATGTGTAAGGTAACATGTGTAAGGCAAATCCTCAACATATGCTGAACATGTGTGTGTGAGTGTGTGTGTGGGGGAGGGGGGAGGAAGGGGTGCTCAAGCAGTTACTCCTGGTAATGCTCAATAAACCATAAGTGATGCTGTGAATAGAACCAATCATATGTACAGCAAGCACCTTATTTCCTGTTCTATTTCTCCATCTAAAGAAAAACTGTGGTAAATCACCTGCCTTGCATATATGAGGCCTTGGGTTCAAACCCTATTACCTCATGTCAATACTACCCCAACAGCATTGCTGAGTATGTATAGGTCCCACAACACTGATAACATAAACACATAAGAGATCAATGCAAAGAAGCCTATAAGCTATCTTTGGACCCCACCCCGCTGTCACTGACTAGCAGTGCCCATTAGTCAAGTGGTCAATCTTTCTGAACTTCTTTCCCCATCTGTAAAACAGGAGCAATGGTAGCTACCTCACAATATCATAAAAATGGAGATGATTTTTGTAAAGCATTTTTACCACGGCAAGTACATAGAAGAAACTATGTGTTTAGGGCCAAAAAGATGAACAACATGAAAGGGACTTGCCCTGCATGCAGTTGACCTGGGTTGGATACCCAGCACCACATAAGATGCCCTGAGCCCCACCAGAAAATACCTGAACACAGAGCCAAGAATAAACCCAGAGCAAAGCCAGGTGTGGCCCCAAAACAAAAACAAAGAACAACAACAACAACAACAACAACACACACACACATACAAGTGTTCACTACTATTAAATGCTCACAAAAAGTTGCAGATGCCAGGGACAGTGCAAGGGGATGCACCACATGCCTGGCATGCACCAGGCCCTCAGTTTGATTCATGGCACCACACACACCATCCCTTCCCTTCCAATCCACAGGACTCAGTAGTCCTTGAACACGACCCATTTAATCTATAGAGTCAGTGTGATTCTCACCAGAGGTAGCCAGGTTCTTCTCCAAGCACTGTTTGCAAGGCCTTTCTGCCCCTCTCCCATCCCAGGGTTGTAGAACATTAATATTTTTCATAATCCCATTAATTCTCTTACACTAAAAAAAAGTGTTGCTTTATGATACGCTTTTATATATGAATAGTTTTAAAGTCTGGCGCAGGAAAGATAGTGCAAAGGTGAAGTTGCTTGCCTTGCATCCCACCAACCCTGATTTGAATCCCTGATACCACACGTGGTCTCCAAACCCAATCAGGAGTCAGTCACTCCAGAGCTAAGAGGCAGAATCAGCCTCTTAGCACCACTGGGTGTGGCCCCAAGCCCACACCAACCACTTGCTCCAATGCACCCCCCCCCCCAAAAAAAAACAAACAAACTGGAAGAAATAAATCTGTCTACCTCTAGACAGGACAGTATCATTTGGACAGAATGACTTCTGTTATAACTTCCATACTTAGTGCCTGACTCTGATACAAATTTGAATCACAGTTACAGACACGCATCAAAATACCATTAGCACACTACAACAGCGTCGCTTTGTCCACGTGCACACAGTACTTACATGCATCAATATCCTGTTGGTTGCTAAAATGCCAATGCTTGAGTTTGGAAGAACATGAAGAGCAAGCGTACAGAGGCGCTTGATGAAGGCAAGAGCTCGCTGCAAAGAAACCTGCTTTCGGCGCTTGGTTAGCATGACATCAAGGCACTGGAGCACAATCTCAACACCTTCGTTGGTAGCACCTGTAACAGCAGAGAAGGGCTTCAGAGCTGCTCTAAGTACGTTTTCATTACGCAGCTTCACTAGGCACCAGGAAAACGCAAAGAGAACTGCTGTGCCTGAGCTAAATAATTTTGTAATGAATGGAGCATGGCTACACTACTCACAAGAGGAGAAGGGCTAGCCTGCCCTCTCTAGTTAATGCCAAAGACTTATGCTCTCCCAAGTGCTACAAAAAATTAATACAGACATGTGCCACGGGCAAGCCCATTTTATACGCCTATTCCCACTTGTCATTTTCCAATGAGGATGATTCTGATCACAATGTAGTCTTAAAATAGAACTATTTATTAACACAATTCTAGCTATCAGACAAATAGTATAGCAAGTAGTACAGCACTTGCCTTGTACCCAGATAACTCTAGTTTTTTTCCAGGCACTGCATACAGTCCCTGAGCACAGCTAGTAGGAGTAACCCTTAAGCCGGGTGTGAATCCACCCCCCCCACCCCCAAAAAAAACAGTGAAAATAAAATAAATAAAATCACATTATTGGGACTTGAAGAGATTGTACTGGAGTTAACCTTACATGAAGCCAACCTGCAGTCTGACCCCTGGGCTCATGGGAAACACCAGGGGAGAGCCCTAAGCAAAGAGCCAGGAATAAACCCTGAGCACCACTGGGCTCAAAACATCAGAACACTTTTTGCAAAACAGAAAGAAAAATAAAACCACTATCTCAACATACATACCTGCGTGTAGCTTGAACAGTGTTTTATAAAGATGTGTATAGAATTTCATTGGATCGATATTCAGAACATCACCTTGGGAAATGACAACAAACTCCAATTAGGTGTGTTACAGCTTCATAGGTGAAAAACATAAAATTATTTAAGAAAATTCTTACCTTGCCCAGAAAGTATATGAAAAGCAGTCTGGACACAGTGAAAACTTTCTTGATAGCTTAGGTTCTAAAAAATATTATTATATTATTATTATTATTATTATCAACAGTAATGACCATTTTCTCTTTAAAAGCAATTCATGGGGCTGGAGAGATAGTACAGCAGGTAGTGTGCTTCCCTTGCACATGGCTGACCCGGGTTCTATCCTGGCATCCCATATGGTCCCCCAAGTACCACCAGGAGTGATCCCTGACTGCAGAACCAGGAGTAACCCCTGAACAATGCCAGGTGTGGCCCAAACCACCCCCCCAAAATAGAAATTTATTAATTAGCTACTTACACCAGACTCAATGAGAGAATGCAGAACTATTAATAAATCATCAAAGAACTCCACATTGATAAGATGAGCAAACCTAGAATCAAATAAAACTCAATTAAAAGTGACTTTAAAACAGGGAAGGGGCTGGAGAGATAGCACAACGGGTAGGGCATTTGCCTTGCATGCAGCCGACCCGGGTTTGATTCCCAGCATCCCATATGGTTCCCTGAGCACCGCCAGGAGTAACTCCTGAATGCAGAACCAGGAGTAACCCCTGTGTATCGCCGGGTGTGACCCCCCCACCCAAAAAAGGGGAGAGGAAAAAAAAGCACAGAGCTTGATTAAAAAGCTATGTTTCTATGTAATAAACCTTTTTCAAAATGTTATTATGAGGAGATGATGACTGAAACTCTTTGGTGGGGAGATACAAGAGGGTTTTAGGCTATTCCTAGCTCTGTGCTCAGGAGTGAGCCCTGGGGGTGCTTGGAGACCACATAAGGTTCCTGAGATCAAACAGATTGGCTGCATTCCAAGGTAAGCACCTTAAAACCCCTTTTAATCAGCTTTCTGGCCCCAAAGACTGATACTTCTAATTAATTCAAATTGAACTTTTTTAGTGCACTAACATGGAGACTACACTCAACAGGAATCTCTGAGGCACTAAAGGAACTAAAACTGCTTCAAAGATACTTCTGTCCTTACAAAGAAAGACTTTGCTTACAAACAAAACAAGCAACTTCCCCAATGAAAGCTACCAGATGTCACACACTGTTGCAAGTTTTAAAGGAACTAAGAGAATCAGTCTGTTTCTGGGGAAACAGGCAGTAGGAAAAGGGAAAGGAGGAAAGACCTGCTATTTTTAAGATCACAAAGGGGGCAGACGGCTCACAGGGCTGTAGCGCAGACCGTACATGCAGAAGCTGGGATTCACTTCCCAGTAACTGCATGGTTCCTGAGCACTGCTTCGAAGCACCTCTGAACACCAACACTATGGCCCAAAAATCAAAATTAAAAAAAAAAAAAACTTCTAAGAAAGAAAGAACATGAAATTTGTCCAGTGATAACTGAAATCACTCAACTGCTAAAAATGAAGAATTGTAAGAGCTATTAAATGTCAGCACACACTGTAAGCTATTAAATATAAGGTGTTGGCCAGGCATGTAGCTCAGTGGTAGACAGCTATTTATAAAACATACGAAGGCAGGAACAGTAGCTCGAAGGGCTGGAGCGCGTGCTTTGCATGTGGGAGGCCCAAGGTTTCCGCATGGGCATCCTATGGTTCCAAGCACTTGTAAGCAGCCCCAGGGCACTGCCAGATATGGATCCCTTAAATAATGTAGAGTAGAGGCCCTCCCGTTGATCATCGATTTGCTCGAGCGGGCCCAGTAACGTCTCCATTGGAGACTTTGTTGTTACTGTGTCTGGCATATCGAATACTCTCGGTAGCTTGCCGGGCTCCCCTTAAATAATAAAAGTTAAAAATAAATAAACAAGTATACCCTCTGATCTGACAATATGTGCACACGAGTGTTTCAGGATACATCCAATGCAGCATAGGAGACAGAACAGATAAGTCTCCATAAAAATAAAGTACTATACTTTTTAAAAAGCAAACCAAAAAAGCTTAACATGAATGGAAAGATACCCAGAACAACTGCCAATGACAAAATGCAATCCACAAAATATACATTGCATGATTTCATTTGTGAGAAAGAAGGCCGGAAGGCAGAGTTATATACACAGGAGAATCTATGGTTTTTTAGTTTTATATAGTTTTCTTCATCATTTAAGTTTTCTGAATGAGTTTCCCACCCAGCGACCCACATCCCCAACACGTTGGTCATGAGGAAGCAGGACTTCAGCTCAAAGGGCTGGAGCTCATGCTTTGCACAATGCCACTGCAAGTTCAATCCCCAGTATGACAGTCCTCCTCACCTCCAGTATGGCCAGGTGAGGCTTGGCCCACGAGTACTACAGGACCCAAGAACTGAACAGTCAAGTCCCAGCACCAGGCCATGGATCACCATGACTAGCCTCTGAGCACTACTGGGGCGGCCCCTCCAAATAAGATTTACTGGTCAGTGAAAACATAAATATAGTGGTCTCTTATCTGACTAATCTCCCTCTGTGTTTCTGCAATAACAAGGCCACATTACCTTGGAAGAGCATTCCATTGCCAGAGAGCTTCAGGCATTAGGAATTTCTTATAACTGAGCAGAATCTGCCATTTCTGAATTTTCCAACCTCTAATCCTATTCCTAAAGCCCTGCTACCCAACACAGGCAGCCACATGTTAAACCTACCAGACTGTAATATGTGGCAAGTCGATACTGAAACAGCAGGTAAGTGTTAGATAAATGTGTAAGAAAATACACATTTTCAAAGATAGGAAGAAAAGAATGTGAATTATCTTGTTAATGTTTTAATGCTGTCAAAAACAGTATTCTGGGTAAACTGAGTACAAACAGCCTACTAAAAATAATTTCACTTGTTCCTTATTACTTCTTTCATGTGGCTAACAGAAAACTTTCAGTACAGAGATAGTTCCCATAACATTTCCATTGCACAGTGTTGTTCTATAGGCTACCACAACCTGGAATAACCTCTAAGCATCGCCACAGGGGCCCCAAAACAAAAGAGCAACAAATATTAAAAAAATGAATGAGAAGAACCAGGGAGATGGTCGAAGGGCTGGAGCCTGGGTTCTATCCCTGCTCATACACCCTGAGCATTTCTGGGAGTTGCCTGAGCCCCATAGGGTCTAAGAACTAAAAAGAGAACAGAAAAAACACTAGGTCGTCATTTAGTGAGCCCTGTTTGAAATTCAGGTGTCTGTTTAGAATCTAAGAAAGCTGTAACCTACACAGCCCTTACTTGGCAAGACCTTCTAGTACTGCTGGCAGGAGAGGTGACCGCTGGGCCTTCTTCAGTATTCTGAAGTACGTTACAAACACAATGTTCAAAGTCTCTGTGTGCTGACAGAAGAAACAGACAAAAAGATTTCAGTATGACCTGATGTATTTTCTCCTGAGTTACCATAACTGTGACTTCCAAAGCTCCACTCTGCCATCCAACCCCACTCTTAAGTTTCAGGCATTCCAACAAACTGGAATGAAAATACACATCCTCTGGTTTCGTGAAGCTGGCACTAAGCGCACCATGACTTACCTAAGACATGCCTAAGCTTCATTAAGAAAACCAAAACTACATAACTATAAATTGAAATAGTAAATCTCTAAAAATAATTTTAAGCATCACATTTTAAAAGCACAAGAAAGTGAGGCTGCCTACCAGTTTAAGTTTTTTCTCTGTACTCTCTGAAGCTTCTGCCTCCCGAAGTTCTCGTTCCAGTTTCTCTTCTGCTTTCTTCCACTGAAAAAGAATTTTTTTTTAAAGATACCACAAGTGAAGAAAAAAGTTTCAGAGACAAGATACATAATTTTTACAAAAACTCTTTCAATAATACCACAGATTGTGAATACAAATTAGGCAAGATAGAAAAACATGTCTTAGAAGCACAAATCCCCCCCCCACAAAAAAATCTTCATTAGTCTTTTTTGCTAATGAAATGCCAATTATACTTATCTAATAAAACATTCCTTTGCAATACCTGAGATTAAAATTCTCTTAAATTTTCAAATGCTTTTGCAATTTTTACTATACTTCAACTATTTTCATCTAAAGTTAAACAAACAGGAAATAAATCAAACCTTTCTCTGCATTCTTGATAGAGTTTTTCTCTTTTCCTTAAAAGTCATGAATTTTTTTGGTTTATTAATGTCTTCGGTATCTTTTTTCACTTCAATTTCCTTGATTCTTAGACACAAGAATGTTTTTAACATCTAATATTGATGAAAACACAAACATACAGCTTAGTCTTTGATAACTCTTAAAAACTTTATGCTGAAAAATAAGCAGTTGGCAACGTTTACTTTCTTCCATCATGAAAACACTGAAACATCTCTCATCATATTTCACTCAAAATTCTATAATTGTTTTGCTAAATATGATTCATAATTTGTGCATATGAAAGAACACCTGTATTTGGCTAGTACCAAATTAATGTCATTTTGCAGTTTAATGAATATAAGAAAGGGACAAATAGCAGATACACCAGAAAAAGGTCTAGATCAAAATGGGAGACTTTAACATATATTAGATAGTTCTAAACAAGCGTCACTGACAAAACCAGCTTTGGTTTCACAGAATATTAGATGATTAATTTTCATCTTTTTATTCCCAATTTAAACAAAAAAAATGAAAAGAAAAGCTACTCATTTTAAGATAATTTACTTTTCTTTAAGCATTAAGTCAATGGGCCTGAGATTCAGCAAACAACAGAATCACCCAGAGCTCTTGTTAGAAGACAAATAGCTGAGTCCCATTCCCAGAGTGTGAGTCAAAGGTCTGAAATGGTGCACCCAAATCTGTACTTTGGAGGAGGCCAGAGGGAATGCCAAATGGGCTGATCACATGCAGAGCTGGGTCGACTACCAGCACCTCAAAGCCCCCAACACTAGGGAATAATCCTGGCACAGAAGTGACTGTGGGGCCAGAGCAACAGTACAGTGGATGCCGACCCAGGTTCAATTCCCGGCATCCCATATGGTTCTCCAGCACTGCCAGGTGTGATTCCAGAGTGCAGAGCCAGGAGTAACCCTTGAGCATCACCACTGAGACCCAAAAACCAAAACCCCCCCCAAAAAATTGACTGTAAGTCATTCAGAGTATCAATTTGATTATTTTGTAGGTATTCTAAGTGTTTCTCACCTAACAATAACTCAAGGAATTCAATGTATAGTCAACTCATCTTTGTCAAAAAGCGCTTTGTGTCAGATGTACACAGTGGAGAAAGGATAGTCTCTTCAATTAATGATACTAGGAAAACCAGCAAGCTATCTCTATCTTGGAAGAAACACCTCTCACCAGAATCAACTAAAAATGGACGAGAGACTTAAATGTAAGCCTTGAAACTTAAAACTCCTAGGCAAAAAACAAAAGGGAAGCACCTTGGGGCTGGAGCAATAGCATAGCAGGTAGGGCATTTGCCTTGCATACCACCGACCCGGGTTCGATTCCCAGCATCCCATATGGTCCCCTGAGCACCACCAGGGGTAATTCCTGAGTGCAGAGCCAGGAGTAAGCCCTGTGCATCACCGGGTGTGACCCAAAAGGCAAAATAATAAAAAAATAAAAAATAAATAAATAAAAGGGAAGCACCTTAACAAATGATCTTAGCAATTAATTTGGGGGTAAGACATCAAAGTACAGGCAACAAAAGCAAAAGAAGTGGAACTTATATCAAACAAAAAAGCTTCCGCAAAGCAAAGGAGAGATCAACAAAAGGAAAAGGCAAGAAATGGAACAGGAAAAAAATATTTGCAAATCACGTCTGATAAAAGTTAACAGCCAAAAAACAAATGAACTCATACAACTCTATACCAAAACATCAAAGAATCAAAATATTCTCTTTTATACAATTAAAACAGCAAAATATCTACAGATAATTCAGCAGTCCATCAAGCAGAAGGCTAAAGGTTCTATATACATATAATGAACTACTATGGCTAACATTAACAATATTGGAGAGATATATATAAAATCAATATATATTTATATATATAAAATGAAAATACCATCTCTTCAGCTCCAGAATAGCTTCTATAGTATAAAATCATTTTTATTTTAAAACACAAGCAAGTATATATGTCTATATCTGCTTATAAAAATATATACAATACATACCAACCTATTAAGAGGAATTATTTATTTTTGCGGACTTGAATCACTTTCTTTATTATTTCTATAAAAATTCAGTTCCTCATAAAAACTGAAAATTAAGTTTGTTTTTTTTTAAGTTTTATGTTTCGTTTTGTTTTGTTTTTGAGCCACAACATGCAGGATGCTCAGGGATCACTCCTGATGGGGTGATGCAAGTTGAACCTGGGTCAGCTGCTTGCAAGGGAAGTGCCCGAACCCTGAACTACCTAGTCCCCAATTAACTTTGCGACTTTAAAAAAAAAAAGTTGGGGATGTGGCTCAAGTGGATGAGTATGTGCCTTGTATACCACCACCAGATGTGGTTCCCAAATCCCTTTGGGTGCAGCACAATGCCTAAATTAATAAAAAAGGTGAATAGCAAAAAAAAAAAAAAAAAAAAAAAAAGGCTTACCTCTGGTCTAACATCATAATTTCTGCCTTTCACAAATCCAGATATCACTTTGATTACACCGAGGGAAGCTTGGCCTAATTTATCTTGTTTAAAGAGCTTCTTGACTGCCTCACAACACATTTCAGATATCTGAAAAATAAAGTGTTACACGACACTTGAGAAATCGTGTTTTTCCACGTTGGTACTACTAACATTTTGAGTTAGGCAATTCTTCACTGCAGGGAGAGCTATCCTGTCTGTACAAGAGAGTGGTAGAAGTCTTTCCGATCCTGACCCATTAGATACTAGTTGATGCCTCCTACCCCCAAAGTCACAGCAAAACTTCCTACAGACAAAATGTAATGTTTCCTGGGCAAAAAGGCTGATTAATTCCTATATTCAAAACCCACTGGGCTTCTATGTAATTTTTTTAAAGAGACAATGTTTTTCCCAATTAATTGCCCCAAAGGAAATGAGAGGGAAAAATAACATGGTCTGTTAATTTTCTGTTAAGGGTGACAGCCACAACACCTTATTTAGAGCAACATACCGATTTTGACACATCATTCATGAGAGGGACAATCAATACAATGATGTTGTTGTGAAAGTTGAAATGAGGTAACGCCACCAACAGTTCACACAGACTCTTCACAGCCACCTCTGCCAATCCTTTGTATGCCTTTAAGGAAACCACATTACTTTTCTTCAGTTTTCTTTGCTTCCAGTCTAATCAAAAGATAACTGCAGTTATTTACTTTACTCTTGATGAAAACTATAACAAGCTTTTTAAAGGTAATATACAATATGAAAATTCAATGCACTGTTCTTAAAAGAATTGCATCTACATATATTTAAGCAAAAGCACAAATGTTACTTGTAAAAAGTGTCCATATCAATCCACCCTGATTCCTGCCATATAATGACAAGAACATTAACTTTCCATATATTTTTATTTATGAATAGGGTCACAAGGAGTAAAAAAATGAGTGCAAAGAGGTCAAGATAGCTTAAAGAAATCCTTAGTCTGGGTTCTATTAAGGCTATCCCCAAAATACCAAATTCTAAATCAGGAAGTCTGGGTTCAAATCTTATTTAACCAAATTCTCTGAGCTTCATCTCTTTTATATTCTCCAAGTTCTAAGACTCCAAGACTCTATAGCACTGTTTTCCCTGAAACTTCTTATTAGGGTATGTTTACTCAGGAGATCCTAAAACAATTTAAATTCTCCTTCAAAGGAACAGATGGATCACAATACCCCGTTAATAGAAATGTTATTGAAGATAATCTGGTTTTTCTAAGTTTAGACAATAGTACAAAGTCCTCCTTCAACATACACAGCGATGTGAAAAGAGTAGAGATGAGATAGTACCTTTGTTTTAAAATTGCTAATATAAGTTATATATTATATATATGAATATAATTCTTTTCCTCAGACCATGTTCACCATAAGAACATTACCTTCTACTTACATAAATCTGGTAAGACTTCACAATGAACAAATTAACAAATAAGCAAAATGTATACACACAACGGAGCATTATTCAGCCTTACAGAAATTCTGACACAAGTTGTACATTTGGAAAAATGAGATTTGAGGATTAAATCTTGAAGACATTCTAAGTGAAATCAGGCCAACACAAAGAACAAACAGTGCCATTCCACTTCCTGCTACCCCACCCTATCCTACCAAGTGTCCTCCAAGTCTTGTGCTCTGGTTCCCACTTATCTGATTTCACCTACAACATCCCCCCTTCCCCCTCCCCCGAATACCCTGAGGGTCCTCAGGAGGCCAAATGGCCCCCAGTAAAGAAACACTGGAGGAGGTAATTTTAATCTCTTGCCCACACATGCTCAATAAAACATAAAACAAAATGTTTGGTACAAGAATTTATGATTATCAGGGGCTGGAGCAATAGATAGCACAGCGGGTAGGGTGTGCCTTGCACTCAGCCAACCTGGGTTCGATTCCCAGCATTCCACATGGCTCCCCCGAGCAGCTCCAGGAGTGATTCCTAAGTGCAAAAGGAGGAGTAACCCCTGAGCATTGCTGGGTGTGACAGGAAAAAAAAAAGGCAAAAAAAAGAAAAAAGAATTTATGATTCCCAATAAATGATCCTTAAGTACATTTTCAAGGCATTCACTACATTCCAAGTTATCCTTCTTCCCTGACTAGCTCTTCAAACAATGAACAGTAAAATAAAGTTTCAACTATTCATAAATTCAAGAAATTTGCTAGCACTTAATAGGTAAAAGACCATCAAATAATACTAATAAAAATAAAATAGTGTCTAGCACAGGTTATGCATAATTCTAAGTACTTTATATCTATAGATTAGTTACTTCTTAGAGTAAGTAAATACTATTATTCTTCCCATTTTAGAAAAACTGAAACACACGGAGATTAATTTATTTCCTCTTGTAAAAATATTAAGTGATGGCCAAGATTTAAACCCCAGAAGTCTCAACACACCACAACGGAGAAAGAATTCACCTTACTCACCAAAACTATGTATGTTACATGTATGTTCAAGACACATTTAATATACCTTTAACCATTTGTTCCAGGTTCTCCAAATAAAACTTGTATTGGCTAACTAAGCCTTCTTCAAATTCTCTTAGCCTTTGAGTCTCTTTGCGGATCTGAAAAGATCAAAAAAGACCAACCTCTTTTTTAAATCAAAATAATGAAATGCTTAAATTAGCAGAAAATGTGAATGCCTAGTATATACCTAGTCCTATTAAAAAACAAAAAGCCAAAAAGCTATACCATTCTCTCACTCTATCTCTCCAAAATCTTATGTTTCTTTGTGTAGTAATCATTTTGAGTAATTACCTTAATAGATTTTTCTGCTTCTGTTAGGGGTCGTATCTTATATGAAGGAGTAATGTCTTTAAATAACTCCATTAGAGAAACTACTGCCAGCTTTCGAATAGTAACAGCCACATCCGGATCCTGTTCCATGAGCATGGAACGTATTTCTTTCAATTTTTTAATCTGTTTTGAAAAAGAAGTATAAAAGACTAGATTAATCATAGTAAAACACTCGAGAACAAAAGACAGTAACCCCAAATCTAACGGAATTCACACCCTAACTCTTAATTTAGACAAGGCAAACACAACTCTAGCCATTGTGGAAATTATCACAAAAATCACTACAGTTGTGAACTAAATATATTTCTTAAAGGCTAATCATATTTTTTAGGAAAAACAGTAAGACAAAGCCAGCAAAAACACTCCCACAAGAGCTGGGGGTGTGGGGTCATGGAGAACACCCAAATTAATCACATTTTGGTTAAAGAAATTAAAAAACTGATGCCAGCACCTACTTGTATATATAATTTGTATGAAATGTGTATGAGTATCCAGAGTTAATGATAAGCTCAGGTCCAATCTAGTGGCTGGTAAAATCTGGAGAAAGAGCCAAGGAGATGGTACAGGGACCAGGGCCACATGCTTTGCATGCACAGGACCCCAGTTGGGATCCCAGCTCCCTGAGCACTACTGAAGTGACCCTGGTTGTCCCCAGAATGGCCCAAGTCCAAGCACTAAACTGTCTGGCCAAGTATGAATGGCCCCTGGTCCCCTGAGCACTGCTAGGGAGGGAAATTAAAAAAACCGGAACAAATCATCTGAATTTTTTAAAGGTCAATTCTTTATTTATAAGACAATAGCTCATGTCAATATTTTTATAAAAAAAAAAAAGATAAAACAGAAGAGAAATATTTCAATACCCCCTGAAAATGGGGGGGTGAGGAGGGCAGGAGGGAGGGAGGAAGGAAAGACCCTTCCAGGCAGTGCTCAGGCTCATCCAGCCATTCTGAATCCACCAACTGTGCCAGCAATTCAATGCTAGGGTCTGATGATGCAGCGCTGCCCAGGAGGACTATTCTAGTCACCCCTGCAGTGACTCCAGGAACCTCTCAGGAACCTCCAAGGCCAACACAGGTGCACGTGCCAATGCTCAAGGGATCATGCTGTGCATGATCTAGGGGATCATCTAGGGATCACACTAGGGTTTGATCATCTAGGGATCATCTAGGAATCAAGCTAGGGATCATCTAGGATCAAACTAGGGATCATCTAGGGATCAAACTAGGGCGAACGGAATCCCTCGGGCCCCCCACATATAATTTTTTCTAAAATTAAATAGATTTTATTACTCAATATAAATCATTTGTCACTCAGTAGATAAATATTTGCCACAACAGTTGCTAAGAATGCAAAAATAACAAGAATAAATAGTATCTTTATATGACTTCATGTACATTTTACCTTTCACACTGAAGTTTTAAAATAGTACAATCCTCTTTTTAGAGATAAACGTTACTTGAATTCTAACAAACAATATTTAACAAACTCAAGATTAAACCTCAGGTATCATTAGTGTCATAACTGTTAAACCTTCATCACAATAAAACTCATAGATAATTTATTATAATTCTCAGGTCTGTTTCACTTAAAATACTTTCTACTTGCAACTAATCTCACTAACTTTTATATAGCAATTTATCATTAAAAACTCTACAGATCACTCAAGAATATTCACAAGCAGGTTCCTTCTTCCTGATAAAATTAATTTCACACTTAAAACTTTCAGAATCACATTCAGTCTAATATCTTCCTTTAGCGATGAGGAAAAATAAGATCAAAACAGTGATAAGATGACAGAAGAAATTAAGTTTAGACCACAGGATAAGGCTTAGTTTTGTTGTACTCCAATTTTAACAGTAATTATGTTTATTACTGCTTTTCCTTTTTAATGTATATTCATAAAGAAAATCTTCAAATACTATTTATAACCTACCTAGTAAGAGAAGTTTAAAGAAATTCATGCTACTTACATTATTTTCTGGATCTGATAATATTGCAGATGCTAAGGCTGCAATATGCATTTTCTTTTCCTGCAGTTTTTTCTTCCTTTCAATTAAGTGCTCCTCTAGTGTCAGTTCTCTAATGGGTTCTTCAATGATCTCTGAAACAAATGTTTCCCTCTTAAGCAATACACCTTGATGAGGTTTTACAGGCATATTTCTTTGAGTACTGACCATTAAGCTATTACAAAGTATCCTCTCAGAAAACCTAAAAAGTAGGGGCAGAAGAGGCAGCACAGGATTGGCCTTGCACACAGTCAACTCAGATTTGATCCCTGGCACTGGATATGGTCCTGCGAGCCCCTGCCAGGAGCGATTCCTGAGCATGGAACCAGGAGAAAGCCCTGAGCAATGCCGGGTGTCGCCGTCCCCCCACCACCCCCCGCCCCACACCCTCCAGATCCCCAAATAAACCTATGATGCATGTCCTACTATTACCCCACACTGTACAAGGAAACTGAGACTAACAGAAAGTAATCTGTCTACACTCATACATGGCAAAAATGGGATTTCAACCATAGCAGTCTAAACCAGGAGTTCCTACTCTTTTTGTTTGTATGTCCAGGGGTCACTTCCACCAGTAATGGGGATCCAAGTGATGCCAGGGATTAAACCCAAGGTTCCCTAATACAAAGCATGCTCTACCTCTTTTTAAGCCATCTCCCTGGCCAGGGTGGTAATATTCTGAAATATCCTAATCAATCCATTAGTAATTCATATGAATTAAAAAGGGCGAGCTACAGGTTGGTTTTTTTTCTTTTTTGACTTTTAAAAAATAGGGGCTGGAGCAATAGCACAGCGGGTAGGGCATTTGCCTTGCATGCGGCCAACCCAGGTTCGATTCCCAGCATCCCATATGGTCCCCTGAGCACCGCCAGGAGTGATTCCAGAGTGCAAAGCCAGGAGTAAACCCTTAGCATCGCCCGGTGTGACCCAAAAAGCAAAAAAATAAATAAATAAAATAAAAAAATAAAAGATAAAATAAAATAAGAGATAGCAAAATAATATACTTTTATATATTATACACTATTCATCGATTTGCTCGAGCGGGCACCAGTAACATCTCCATTGTGAGACTTGTTGTTACTGTTTTTGGCATATCGAATACACCACGGGGAGCTTGCCAGGCTCTGCTATGAGGGTGGGATACTCTCGGTAGCTTGCCAGGCTTCCAGCCTGCCAGCCATACACCCTATCATTTATTTTATATACTTTAATTTTATTTGAAGCACTGTGATTTGCAATACTGTTAATGATAAGGTTTCATGATACAATGCTCCGACATAACACCCTCCACCAGAGAATTTGCTTCCCTCCACCATTGTCTCAGTGTTCCCCATCCTGAGCCCCCTTCCACTTTTTCCCATCCACATATGTTAAGTTCCATAGCATGGTGAGTTTTGTGATAATCCTATGGGTATTTTTAAAATACGTATTTTATCTTTATTTAGTATAAAGTTCCATATAGCTATACCATTTTTATATCACTATGTTAATCAGGTTCTCGATGCTTTCATTTGTTTTTGGCTACAAAATTTGTCAGATTTTTAAGAACATTTTTAGAGATAATGTACTAAAGTTTATATCCTATTTTTGATTGTGAATTCTATAATCTTGGGGGAGAGGAAAAGCACTATATGAATCTAAATTATGTTATATGTAATCAGTGTCCCTAAATATAAATATAATTAATTTTAAATTAAAAAATGTTTATATACTATCACAAAAGCATCTTGACAGTTTTTTGCCGTTTACTCTCCTTACTTGTATTTTATTTTTTCCTACATAATTTAACTTTTTAATTGAATCACTGTGAGCTATACCCTTACAAATCTGTTCACGATTAGATTTCAGTCATACAGTATTCCAACACCTATCCCCCCACCAGTGTACATTTATTAGCACAAGCGTTCCCCAGGTTCCCGCCCATCAGTCCCCACCTCACACCCCCAACCTAAACATTTTTTAAGTATGAAATACTCTCCTTTCTTCTTAAGACTATCAGTCTTGGCAACAAGAAAAACTGTCCTGTGGGGAGGATCCTCCCAGGATGGGAGATGCGTGCTGAGAGTAGACTTTAGACCGAACATGACTGCCACTCCATGCCTCTTGCAAACCACAGCACCCAAAAGGAAAGAGAGAACAAAGGGGAGTGCCCTGCCACAGAGGCAGGGTGGGATGGGTGGCATGAGGGGTGGGAGAGATACTGGGATCAGTGGTGGTGGAGAATGGCACTGGGGGAGGGATGGGTATTCGATCATTGTATAACTGAAACCCATGCACAAAAATCCGTAAATCTACAACTGTACCTCATGGTGTTTCACTACTAAAAATCTAAAAAAAAAGAAGCCAGATTTGACACCAAAAAAAAAAAAAGAATACAGGTAATAGGGGGCTGGAGCAATAGTACAGCGGATAGGGAGTTTGCCTTTGCCTTGCACGCGGCCGACCCGGGTTCGATTCCCAGCATCGTATATGGTCGCCTGAGCACTGCCAGGAGTAATTCCTGAGTGCAGAATCAGGAGTAACCCCTGTGAATCACCAGGTGTGACCCAAAAAGCAAAAAAAAAATACAAGTAATAAGGGCTGGAGCGATAGCACAGTGGTAGGGCATTTGCCTTGCGCGCAGCCTGCCTAGTCGAGCCGGGTTTGATTCCTCCATCCCTCTCGGAGAGCCTGGCAAGCTACCGAGAATATCTCACCCTCACGGCAAAGCCTGGCAAGCTCCCCATGATGTATTCGATATGCCAAACACAGTAACAACAAGTCTCATAATGGAGATGTTACTGAGCCCACTCGAGCAAATCGATGAACAATGGGAGGACAGTGCAGTACAGATAATAAACTAATTTGTAACTGAAGGATGTAAGATCACTAAAAACAAATGGTTGATTTATAATTTCATTAAAACTGCATTAATAAGATTTGCTAAGTAAAACTAGAATTTAATCAGTTTAAATCCCAAGCCAGTAGTTTCAAATAATAAAGTGTTTTCATTTGAACTTTGATCACAACTATTCTGGTTATCAGAAACCCAGAAACAGTACCTAAAAATATGTAATTACTCCAAAAAAGGAAAATTATTACAAATCACAAAATCATTTTTGTAAATTAAAGCTAAAAACTTATTTGCAGGCAAGTGCTTTACTTACAATTGAAAGAATTCAAGAAAATTTATGACTCTCCAAGAATACCTGGTTATTACCAATATAACTACATAAAATTTTCCATAATCAAAAGGAACAAAAACACTATACAAACTAAGGATTTCAAAATGTGTGAAAATGTTCAAAATAATCTTGAAATGGTCAGTATTCCAAACTCCAATTTTAATATTATCAAAAATTAACTTACTGGTGGAGGGATGGACATTCCATCATTGTATGACTGAAACTCAAACATGAAAGTTCTGTAACTGTATCTCATCACGGTGATTCAACAACAACAATAAAATTTAACTCATATTTAGTATTACAAACTACTATGCAAAAAAAAGAAATTTCGGGGCTGGAGCAATAGCACAGCGGGTAGGGTGTTTGCCTTGCATGCGGCCGACCCGGGTTCGATTCCCAGCATGCCATATGGTCCCCTGAGCACCACCAGGGGTAATTCCTGAGTACATAACCAGGAAGAACCCCTGTGCATTGCCAGGTGTGACCCAAAAAGCAAAAAATAAATTGTTTTTTAAAAAAAATAAAATTTTAATGAACAATTTAGTAACTGCTAATATAAACCCATTACCTTCTTCAAGTTCCATCTCTTCTTTGTCCTCTTCATCTTGATTTTCAATAACTACGAAAGAAATATGCATATTAGAAATGTGACAGTATACTTAAGTGGTAACATTACAGAGAAAAGCAGGAAGTGATCAGTGTAAAACTCCAAAAAGCACTTTTGAGAAGAGGAAGCAATTAGTGATTAAGTGATGAAGCAATTAGTGATTAAGTGATGCAAGCTTTTAAGTTTCTGGTATTACTTGTTTCTTAACAGGATAATAGTTTTATAAATATGTTTATTATAACATTTAATTCTGGACTTTTTTGTGTTGTATTTCACAATAGAGGTAGGAGCAAGAGAACAAGGATTAAGGGTAACTGATTTGTTCTAACTTTAGAAACCACAGAACTTCATGAAACATTCTAGAAAAGTCACCCTAATGCTGTAGCTTGCACTAGACTCACAGTGCAACAAACAACTTAGAAGATCATAGGTTTTTCTGTCCAAAACTATCACGCCTGCTAGGTAATTAACTGTAACTACATCTGTTTTAGAAGTATAGGTATGACTAGGTAGACCTATACAAATTGTATAGGTTATTTTATTTCATTCAAAATACAACTGCCTTTTCGGAGCGATAGCACAGAGGTAGGGCGTTCGCCTTACAAGCGGCCAACATGGCCGACCCGAGTTCGATTCCTCCGCCCCTCTCGGAGAGCCCGGCAAGCTACCGAGAGTATTCGATATGCCAGACACAGTAACAACAAAGTCTCCAATGGAGATGTTACTGGGCCCGCTCGAGCAAATCGACGATCAACGGGAGGGCCTTTACCTTTTAATGTGACACCAACAAAAAAACAGTATTTTTAATTAATGCACAAGCTGTTTAGATTCACCTGGCTTCTCCCTAGTCTGTGGGATTATTCCACTTTTGTCTTTGATAGGAAGTAAGTGAATCAGTTCCTTCTCTGGTGCAGTTTGAAGAGTTCTTGGTATTTTTTCATATTTATCTATAACACTCTCATGCTTTCGTTTCTTGGCATGAACAGGCTCACTGCAGGGAGAAAAAAAAAATCAACAGAAACCCAGAGATCTATCACTATAAAAGTAAAGAGAAATGAATCACAAGCCAAAATATCAACAGGTGTACAGATTATTAACTAACCACATATATAGCAGATATTTGAATTGTAAATGAATAATATATAGCAGAGACTCAAACTATTGTTACATCTAGTTATCCCTTTACATTCAAAACAAAGGTAAAAGCCACACTATTTTTTCCTTAACTTTTCTGTTTAAAAAAAAAAAGTTCTATAACTAGTGTTAATGTTTCTATGCATTAGGTGTACAGTGTGATACCAGACCTACCACCGAACTGCCAATAACCCTCCACTATAAATCACAAGACCCTTCTATTTCACTTCTGTCTGTCCTTAGGTAACCTCAGTTGGTTGTTGTTGTTTTCAAATTTTAGGGCTATACCCAGATGTGCTCAGATTTACTCCTGGCTCTGTCCTCAGGGATGACTCTTCGTGGTGCTCAGGGTCAAACCGAGGTCAGCCATGTGCAGTGCAAGTACCCATTGTTAATAATTCTCCAGCCTGTAATTTAAGTTTTCCTATCAAAGTCTAAGGATTTCATTAGACACTGTCTATAAAGCAGATTCTTTCTGAAGAATATTCCATAGGGCCAAGTGCAATATTTCACTATTTTAATCTTCTAAAAGCATTGGGCCAGAGCAATAGTACAGTGGGTACAGCATTTGCCTTGCACATGGTGAACCTGGGTTTGATCTCCAGCACTCCATATGATACCCCCAAGCACTGTTAGGAGTAACTTCTTCGTACAGATTCAGGAGTAACCCCTGAGCATCGCTGGGTGTGACCCAAAAAGAAAAAGAAATAAATAAACCATTCAGAATACAGCATAGACTATGCAGTCCAAAAGATCTAAGTTTAAATTTCCATTACTTATTATTATAAAAAAGCATCAGTTTATTCTCTGTAGTGGAAATAATAACCACCAATATGGTAACAAGAATTTAAATCCTGGTCCAACAGAACTCAGAACTGTTTTGCCAATTCTGAAACAGGGTCTATTTACTCTATATTTCAATATTCAGACTCAAAAAGCAAATGCTCTCTACATTTTTAAAAAGAGGTCATTTTACTCATGAACTTCCTTTATTTAGATAATAAGGGGGCAAGAATGTACCTCAGGGGCATATATAAGCATACACACCTTATATGCTTGAGACCTGGGTTCAATCATCAACCCAAAATCATAGGGTTTATTCTTTGTATACATGGTTTTCAGAGCTGATCATCTTATAATAAGCACCTAAGAAAAATTTGGGACCAAGTTCTTTTTTTTTTTTTTTTTTTTTGCTTTTTGGGTCACACCTGGCAATGCATAGGGGTTACTCCTGGCTCTGCACTCAGGAATTACTCCTGGCAGTGCTCAGGAGACCATATGGGATGCTGGAAATCTAACTCGGGTCAGCCATGTACAAGGCAAACGCTCCAGCCCCTGGACCAAGTTCTTAACACTGAAAGGATGTACAATAACTTAAGATTTTAAAAAGTATGAACCAGTAAGTCTGAAACAGTGCTTTAAACCAACATGATCTCAATAAAAAATAAACAATAACAAAGCTTTACAAAGGTTTTAAAAAAAGAGGGGGGTGGAGAATAACAAAGGATTATAAGTGAAGTATCACCTAGAAGAAAGATCTCTTGTTAGAAATGATGCTCTTTGTCCTAAATCCTTCATTAACTGTAAGTCATCTTCATCCATCATGTCTAAAGGAAGGGCTTCCTCTTCTTCCTCCTCTTCCCACTGGATCCTTTTGCCTGTGTCACCAAAACAAACCAAAAACTCAGAAACAAATATTATAGATGCCAAACTCTGCATTTTTGTGTCTATAATGAAAAAGGCTTAAATTTTCTGCATCCAGGATTTCAAAATGGAAGCACTCCTGATAGGAAGAGGAGAAAAATTCTTGTTGAACTGATGTGTTCTGAGCCAGGTAAAATTTTGGCATCTCTGACTCCTGAAATCTAAGTATCGGGAGCCTTCCCAGGTTATGCAAGCAATTTATATTGGAGACATATAAGTGTCTCCACAGTTCCTTAGCTCCTTCTGATTTTCAATGACTTTCACTTCCATTCTACTGCCATCCTCTTCAGGGACCACATACCCCCAATCTTACTGCTTAGCCCATTCTGGTCACATTTATTCTTCCAGCTCCCATTTGATTAATTCCACTACATTTCCCTTAGCTTTTACTTTACTTCCCTTAGCAAATACACAAACTTAAATCCTCTGACCATTTAACTTTCTACTGACAATTTGAACTGTCTACATTTCCATGCTTAAGTTGAACAGCAATCATTCAAAATACTTCTTACCAATATCCTCAATTACCTTTCTTTCTACAGTTTAGGTACTTACCTCTAATAAAGTCTCAATTAAACGTCATTCTAACTTAGGGACTGGAGCGATAGTATAGGGCGTTTGCCTCGCACACAGCTGACCCAGATTCAATCCCTGGCATACTATATGGTCATCTGAGCATTACCAGGAGTAATTCCTGAGTGTAGAGCCAGGAGTTACCCCTGAGCATTGGCAAGTGTGACACCTCCCGCAAAAAAAAACAAAACAAAACAAAAAAAAGAATGAAAAAATCATTCTAACATTCTAACTTCTCTGTCCCTCAGTCTCTTCATTTGTCTTTTTTCGGATAGCATGAAGGTACCAAAAAACTGCAGAAGAACTGGTGTCAAAGTGGCCATATTCTTTACCTGTCTTGAATATCTGGGGTAATTTAAAAAAAAAAAAAAGAACCGCCATCACTATAGTTCAATTTCACTCCAAGTTTTCATATTCAAAAAAAGCTCAGACACTTCGAAATCTAGCAAACCTTGGCAGTGCTATGAAGAAAGTGCAAGTGAGTGGGAAAGTGACACTGGAATGAGGCCCATTTATATGTATATGAGCTACTCTGAGTTTGTCTCCCCAACTACACCTTCAAATCTGCTCTCTGGACAAATGATAAGAGTATTCATTCATTCTCCCAATGAATACTGAAGTGTTTTCTCCTGCAAATGAGCCAAAGTATACATAGGACATCTATCCTTAACCTTTCCTATTCTTAGGGTGATCTAAGAACAAGAATGATTATAAGAAAGTTATTTTAAGAAGCTTTGAATTCTGGGCCTTAGTGTCTCCTAAGCAAAGCACATTCTCTACCACTGAGATACATCCCTGGTGATGAAACTTATTTTGGAAAAAATCAACAAAAACATGGGGCTGGAGCGATAGCACAGTGGGTAGGGTGTTTGCCTTGTACGCATCCGACCCAGATTCAATTCCCAGCATCCCATATGGTCCCCCAAGTACCGCCAGGAGTAATTCCTGAGTGCATGAGCCAGGAGTAACCCCTGTGCATCGCCAGGTGTGACCCAAAAAGTCAAAAAAAAGAAGAAAAAAACCAGAAACAAGGGCACTTGGACATAATTACCTGGTCGTTTTTCCTTTGGGTCCTCCAATGGAATGGGTCTTTTAGATACAGCATCTTTTACAGCTTGCCTTAATTTCCTCTGTTCTTTACGGTACTTCTTGAGAGTACTTTGTTGTTTAAACTGCTTGTTTTTTAGCTTGTTTTCAAGTTTGACTTTACTTGTCTTTATCAATTTCCGGAAGCTTGGGACCTGTTTTTTATTTCTTCTCTAGAAAACAACCAAAGTTCACATTATTTTCTAGATGGGCTAAAGAGAACTTAGTATAAAGTTCATTATAGTAATTCCACAGTTCTAATGTCTCCCTGCCATAGATCTTGCATATAAGAGCTAAATTCCACAGATGAGCACTTGAGCTTCAATTCCTAAGCAGATCTTCCTCCCACATAAAGCTGCTAAGAAACCAGGGATCTAGTGATCTAGTGGTGAGCGGTTATCCTCGGCCAACTAGGTACATTCGGAGCACAAACACAACAACGGAGTGTTGCTGAGCACACTCCAGCAAAACATTAACAATTAAACTACTACAGCTTTGGGGCTTGAGCTATAGTACAGCGGGTAGAATGTTTGCCTTGCATTCAGCCAACCTGAGTTCTATCCCCAGCATTCCAGATGGTTTCTCGAGATAATTCCTGAGTACAGAGCCAGGAGAACCCCTGCGTGTGACCACAAAAGCAAAACACAAAATAAACCCTACAGTGTCATGTTGCTTTACTGTTTCTAAGTGCTCCAACATTATCTTCAGCACAAGCCAACTCCGTGATTGCTGGCTGCTACCTTCACGTTACTGATGAGGCTAAGCCTGTGTGACTTGTCAAAAACCATTCAGGAAGGCAAAATCGAACCCAGGCCTCTGGATACCTTTGTTTTTACATCCGGTGACGCCCTCATTCGGTAATCCAAGCACCAAGGCTAGCTCTCACCCTCCCAAAATTAAAAAGACATACTCGTCTCCAATCGGGGCCCTGCTTCTCCTCGAAAAATATGGGGCTTAGGAAAAAAAAAAACTCAGGCAACACTTCAAAGTCCGCAATCCTACGGATATCTGCTCCGTGTCGGCCTCACCTCGGCCCCATGCAGTGGTGTGAGAGCCGCACTGGCCACCAAAACAGAGGCTTGTGTGAAGAGCTCACTGTGTGGGGTCCTGGAAAGTCACAACCTGGAGCGCAGGCCACCGCCCCCACTCGCCCTCGGACAAGAATCCGCCTAAACTCTGCATCGGCAACAGCTTCGGCCAAAAGCATCTTAAAACGCGGGACCCGACTACTGCGGACACTTACCGCCTTCATCCTTGGATCGGAAGCGGGTCCAGAGGACCCGGGAAAGGGGCAGATCAGGAACCCCGAAGGAAGAAACACGTGCGGAAACCGCCAACCTCCGCAGGCGGAAGCCGCTGCTGGCCCCGCCCCTTTCTCCGCTGCCGGAAGTGAGGGCGGGACTTCCGCAGAGAGGCGCGGAGGCGGCATTCCCGGGTGACGGCTGGCGACCGCGACCGGCGGCGCCCCTGGGTGCTCAAGGCGAGTCAGCTGGGAGCACCCAACTCGAGGGCAGACGGTGGGTGGCGCCGGGGGAGCCTCAGAATAGGTGTTTCGAGATCTTAGGGAAATCGTCCTCTTCCTCTCAGAACGGACTAGCCTGTTTCGGGCTCCGGACTGCATTTTGTGCCTTCTGAACTTTGGGTGGTCGTCATTTTTGTCACCGGGGTCCCTTCGTAAAACCGCCGGTTTATAAATGACTCTGGGCTGCTTGTGAGACGGTTTCCATGACACTCAGCGTCCAGAGATTCTTGAAGTTTGAAGCATATTTTGTCTCACATTTCGTCATTGCCTGATAGTGACGACTCTGAGATTCATCTGTGCGTTTCAGTATTTCACAACTCCTGTATATGCTTCCGCGTTTCTGCTTAGTAATCCTACCAGAGCATTAGGGTGTAACTGGAATGACCATGCGAGAATCGGAATACGTCCTTCAAAATGTTCGTATCTCAAAAGACTCCTTTGCTGAGTTGACGTAAGAATTGTACTTAGGACTACTAGACTGTAACCTGAAGAGAGAAGGTAACTTGAACCCATCCTGACCTTGATCCAGGCCTTGCTGAGCTGGGGGGTGGGAGTGGTGGTTGAGGGAGTGGGGGACACGGGATGACACAGCCACCCCGAGACTCAGAAGTGTCTCCCCAGGGTGTGATGGTCGTAAAGAGGATCAAAGGACACCTCCCAATTTCATCATCCCATTTCAAGAACCGAAAGCCCCGTAACATGTGGATCTTCTCTTTCTTTCCTGTATAATTGTCCTCATTTCCCCCCTTGCTCATTCCCTTACACATGCGCACTCTCAGACAGCAAGGCTTTTCCCACTAGAGTATTACTTCATCACACAAATTGAAAACATGAGCCTTTGCCCTTCCCAAATGCCTGAATTCTTTCCCAGACGTAGCAGTTTCTCTGTGGTCACTCCCATCTACATCTTTCTCTCCAGTCTCCAAGGGTGAGATATCCTCATTTCAGTTCAAAACTGATTTCTTTGGACTCATATCATTAATTATCCCCTCTGTGCCCATGTTTTTCTCTCCACAAAGGATGGGTCCTGTCCTCCACCCACTCATATATTTGAATGTTTTCCATCCTTAAAATCATTCTAATGACTCTTCTTTTTATCCCTGCTTTATTTTCTCGGCCCATACTTGATCTTCCTTTTAAACTAGTATTCTCCTAGTTTCTCAACTTCCTTTTCCCTATTAGCTCAAGCCTATTAACTATTTAATATATTAAATAGTAACTATTTTAGGGATGAATACCCTTAGTCCTTTGAAACTGATAATCCACTAAAATATCTAGCTCATTTTGTGTGTTAGGGAGGGAGTTGAAATTGTTTTATTGAAGGAGGATACTAATTCCAAGGCATAAGAAAGAGAAGGGGGAAGACAGGGAGGTGGGGTGCAAAAAATAAAGGAAATTCACACCTTAAAGGACACTGGACTCCAGGGGGGGGTGTTAGAAAGGAGAGATAATGCACACAGAACTGAGATGTGGGTTGACCCCACAGTAAAGTGCAAGTACGTTTAAACAATTATTGTGAAACTAAATATCTTCCATTTTAAATTTGAATAGACTTTTATTTGAACACAATTTCAAAATGGAAGTTTACATACTGTGAACTTAAATCACAAATCACAAACCATCCTGTTATTCGTCGATTGCCTCGAGCAGGCCCCAGTAAGGTCTCCTTTATCCTAGCCCTGAGATTATATTCAGGGCTCTTTAGGAGAATGAGACCCATCATTGTTACTGGTATTTGGCATATTGGGTACGCCACGGGGAGTTTGCCAGACTCTGCCGTGTGGCAGGCTACATTCCATTTTATTCAAATTTAAAATGGAAGATATTTAGTTTCACAATAATTGTTTAAACATGCACTTGCACTTTACTGTGGGGTCAACCCACATCTCAGTTCTGTGTGCATTATCTCTCCTTTATAACACCCCACCCCCGTGAACTTAAATAAGATATCTTAATGAAAGTTAGTCAAGGGCTTTTCTTAGATTATCATAGTTGAGGAATCAGGAACAGATCCAGGGGAAGTTTGACCAACCTTACTCTGGAAAGCCATCTTCACTGTTAAAAGAGTAACATTATGTATCATAGAATGAAAGGAAATAAACAATCTTAACATTACAGTGATAAAAACAGCACAATAAATTTTAAATGGATTTCTGGTTTTCATTTTAGAATTTGAAGTGTCAAACTTTTCCCAGTTCTGATAGATACAGAACTACAATAGTTCTGACTGTTGTGATTATCTGTGCCTCCAAAGAGTCAAAATATCAAGTCAAAATACTTGACAAACTTTTTTCTCACTCTGCTTTCTCTTAGTTGGTTTTATCTTTGATCTTCCAGTTTCTGTTTTTTGTTTGTTTTTTGGGGTTTTTTGTCTGCTTGTTTTTTTCCTTTGTGGTCACATCCGGCGATACACAGGAGTTACTCCTGGTTCATTCACTCAGGAAATACTCCTGGCATTGCTCAGGGGACCATATGGGATGCTGGGAATCGAACCTGGGTCAGCCGCGTACAAAGCAAACGCCCTACTCGCTGTTCTATTGCTCCAGCCCCGATCTTCCAGTTTCTTTGCTTTCTGATCAGCAATAAGAAGCAAGGAATTGTTAGCTTCATTTCCCCACAAGTATATGTATTTTTCTACATGAATTTCACAAATCAGGGCCAGCTTAATTCTGACTCTAGACCTGTGTTTCCCAACCTTTCTCTGTTCTTCAAACCTTGTTCCATTCTTGTGGCAGTCCTGCCTACCAATTTGCTCCTATGCCTTGGCCCCCCGTTTATGCAATTTTCACCTCTGGCCCTCTCAAAATATGACCCTTGTGATCCCCAGGATTATTCCAAGGAGGGCTCAGGTGAAAGTCTTATAAATGAGGGTCATGACACAAAATTAGGGGGTCAGCTGATCAACAGGGAGGTGACAGGAAGGAAAAAAGTTTGAAAGTAGAGCACAGAGAAGGAGAGACACTGGTCTAGGCAATGCAAGCACTATCAGACCAGGGAGAAGGATCCAAAATGAAATTTTCTTTAATCTTACTGATTTCTCAGTCCTGTCGCATCCAGATTTGTGCCATTTGCCATTTACTAAACTCAGGTTTGGATTCTCTTGGATCCTTCAGAACTTTCTTGGGCACTGGGGCCGAAAGGAGTTTACTAGCCTCTCTGAATTAGTTTTATCCGGGCCATACTCAGAAACTCCAGTAGTTTTTTTGGGAGGATTTCTTAAGAACCTAACTGGCTCAGTTTAAACATTCCATTAAACTTCCCTCATTCAGGTGACTTAGAACCTCCAGATTCTGGGTTTTGTCTTTTTTAATTTTGCACTGATTGTATATTTTTCTTTTTAACCTCACCATATTTTACTACCATATTGTATTTGCATTTGAAACTACATGCTTGATTTTTACATGCATGCACGCATGTGCACGTGCAAACACACACACACACACACACAAAAGCTCACCTAATATTGGCTCATGCAGCCTCTCAGTTTTCTTTCTGCTTCCATTTATTTCTTCCCCGTACATCTTTAATGTGAGTGACTTTTGAGGTTCTACTCCTGGACCATTTTCTTCTCTCTTTGCATTTTATTTTTATTTCATCCAGCTACCTCCAAGAAAGAAATTGCCAATCTTCTGTCCCGTTCACACCTCTCCCATGAACTTCAGTCTTGTATTCATTGCCCACTGATTATCTTCACATGGTCACCATGAAGCTTCAAATCACCATAATCTAAACTAAATTTAATTTCTTGTGCCTCTTACAATATTCCATTAATTCTTTCTTTAACCCACAACCCAATATTCCAGAGATCTTTAGAAACAATCCAATGCTTATCTTGTCCAATTATTCAGCATATGACAATTCTTCTATTTTCTATAAACACATGAGTTTTAAAATAGTAAAATAGTATAGTAAGGCTTCTGGCATTCCCGACCTACCACATAATTTATGTGAGATGTAACAAGGGACTTCGAAGATATAAATGCATATATAGACTTAAAGATTTATGTAATTCATACATCCTTAAGAAAATATACTACAGGGGGTATGGTGCCACCAGCAGGTTAATCTATACCTGTGAGGCCTGTGCATCAGCAGCCTGATGGTGCCTTCAGACTTCCAGATACCCCAAAATTGCTGCTGTGCCTTTGGCCAGGCCCCAAAACCTTGGGGCTAAGTTTACCAAGAAAAGTTAGGTATGTGGAAAACACACCCACAAACCACCTCCAGCTCAGCTATGTAATTGGAGGCATGGCCTCTCTGGTTCCTGATTGAACTGCTTAAGGGCCATGATCCCAGAGACTCAGAAACAAATCTCGAAACCCGGCAGCTTTTGGCAGAAATGCATCCGGTCCCTGCAGTAGGTTACCGGTGCTAGGCTAACCCAGGTAGGAATAGGTTTCGTGCCTTGGCCTGTTCCCCCTGACGGCCCAGTGGCCACCATCCTCCAGAGGCCACTGGACAGTCAGGTTTGGGCCCGCAGTGACAAGACACGCAGGGCCTCACGGGATGGGGTGGAGCTGGTCCTGTCCTCCCCACTCCAACGAGACCCCAAGTCATCGCCCACAGACGGCCTCTCTGGCTCCTGATCAAGCTGCTTAACAGCCATGATCCCATAGACTAAGAAAAAAATCTCGAACCCAGTGGTTTTTGGCAGAAATGTGTCCAGACCACGCAGTAGATTACTGTCGCCGGGCCACCCCAGGGGGGAATGGGTGCTGTCCCTCCGCCTGCTCCCCCTTGGTGGCACGGTGGCCACCATCCTCCAGAGGCCATTGGATAGCCAGGTTTGGGCCCGCAGTGACAAAACTTGTTGG